TGGTATCATGGTGATATTGTTGTGGTCATGATGTTATAATGGTATCATGGTGATATTGTTGTGGTCATGATGTTATAGTGGTATCATGGTGATATTGTTGTGGTCATGTTATAGTGGTATCATGGTGATATTGTTGTGGTCATGATGTTATAGTGGTATCATGGTGATATTGTGGTGATATTTGTGATGCTATTGCTGACGAATTGTAAGGGCGATACTATTGTGCAAGTGATAGTGTTGTGATGATGTTGTAGTGGTGATATTGTTGTCATAAGTTGTTTTGGTTCTATGACTTGTCTGTAGCCATATTAAAAAACAAACAAGAAAAGCAGAATGTGTTAAGTCATATCACATGTTATTTTGTTACTATTTACAACACATGCCATAAATGCTTTTATACAAGGAACACAAGTTTTAAATTACATAATAGATACTTGTAACCAAGGCTTAAATTGTCACATACTTTTTTATCAAATGCATACCCAGCCACTCTTGGCATTACTCAAGACAAGAGGTGAAGACAAGTTGCATCAAGTAGGTAAAAGCAAATGTACCAAAGCAAATTGTGTGTGTATAGAATACATATAGGCAACATACATTTTTATGTTTATATATTACATATATATGTATGTGTGCATATATATATATATATATATATATATATATATATATATATATATATATATATATATATATATATATCTTTATATTATATATATATATTCATGTTTATGTATTACATACATATGTATATATACATATATTACATACATATATGCACCAAAAAGAATTTTTAAGAACGAGCAAAGCAATTCCAAAATTCCAATAATACTTTTCAAGATAAAATATTTCTTTGGATTTTTCTTTCAATTAATTTAAGAAAGCAAATATTGTATGAGAGAAAATTAGATGTACATTGACATCTTTCAACTGCGAGCATAAGTTAAGGAATTTCCTGATGAGTTAGACAAACTGTACCCTGGATCAATTGGTCCTCCCATTACCAAAATCTGTCATTCTGCCAAACAAATATCATACAATGTACACAAATAACAGGGAGAAGTTTAAAAATGATTCACTCAAGGTAGCGAGCAGAAAATAATGTGTGGCTCATCAATGCATCTTTAGCCAACCACACAAGGTCACATTTAGCCAAACACACAAGGTCACATTTAGCCAAACCCAGTCACATTTAGCCAAACCCAGTCACATTTGGCCAACCATACGAGGTCACATTTAGCCAATCACAAAGCCACCTTTAGCCAACCAGTCACCTTTGACCAACCACACAACCACATTTAGCCAACCAGTCACCTTTAGCCAACCACACAAGGTCACATTTAGCCAAACCCAGTCACATTTGGCCAACCATATGAGGTCACATTTAGCCAATCACAAAGCCACCTTTAGCCAACCAGTCACCTTTGACCAACCACACAACCACATTTAGCCAACCACAGTCACCTTTAGCCAACCACACAAGGTCACATTTAGCCAAACATAGTCACCTTTGGCCAACCACACAGCCACCATTAGCCAACCACACAACCACCTTTTGCCAACCACACAGCCACTTTTAGCCAACCACACAGCCACCCTTGGCCAACCACACAAAGCTACCATTTGGTCTGCAGCAGTTAGTAGGTTGTTCTACACCTGATACATTAAAGAATACATACATGAAAAAAAGAGAACATAATGACTATACAAGAGCACAACTAAATAAACCATGGGAGTGCTGTTGGTCAGTGACATGAGGCTGTTGGTCAGTGACATGAGGATGTTGGTCAGTGACACGAGGCTGTTGGTCAGTGACATGAGGATGTTGGTCAGTGACATGAGGCTGTTGGTCAGTGACATGAGGCTGTTGGTCAGTGACAAGAGGCTGTTGGTCAGTGACATGAGGCTGTTGGTCAGTGACATGAGGCTGTTGGTCAGTGACATGAGGATGTTGGTCAGTGACACGAGGCTGTTGGTCAGTGACATGAGGCTGTTGGTCAGTAACATGAGGCTGTTGGTCAGTGACATGAGGCTGTTGGTCAGTGACATGAGGCTGTTGGTCAGTGACATGAAGCTTGTTTGCGCAGCCATGGAGTGATAAAAGAAAATAAAAATTTGGGTGAATATCATTCCAGTCCACAGAATTACGAGTCCCATCTATTTTTGGTATCTAGGACGTTTATATGGCACAATAACTGACTCATCATCAACTTTATAAATATTTAGCAAGAGTTAGTGTACATATGCAATTAGTGATAGGAAGATAACATTACATTGATTTCTAATTAAAACTTTAAGCAGTTAATTTTTAAGTTAAAAATCTTAACCAACAGAATAGCATGACCCTAAACAAAGAAAAGAAGCTCCAATATCTTCTAGGCAATGGTCTGTTAACTTCACAACAACAATGGTTGCCTTTGGTCCCTATCTTGTCTCACATAATTCTCTGGTTAGATGATGATACAAACACAAGGAGCAAATCAGAAACAGACTTGTATGGGGGTGGGGGTTGTGGATTGTATGAGGGGGGTGGGGGTGGGTGGATTGTATGTAGGGGGGGGCATGGTGGATTGTATGTGGGGTGGCTTGTATGGGTAGGTAGCCTCTAGGTGGGGTGGCTTGTATGGGGGGGGGGGGTGGCTTGTATGGGTAGGTAGCCTCTAGGTGGGGTGGCTTGTATGGGTAGGTAGCCTCTATGTGTGGTGGCTTGTATGGGGGGGGGGTGGCTTGTATGGGTAGGTAGCCTCTATGTGTGGTGGCTTGTATGGGGGGGGGGGTGGCTTGTATGGGTAGGTAGCCTCTAGGTGGGGTGGCTTGTATGGGGGGTGGCTTGTATGGGTAGGTAGCCTCTAGGTGGGGTGGCTTGTATGGGTGAGTGGGATGTATGTGTGACTGGCTTTTATGTGGGGTGCCTTGTGTAAGAGGTGGACAATATGAGACCTGTATGGGGGGGGGGGGGTGTAGCATGCAATGTTATGCAGGTCACCCTGCTTGAGCACACACTGTAAACAAAAAACTCTCCAACCAATGGATGGAATGTTTGACTAAACTAGTGAGCACAGCTTTCTACAAAGTATGCCATTTTAAAATACAAAGTATACCATTTTAAAATACAAAGTATACCATTTTAAAAATACAAATGATACCATCTTTAAATATAAAGTATACCATTTTAAAAAAAAGCTGTTTTTGAAGAAAATTGTAATGATGGCAGAACCTTTTTTATCTAGTTAAAACATCAAAGCAATAAAACATTATGTCAAGCTATAAATCACAACTCTTCACCCATATCAGGTTCATATTGGGCTACATATCACTTGATTCAGGCAGATCAGTGCTGCTGAATGGTCCATAAAGAATGACTCAAATGGTTGCCATAGTTATGGCAGTCACATGACTTGACCTGTACATGCAGAAAGTTTGGTATCCTATATAAATCACAGAATCAAACTTCATTAGGTGCCTATTTTATACATATGTACATCCATTACATCATGTGGTCAGAACTCCTGTTTGCCAATCTGGCAAGTCTGACTTTAAAAATGTACACAAACAATTGACTTTAAGAGATGTGAACAACTCATTTTTACAGTTAAACATTGCAAAAAAGTTAGCCAAAAATAAATTTTTTATGACACACAAAAAAAAACAACAAAAAACAACAACCAATTGAACAAAAAAAATGTATGATTGAGCTTTCAGTCAAAATACACAGCCATGTAGTGGGCCCAGGTTTGAATTAGCAGCCAACATTTGTTTTACACAACACTCACAAACCCATACAAATCTTTAGCACCACACTTTCAAACAAGCCCATACACATAATTGTATATGTGTAGTCATCACAAAGAAATATATGTCATAAAAGTGAATCCCCATTTAGTACCTTAAAGCTATCATGGTGTATAAATAGCTCTAAAACATGAAATCTCATGACAAGGTGGGGCAGGACACAGGTTTGTGAGAGAGACAATGTTCACGGTTCATTGTGGTACTCTACACAAGCTCCAGCTATGTACACTCAATACAAGTACACTGGTAGATCAATCATATTTCATACAAGTCAGCACAACTAAACTGCATAGAGGAAATGATTCATTGCAAGCTTTACATAGAGAAACCTCTCAGTGAAGATGTTCAAGCTAGTTATTCCAGGGGTTAAAACAGGTGACTGGGTGATGTCTTGATGTCCAGAGGGGTTATAACAGGTGACTGGGTGATGTCCAGAGGGGTTAAAACAGGTGACTGGGTGATGTCTTGATGTCCAGAGGGGTTAAAACAGGTGACTGGGTGATGTCTTGATGTCCAGAGGGGTTAAAACAGGTGACTGGGTGATGTCTTGATGTCCAGAGGGGTTAAAACAGGTGACTGGGTGATGTCTTGATGTCCAGAGGGGTTAAATCAGATGACTGGGTGATGTCTTGATGTCCAGAGGGGTTAAATCAGATGACTGGGTGATGTCTTGATGTCCAGAGGGGTTAAATCAGATGACTGGGTGATGTCCAGAGGGGTTAAAACAGGTGACTGGGTGATGTCCAGAGGGGTTACAGCTATTGTTGAGGTCTAAGATGCTGCAAACAGCTGGAGAACACAACACATTGAATAGTGGCTCATGGAGGTTCTATAAGGCAAACTGGCTGTAATGGACAAGACTGGGTGGGTTGGGCAGCACTGGGTGGGGTGGACAGCACTGGGTGGGGTGGACAGCACTGGGTGGGGTGGACAGCACTGGGTGGGGTGGACAGCACTGGGTGGGGTGGACAGCACTGGGTGGGGTGGACAGCACTGGGTGGGGTGGACAGCACTGGGTGGGGTGGGCAGCACTGGGTGGGGTGGGCAGCAGTGGGTGGGGTGGACAGCACTGGGTGGGGTGGACAGAACTGGGTGGGGTGGACAGCACTGGGTGGGGTGGACAGCACTGGGTGGGGTGGACAGCACTGGGTGGGGTGGGCAGCAGTGGGTGGGGTGGACAGCACTGGGTGGGGTGGACAGAACTGGGTGGAGTGGACAGCACTGGGTGGGGTGGACAGCACTGGGTGGGGTGGACAAGACTGGGTCCACAGCAGCGCTCACAGTCATTCAGGTGTTGCTTCAGTCAAGTAAGGTGGCAGGCCACATAGACTTACAGGTGTTGCTTCAGTCAAGTAAGGTGGCAGCCCACATAGACTTACAGGTGTTGCTTCAGTCAAGTAAGGTGGCAGGCCACATAGACTTACAGGTGCTGCTTCAGTCAAGTAAGGTGGCAGGCCACATAGACTTACAGGTGCTGCTTCAGTCAAGTAAGGTGGCAGGCCACATAGACTTACAGGTGTTGCTTCAGTCAAGTAAGGTGGCAGGCCACATAGACTTACAGGTGTTGCTTCAGTCAAGTAAGGTGGCAGGCCCACATAGACTTACAGGTGCTGCTTCAGTCAAGTAAGGTGGCAGGCCACATAGACTTACAGGTGTTGCTTCAGTCAAGTAAGGTGGCAGGCCACATAGACTTACAGGTGTTGCTTCAGTCAAGTAAGGTGGCAGCCCACATAGACTTACAGGTGTTGCTTCAGTCAAGTAAGGTGGCAGGCCCACATAGACTTACAGGTGCTGCTTCAGTCAAGTAAGGTGGCAGGCCACATAGACTTACAGGTGTTGCTTCAGTCAAGTAAGGTGGCAGGCCACATAGACTTACAGGTGTTGCTTCAGTCAAGTAAGGTGGCAGCCCACATAGACTTACAGGTGTTGCTTCAGTCAAGTAAGGTGGCAGGCCCACATAGACTTACAGGTGCTGCTTCAGTCAAGTAAGGTGGCAGGCCAACATAGACTTACAGGTGTTGCTTCAGTCAAGTAAGGTGGCAGGCCCACATAGACTTACAGGTGCTGCTTCAGTCAAGTAAGGTGGCAGGCCCACATAGACTTACAGGTGCTGCTTCAGTCAAGTAAGGTGGCAGGCCACATAGACTTACAGGTGTTGCTTCAGTCAAGTAAGGTGGCAGGCCACATAGACTTACAGGTGTTGCTTCAGTCAAGTAAGGTGGCAGGCCACATAGACTTACAGGTGTTGCTTCAGTCAATGCCAAATGTACTGGTTTCTTCTACTGCCATGACCAGCTTCTCAAACAGCATCTCAAACGAGGTGTAAGGCGGCAGGTCCAGCCTGTTGAAGCAGGTGTGAGCTCTGGGGAGAACAAATGGTCTGCTGGGTCAACTCAACATCCAACTCATGCTTCAAACACTCAGATGGTCAACTCAACATCCAACTCATGCTTCAAACACTCAGATGGTCAACTCAACATCCAACTCATGCTTCAAACACTCAGATGGTCAACTCAACATCCAACGCATGCTTCAAACACTCAGATGGTCAACTCAACTCATGCTTCAAACACTCAGATGGTCAACTCAACATCCAACTCATGCTTCAAACACTCAGATGGTCAACTCAACATCCAACTCATGCTTCAAACACTCAGATGGTCAACTCAATTCATGCTTCAAACACTCAGATGGTCAACTCAACATCCAACTCATGCTTCAAACACTCAGATGGTCAACTCAACATCCAACGCATGCTTCAAACACTCAGATGGTCAACTCAACTCATGCTTCAAACACTCAGATGGTCAACTCAACATCCAACTCATGCTTCAAACACTCAGATGGTCAACATCCAACTCATGCTTCAAACACTCAGATGGTCAACTCAACTCATGCTTCAAACACTCAGATGGTCAACTCAACATCCAACTCATGCTTCAAACACTCAGATGGTCAACTCAACATCCAACTCATGCTTCAAACACTTAGATGGTCAACTCAACTCATGCTTCAAACACTCAGATGGTCAACTCAACATCCAACTCATGCTTCAAACACTCAGATGGTCAACTCAACATCCAACTCATGCTTCAAACACTCAGATGGTCAACTCATGCTTCAAACACTCAGATGGTCAACTCATGCTTCAAACACTCAGATGGTCAACTCAACTCATGCTTCAAACACTCAGATGGTCAACTCAACATCCAACTCATGCTTCAAACACTCAGATGGTCAACTCAACATCCAACTCATGCTTCAAACACTCAGATGGTCAACTCAACTCATGCTTCAAACACTCAGATGGTCAACTCAACATCCAACTCATGCTTCAAACACTCAGATGGTCAACTCAACATCCAACTCATGCTTCAAACACTCAGATGGTCAACTCAACATCCAACTCATGCTTCAAACACTCAGATGGTCAACTCATGCTTCAAACACTCAGATGGTCAACTCAACATCCAACTCATGCTTCAAACACTCAGATGGTCAACTCAACATCCAACTCATGCTTCAAACACTCAGATGGTCAACTCAACATCCAACTCATGCTTCAAACACTCAGATGGTCAACTCATGCTTCAAACACTCAGATGGTCAACTCAACACATGCTTCAAACACTCAGATGGTCAACTCAACATCCAACTCATGCTTCAAACACTCAGATGGTCAACTCAACATCCAACTCATGCTTCAAACACTCAGATGGTCAAATCAACTCATGCTTCAAACACTCAGATGGTCAACTCAACTCATGCTTCAAACACTCAGATGGTCAACTCAACTCATGCTTCAAACACTCAGATGGTCAACTCAACATCCAACTCATGCTTCAAACACTCAGATGGTCAACTCAACATCCAACTCATGCTTCAAACACTCAGATGGTCAACTCAACATCCAACTCATGCTTCAAACACTCAGATGGTCAACTCATGCTTCAAACACTCAGATGGTCAACTCAACACATGCTTCAAACACTCAGATGGTCAACTCAACATCCAACTCATGCTTCAAACACTCAGATGGTCAACTCAACATCCAACTCATGCTTCAAACACTCAGATGGTCAAATCAACTCATGCTTCAAACACTCAGATGGTCAACTCAACTCATGCTTCAAACACTCAGATGGTCAACTCAACTCATGCTTCAAACACTCAGATGGTCAACTCAACATCCAACTCATGCTTCAAACACTCAGATGGTCAACTCAATTCATGCTTCAAACACTCAGATGGTCAACTCAACATCCAACTCATGCTTCAAACACTCAGATGGTCAACTCAACATCCAACTCATGCTTCAAACACTCAGATGGTCAACTCAACATCCAACTCATGCTTCAAACACTCAGATGGTCAACTCAACATCCAACTCATGCTTCAAACACTCAGATGGTCAACTCAACATCCAACTCATGCTTCAAACACTCAGATGGTCAACTCAACATCCAACTCATGCTTCAAACACTCAGATGGTCAACTCATGCTTCAAACACTCAGATGGTCAACTCAACTCATGCTTCAAACACTCAGATGGTCAACTCAACATCCAACTCATGCTTCAAACACTCAGATGGTCAACTCAACATCCAACTCATGCTTCAAACACTCAGATGGTCAACTCAACATCCAACTCATGCTTCAAACACTCAGATGGTCAACTCAATTCATGCTTCAAACACTCAGATGGTCAACTCAACATCCAACTCATGCTTCAAACACTCAGATGGTCAACTCAATTCATGCTTCAAACACTCAGATGGTCAACTCAATTCATGCTTCAAACACTCAGATGGTCAACTCAATTCATGCTTCAAACACTCAGATGGTCAACTCAATTCATGCTTCAAACACTCAGATGGTCAACTCAACATCCAACTCATGCTTCAAACACTCAGATGGTCAACTCAACATCCAACTCATGCTTCAAACACTCAGATGGTCAACTCAATTCATGCTTCAAACACTCAGATGGTCAACTCAACATCCAACTCATGCTTCAAACACTCAGATGGTCAACTCAACATCCAACTCATGCTTCAAACACTCAGATGGTCAACTCAACATCCAACTCATGCTTCAAACACTCAGATGGTCAACTCAACTCATGCTTCAAACACTCAGATGGTCAACTCAACATCCAACTCATGCTTCAAACACTCAGATGGTCAACTCAATTCATGCTTCAAACACTCAGATGGTCAACTCAACATCCAACTCATGCTTCAAACACTCAGATGGTCAACTCAACATCCAACTCATGCTTCAAACACTCAGATGGTCAACTCAACATCCAACTCATGCTTCAAACACTCAGATGGTCAACTCAACATCCAACTCATGCTTCAAACACTCAGATGGTCAACTCAACATCCAACTCATGCTTCAAACACTCAGATGGTCAACTCATGCTTCAAACACTCAGATGGTCAACTCAACATCCAACTCATGCTTCAAACACTCAGATGGTCAACTCAATTCATGCTTCAAACACTCAGATGGTCAACTCAACATCCAACTCATGCTTCAAACACTCAGATGGTCAACTCAATTCATGCTTCAAACACTCAGATGGTCAACTCAATTCATGCTTCAAACACTCAGATGGTCAACTCAATTCATGCTTCAAACACTCAGATGGTCAACTCAATTCATGCTTCAAACACTCAGATGGTCAACTCAACATCCAACTCATGCTTCAAACACTCAGATGGTCAACTCAACATCCAACTCATGCTTCAAACACTCAGATGGTCAACTCAATTCATGCTTCAAACACTCAGATGGTCAACTCAACATCCAACTCATGCTTCAAACACTCAGATGGTCAACTCAACATCCAACTCATGCTTCAAACACTCAGATGGTCAACTCAACATCCAACTCATGCTTCAAACACTCAGATGGTCAACTCAACTCATGCTTCAAACACTCAGATGGTCAACTCAACATCCAACTCATGCTTCAAACACTCAGATGGTCAACTCAATTCATGCTTCAAACACTCAGATGGTCAACTCAACATCCAACTCATGCTTCAAACACTCAGATGGTCAACTCAACATCCAACTCATGCTTCAAACACTCAGATGGTCAACTCAACATCCAACTCATGCTTCAAACACTCAGATGGTCAACTCAACATCCAACTCATGCTTCAAACACTCAGATGGTCAACTCAACATCCAACTCATGCTTCAAACACTCAGATGGTCAACTCAACTCATGCTTCAAACACTCAGATGGTCAACTCAACATCCAACTCATGCTTCAAACACTCAGATGGTCAACTCAATTCATGCTTCAAACACTTAGATGGTCAACCTGGGGCAACTGACTTTACCCACCCTTTGGCTGACTTGTGACTTTACCCAACCATTGACTGACTTGTGACTTTACCCAACCATTGACTGACTTGTGACTTTACCCAACCATTGACTGACTTGTGACTTTACACCCCCATTGGCTGACTTGTGACTTTACACCCCCTTTGGCTGACTTGTGACTTTACCCAACCATTGACTGACTTGTGACTTTACCCAACCATTGACTGACTTGTGACTTTACTCCCCCCATTTCTTACCTTGGCAGACTTGTGACTTTACCCCACTTCTCTATACAAAATTTACGTGGCCCATTACTCCCCCTTAAAGCAGTGAATCCTTCGTAGGGAATACTTGATGATCCAGTGACAAACTGAAAGTAACAAACAACACAAGGCTTTAGACAAGCAACAAATCTTGAATACAAGGTTTTAGACTGGCAAAAACCAGAATTGTCTAACCTCCATAGTAAATTACTTGAAATAATTTCATTAGTTATTTAAGTAGCTGCACTTCTTTATATGTAGGCACCTGTAATTGCCTAACCTGTCTAGCTAGGCACCTGTAATAGCCTAACCTGTCTAGCTAGGCACCTGTAATAGCCTAACCTGTCTAGCTAGGCACCTGTAATAGCCTAACCCGTCTAGCTAGGCACCTGTAATAGCCTAACCTGTCTAGCTAGGCACCTGTAATAGCCTAACCTGTCTAGCTAGGCACCTGTAATAGCCTAACCTGTCTAGCTAGGCACTTGTAATAGCCTAACCTGTCTAGCTAGGCACCTGTAATAGCCTAACCTGTCTAGCACCTGTAATAGCCTAACCTGTCTAGCTAGGCACCTGTAATAGCCTAACCTGTCTAGCTAGGCACCTGTAATAGCCTAACCTGTCTAGCTAGGCACCTGTAATAGCCTAACCTATCTAGCTAGGCACCTGTAATAGCCTAACCTGTCTAGCTGAGTACCTGTAATAGCCTAACCTGTCTAGCTAGGCACCTGTAATAACCTAACCTGTCTAGCCAGGCACCTGTAATAGCCTAACCTGTCTAGCTAGGCACCTGTAATAGCCTAACCCGTCTAGCTAGGCACCTGTAATAGCCTAACCTGTCTAGCTGAGTACCTGTAATAGCCTAACGTGTCTAGCTAGGCACCTGTAATAACCTAACCTGTCTAGCTAGGCACCAGTAATAGCCTAACCTGTCTAGCTAGGCACCTGTAATAGCCTAACCTGTCTAGCTGAGTACCTGTAATAGCCTAACCTGTCTAGCTAGGCACCTGTAATAACCTAACCTGTCTAGCTAGGCACCTGTAATAGCCTAACCTGTCTAGCTGAGTACCTGTAATAGCCTAACCTGTCTAGCTAGGCACCTGTAATAGCCTAACCCGTCTAGCTAGGCACCTGTAATAGCCTAACCTGTCTAGCTAGGCACCTGTAATAACCTAACCTGTCTAGCTGAGTACCTGTAATAGCCTGAGCTGCCTCTCATTATCAAACTTCTCAATGGCCTCCCAGAACCACTGGATGACAGTATGCTGATCATGGTAACCTGGAGATGACAACATTAAACATTTCAGTGGAGACATTGACTGGTCTGGTAGAAATAACAACATTATAAATGAACATTTCAGTGGAGAAATTGACTGGTCTGGTAGGAAATAACAACATTAGAATTGAACATTTCAGTGGAGACATTGACTGGTCTGGTAGGAAATAACAACATTATAAATGAACATTTCAGTGGAGACATTGACTGGTCTGGTAGGAAATAATAACATTATAAATGAACATTTTGGTGGAGACATTGACTGGTCTGGTAGGAAATAACAACATTAGAATTGAACATTTTGGTGGAGACATTGACTGGTCTGGTAGGAAATAACAACATTATAATTGAACATTTTGGTGGAGACATTGACTGGTCTGGTAGGAAATAACAACATTATAAATGAACATTTTGGTGGAGACATTGACTGGTCTGGTAGGAAATAACATTATAAATGAACATTTTGGTGGAGACATTGACTGGTCTGGTAGGAAATAACAGCATTATAATTGAACATTTTGGTGTAGACATTGACTGGTCTGGTAGGAAATAACAACATTATAATTGAACATTTTGGTGGAGACATTGACTGGTCTGGTAGGAAATAACAACATTAGAATTGAACATTTTGGTGGAGACATTGACTGGTCTGGTAGGAAATAACAACATTAGAATTGAACATTTTGGTGGAGACATTGACTGGTCTGGTAGGAAATAACAACATTATAAATGAACATTTTGGTGGAGACATTGACTGGTCTGGTAGGAAATAACAACATTAGAATTGAACATTTTGGTGGAGACATTGACTGGTCTGGTAGGAAATAACAACATTAGAATTGAACATTTTGGTGGAGACATTGACTGGTCTGGTAGGAAATAACAACATTAGAATTGAAGATTTTGGTGGAGACATTGACTGGTCTGGTAGGAAATAACAACATTAGAATTGAACATTTTGGTGGAGACATTGACTGGTCTGGTAGGAAATAACAACATTAGAATTGAACATTTTGGTGGAGACATTGACTGGTCTGGTAGGAAATAACAACATTATAAATGAACATTTTGGTGGAGACATTGACTGGTCTGGTAGGAAATAACAACATTATAAATGAACATTTTGGTGGAGACATTGACTGGTCTGGTTTACGTAGAGATTATGTTCTGACAGAATGTGATGGCTGCATTGTTGTAAGACATTCAATTCCTGAACCAACTTTTGAAAGAAATAAGTATTTCTGTACAATACCTGAGCGATAGTCAGTATTTCTGCGCCAGTCTCCAATATCAATCTCTACAGTGCCAGCAATGACCAGTTCCAGCTCACGAGCATCAAAGACAGAGACCAGGCGACCATCCAGCACCTGTCAACAGCAGTTGGTAACATTTAGTGGGGTTTTGTTTTGTCAACAGCAGTTGGTAACATTTAGTGGGGTTTTGTTTTGTCAACAGCAGTTGGTAACATTTAGTGGGGTTGTTTTGTCAACAGCAGTTGGTAACATTTAGTGGGGTTTTGTTGTGGTAATAAAAACTAATTGGACATGTTGTGAATGAAAGATCAAACCTCATGGAATCCCCGTATGAGGCTGTCTGTCTGTTCTGTGACTCCCCTCTCCAGCCTCCACTTGACCATCTTCTCTATGTACTCCTTCTTGTTCCTCTCTGTCACCACAATGTTCTTGCCATTGGGCTTCAGCTCCCTCTCTGTCACCTGTAGACAGAATAGACACATAGGTCAGCACAGCTGGGCTGGAGGTCAGCACAGCTGGGCCGGAGGTCAGCACAGCTGGGCTGGAGGTCAGCACAGCTGGAGGTCAGCACAGCTGGGCCAGAGACTTGGCCAGTAACCAAACAGAGAGAGCACTGACCTGTCCAAAGACTTCCTCACTGACAGAGAAGGTCAGGTCCAGGTCCACTTCACTAATGTCATTGTCTTTGATCCACAGCAAGCTCTGGTGGAACTCCATGTCAAGCGACTCCACATCTTCCAGAGAGAGTGGCCTATAAGACAGTAGCAATGTTTTAGTGTCCTACAGGACAGTAGCAATGTTTTAAAGTGTCCTACAGGACAGTAGCAATGTTTTAAAGTGTCCTACAGGACAGTAGCAATGTTTTAAAGTGTCCTATAGGACAGTAGCAATGTTTTAAAATGTCCTACAGGACAGTAGCAATGATTTAGTGTCCTACAGGACAGTAGCAATGATTTAGTGTCCTACAGGACAGTAGCAATGTTTTAAAGTTTCCTACAGGACACTAGAAATGTTTTAAAGTGTCCTATAGGACACTAGCAATGTTTTAGAGTGTCCTATAGGCCAGTAGCAATGATATAAAGTGTCCTACAGGAAAACAGCACTGACTTACACACGAAGTAGGGACTTGTAGAAAGGCCGTGTGAAGAAAGCATCAAGCAGGTACTGGTGGACTAAAGCCAGACCCAACACGCGACCAGAGAAGCGAAACCTGTAATAAGGATTAGTATTTTACATTCAATGACATACAGTTATAATAAATTGTAATATTGTTTACATCTATTAACAGTAAGTATTAATAAGTTTCAGATAAAATGTTTCTTTACCATTCATGGGCATTCTCAACAAATGTTGATAAGGGGCTGACTTGCACAGTGTACGTATCATTGGCTGAATACTCAAATAGGCCGTAGTAAGGATTGAACAGCTCACGAGATAGTAAGAAGAAAAACTCTCGAGATGGGCCCCCATAGTCCAGGCTAGAACACACAAGATCAAATAAATGAATTTTTAAATGGGGCTCCCATAGAACAAGTTACTTCTAAAATGCACACTCCCCCCCTGAGGTTAGGATAGAACATATTTGCTCACCCCTCTTCTCCAGCAAATGTGATGTAGAGTTTATTCTTCTGGAGCTCTTTCTTTGGCGTGGACATGATTTTGTTGAAGGCGTCTTCTAAAACATGATCTCTTCTCACAGTCAGCCTGGGGAGACATAATCCTTGGTAACAGACAGGGGAGAGAATCAGTGTATCACATGTAACAGGAGGGGAGAGAATCAGAGTACCAGACAGGAGAGATGAGTCTATCAATACATAACAGGGGAGAGAATATGTGAATCAAAATGTAACAGGAGGGGAGATAATAAGTGGTACAAGTTTCTACAAAATGAATACTAGCAGTTGGTTTTTTTAATATAACAACCAAAAGAGAATGGCATCATCTGTATGTTTGCTAGACTTAAAGACAGACAAGAGTTGTACTCACTTTAACTTGCCTGGACCTTGTCCGTAGCCCTTAGACTCAAGCTTGCGATAAAAGTTTCTCAGTTTAGCCTGGAAATCTCTTTTGTATGGTGCTGGCACACGGCCGGGGCCTCGTTGAACTAAACAAAATAAAAATGTTGTCCAGTCTTGAGTCATTGATAAACTTTGGAACAAATGGACTGAAAGCTTGTATTACAGTCCAAGCTGTTCTTGCTTCCGCTACACACTTTTTATCAACTGCAGTGGAGTATGCCATTCTAATCTTTGAACTTACTTTCATCAATGTAAAAACATAGAGGTTACCTGGTGACCCTTGAGGTGACCCCTGACTTGCAGCCTCTAGTGAATCTATTCTCCGATTACTTATTATAGGGACATAGCTCATGATTTCATTTTCAAATAGGCTGAAATAGTGATGATTAAATCAGTCAAAGGAATAATGATTAAATGAAACAATAACAGAAGAAAATGTTTTTATAAAACATCATCTATCAGACATGCCTATTATTTATTTAAAAGGGGAACAAACTTCAAACATGGGAACAATTTGCTTTTGATGGGACGTTAGGCATGTATGATCTATGTAAACAGTGAGGGACAACAGCAACCTGTGGATGTTATGGGTACAGATCTCTGGTGGTGCTACAACATGGACTCACCTGAGTAAGAGTGTCAGGTCTATATCATTTGAGAACCTCTCCAGCATGTCTACACCTCGGGCTGCTATTTTATTGACTTTCTCACGCAGACTAGAACTAGATGCATACTGGGGGCAGCGCTCTCTCAACATGTCATCCACATTGGCTTGACGCAGGAATACCACAACTTTCTCATTGTAAGCTAAGAAAGATGGAAAATCAGTTATCACTGAAAGCTAAGCTGGCAAACTTCCAAATCTCAAGGACATGAAAACATTAAAGAGACAATATGAGATAGAATAGGTAATGAGCTTTTGACTGCCTGATATTTTTGGTGAGATCAGAAGTTTAAGCTTTAACTAATAAGTTTACAAATACCAATTGTTTTGTAGATTCTATAAAAAAACTAGACATTAGATCAGATGTTTAAGCTTTAACTAACAAGTTTACAAATACCAATTGTTTTGTAGATTCTATAAAAAACTAGACATGAGATCAGAAGTTTAACTAATAAGTTTACAAATACCAATTGTTTTGTAGATTCTATAAAAAACTAGACATTAGATCAGAAGTTTAAGCTTTAACTAACAAGTTTACAAATACCAATTGTTTTGTAGATTCTATAAAAAACTAGACATTAGATCAGATGTTTAACTAATAAGTTTACAAATACCAATTGTTTTGTAGATTCTATAAAAAACTAGACATGAGATCAGAAGTTTAAGCTTTAACAAATAAGTTTACAAATACCAATTGTTTTGTAGATTCTATAAAAAACTAGATGAGCTTACCAGTAGGAATGGGTGCTACGGCTTCTGACACAGCTGGCTTAGGAGGAGGGGGAGGCTGCGGTTCAATAAAATAAAAATATATACATTGAGTTAGTGACATTTTTCAGGCTGACCACACAATTGTTCCAACATTGATAAAAACTTTGGTGCGATACAAGTTGCAGCTAAACTATTCACATCTTTACTTCAGTATGATACAAGTTGCAGCTAAACTATTCACATCTTTACTTCAGTGTGATACAAGGTGCAGCTAAACTCTTCACATCTTTACTTCAGTGTGATACAAGTTGTAGCTAAACTATTCACATCTTTACTTCAGTGTGATACAAGTTGCAGCTAAACTATTCACATCTTTACTTCAGTGTGATACAAGGTGCAGCTAAACTCTTCACATCTTTACTTCAGTGTGATACAAGTTGCAGCTAAACTATTCACATCTTTACTTCAGTGTGATACAAGTTGCAGCTTTACTATTCACACCTTTGCTTCAGTGTGATACAAGTTGCAGCTAAACTATTCACATCTTTACTTCAGTGTGATACAAGTTGTAGCTAAACTATTCACATATTTACTTCAGTGTGATACAAGTTGTAGCTAAACTATTCACATCTTTACTTCAGTGTGATACAAGTTGCAGCTAAACTATTCACACCTTTACTTCAGCATGATACAAGTTGCAGCTAAACTATTCACATATTTACTTCAGTTGATACAAGTTGTAGCTAAACTATTTACATATTTACTTCAGTATGATACAAGTTGTAGCTAAACTATTCACACCTTTACTTCAGTGTGATACAAGTTGCAGCTAAACTATTCACATCTTTACTTCAGTGTGATATAAGTTGTAGCTAAACTATTCACACCTTTACTTCAGTGTGATACTAGTTGCAGCTAAACTATTCACATCTTTAATTCAGTGTGATACAAGTTGTAGCTAAACTATTCACATCTTTAATTCAGTGTGATACAAGTTGCAGCTAAACTATTCACATCATTACTTCAGTGTGATACAAGTTGCAGCTAAACTATTCACATCTTTACTTCAGTGTGATACAAGTTGCAGCTAAACTATTCACATCTTAACTTCAGTGTGATACAAGTTGCAGCTAAACTATTCACATCTTTACTTCAGTGTGATACAAGTTGCAGCTAAACTATTCACATCTTTACTTCAGTGTGTTACAAGTTGCAGCTAAACTATTCACATCTTTACTTCAGTGTGTTACAAGTTGCAGCTAAACTATTCACACCTTTACTTCAGTGTGATACAAGTTGCAGCTAAACTATTCACATCTTTACTTCAGTGTGTTACAAGTTGCAGCTAAACTATTCACATCTTAATTTCAGTGTGATACAAGTTGCAGCTAAAATATTCACATCTTTACTTACACGTGGGGGAGGAGTTTGTAGGAAGTCAGGGTTGATTGGAGGCACATCAGTAGGGAGACGAGGGTCCATGAAAGTTGTAGTTCGTAGGACATGATCAATGAAAAATGCCTGGGAAATAAAACAGTTTTGAATAGGACCTCTACTTCAGTGTTGCACAAATAAAACATGAGTTTATGTTTGTACGTACTTTCCCAGATTTATCATACTTCATTTCCCAGCGTCTTGGTAGCTCTTTGGATTTATCACAGAACAAATTGACAAAAGATACTAAGTCTCTGTTATGTTGATACCTGGAAGGGAAGTTTCAAGTCAAAATCTGGCATTGATAAGACAGAGGATGTTATTTTACATTGACCAGGAAAAAAAAAAGAGTGCTGTAACAAAATGGATTGGATAAAAGAATGGCAATATTTACCTTTCAAATGTTTTTGGATCTTTTCTAATCTTGGTTATCATGTGTTTTAATTTACTTGTTCTATTGTATTCAACCATTGCATTCTGAAACCATCAGAGTATAAAGCACATGAGAGATCAACTCAATGGGTTAGAGCAAGTTTTGATAGTGGAGTATGACACATCAAGACAATAGTTTAGAGCAAGTTTTGATAGTGGAGTACAACACATCAAGACAATAGTTTAAAGCAAGTTTTGATGGTGAAACAAAGACCAACCTCGTTTACTTGCAGCATAGGGAAAAAGTCAGGTCGTGTGAGGAACTTGACAGCAGGAAACTTGTACACACTTCGCTCTGATCTGTCAGCAGATCTGTCTGGCAAACTGTCTGATGGTGTGGCAGAGCTTGGGCTGTTGTCTGATGCGTTTGATGCACCACCTGCACATAAAGAGATAACATTTGATGCACCACATGCACATAAAGAGTTAACATTTGATGCACCACCTGCACATAAAGAGTTAACATTTGATGGACCATCTGCACATAAAGAGTTAACATTTGATGGACTACATACACGTAAAGTTAACATTTGCTGCACCACCTACATATGCACATTTTAAAAATAAAATTTATCTTTACTAAAAAGTTACGTAATGTAAAACTTCTTAGCTGCACGGTCGAAGCTATAAAGTCAAGTAAAAGAAGACTGGTCTCAACTACAACACACAAACCATCTCACCTGTTGGTTGGCTGGAGTCACCTGAAGCTTCAGCATCCACTGGATGATTCTGGGTGATGGTGCGACGGATACTCTGGTACCTGAATATCAGAATAACAATACAGATACCAGGATATGTATATGTATATATATATATATATATATATATATATATATATATATATATATATATATATATATATATATATATATATATATATATCCTTATGTATAAAAGCCCATGTGCGCACTTCTCTGTCTATCTCTCTGTACGCAACATATTTCCTGAGGCTATGAACTTAAAGATACGTATTTTTGTTGAAAATAATATGTTGGATGTATTAAATATATGAACTAAATTTTATTCCAAGAAGGAAAATAAAATTAAATGCATATTTGAATATAGAAACACATTTTTAATTATGCAACCTGAAAAGTGTTTATGGTTGTGACAAGAATGCAAAAAACAATGAAGTCACATATTGAAACTACTGAAAGTACACAACACCAATGGCGTCACCTTCTAATTTTAGAATACGAAGAAATGAACTCTTTCATTCAAATTAGATTTACATCTATAGATTTACTTATAAAGACGTATTCTATGAAATGCATTAAATTTTCTCAGCCAAAAAACTATAAATTACTTTGAAAAAAAACCCCAACATAATGACCATTGAACGGAATCGTTTAGGTCTTTTAATCAGTGTGTGCATTTAATATGGTGTTGTGTTGACTAATAATTTATATAATTTGGTTATATTGTTCAACGTGTAGTAAAGCTCATAGCATTTTGACCAATAACTATTTTATGAATTATTTTTTCCCAAACAAGTACAACATTAAAAACGTATAGGCCTATAATTCACGTGAAACGGGTACCCATGGCTAGTATATCTTTAAATATATATATTAAAATAACAGTACACAGATACTTAGATCAAACAATAACAATACACTGACACCTGGATTTAAAAATAACTAATAATTGTAGCAGCTGTTTACCTGCGGTCAAGCTGCTGCCTCTGTTCTGAGCTGAGAGTGGGTCTTCGTTGTACGGTCTGAAAGCCAGTTTGTGGGCGCTGCCAGGTTGTCGTTCTATTTACATGGTCTATATAAAAGATGCGGCCGTGGCTGTCTACCCTAGCTTCCCAGCCTACATGAAGAAAGGTCAAGGGTCAACTCAAATGTACAGACAAAACAGCTTATCTACCCAGACTACATGAAGAAAGGTCAACTCAAATGTACAAAAAGACAAATTATATTCTCAAGTCTGGTTTATTTCATTTGTAACCCCACTAGCAACAAATAAACACCCACTAGCAACAAATAAACAGCCCTTGGTTACTCCACTAGCAATAACAGCCCCTGATAACTCCAGTATAAGCTTAACATATAAGTGAGTAGCCTACCCGATGGTAGGACATCGTCTATGTCAGGATGTCTGGGGTACTTGATGGCTCGCTTGCGTGGTGGTTCACCACCTTCTGCCCCAGCTGAAAGAAAATGTTTGTTTTATAGCATTGTCACCAACTTACCAATCCCTCCCCCACCCTCAATGACCAACTCACCAATCCCTCCTCACCTTCTATGATGGACTTTCCAATCCCTCCCCATCCTCCATAGTCAAGTTACCCATCCCTCCACAAACCTCAATGACCAACTTACCCATCCCTCCCCAACCCTCAATGACCAACTTACCCATCCCTCCCCAACCCTCAATGACCAACTTACCCATCCCTCCCCCACCCTCTATGACCAACTTACCCTTCCCTCCCCAACCCTCAATGACCAACTTACCCATCCCTCCCCACCCTCAATGACCAACTTACCCATCCCTCCCCAACCCTCAATGACCAACTTACCCATCCCTCCCCCACCCTCAATGACCAACTTACCCATCCCTCCCCACCCTCAATGACCAACTTACCCTTCCCTCCCCCACCCTCAATGACCAACTTACCCATCCCTCCCCACCCTCAATGACCAACTTACCCATCCCTCCCCACCCTCAATGACCTATTACCCATCCCTCCCCCTCCCCCAATGACCAACTTACCCATCCCTCCCCCACCCTCAATGAACAACTTACCCATCCCTCCCCACCCTCAATGACCAACTTACCCTTCCCTCCCCCACCCTCAATGACCAACTTACCCATCCCTCCCCCACCCTCAATGACCAACTTACCCATCCCTCCCCACCCTCAATGACCAACTTACCCATCCCTCCCCACCCTCAATGACCAACTTACCCTTCCCTCCCCCACTCTCAATGACCAACTTACCCATCCCTCCCCACCCTCAATGACCAACTTACCCTTCCCTCCCCCACTCTCAATGACCAACTTACCCATCCCTCCCCACCCTCAATGACCAACTTACCCTTCCCTCCCCCACTCTCAATGACCAACTTACCCATCCCTCCCCACCCTCAATGACCAACTTACCCTTCCCTCCCCCACTCTCAATGACCAACTTACCCATCCCTCCCCACCCTCAATGACCAACTTACCCTTCCCTCCCCCACTCTCAATGACCAACTTACCCATCCCTCCCCACCCTCAATGACCAACTTACCCATCCCTCCCCACCCTCAATGACCAACTTACCCATCCCTCCCCACCCTCAATGACCAACTTACCCTTCCCTCCCCCACTCTCAATGACCAACTTACCCATCCCTCCCCACCCTCAATGACCAACTTACCCATCCCTCCCCCACCCTCAATGACCAACTTACCCATCCCTCCCCACCCTCAATGACCAACTTACCCATCCCTCCCCACCCTCAATGACCTATTACCCATCCCTCCCCCTCCCCCAATGACCAACTTACCCATCCCTCCCCCACCCTCAATGAACAACTTACCCATCCCTCCCCACCCTCAATGACCAACTTACCCTTCCCTCCCCCACCCTCAATGACCAACTTACCCATCCCTCCCCCACCCTCAATGACCAACTTACCCATCCCTCCCCACCCTCAATGACCAACTTACCCTTCCCTCCCCCACTCTCAATGACCAACTTACCCATCCCTCCCCCACCCTCAATGACCAACTTACCCATCCCTCCCCACCCTCAATGACCAACTTACCCTTCCCTCCCCCACTCTCAATGACCAACTTACCCATCCCTCCCCACCCTCAATGACCAACTTACCCTTCCCTCCCCCACTCTCAATGACCAACTTACCCATCCCTCCCCTGTCTTTGAACCTGTCCCTACTGAGAGCAGCTGTAGCACTTGAGGCATTGGTTGGGTCCACCTGTGCACCACTATGGCTGCTAATCCCATGGGAATGGCCATCAGCTGCGTCAACTTGCCCTGATGTTGTACAGAGGCGTGGCACTATGATGGGGGGTGACAAGTGTTCTGTGGACCGGGCTGCCTCACATTCACTGAAGGAGGGGGGAGAGGATTCTTCCAGACCTCCGTTGGCTGTAGCCGGCTTCTGGGTTTTAGAGCGAGTCCACAACTCCAAATTTTGGCTAATCAGTTGCCTGTTTTGTTGCCGCTCTTCTGAGGATAGCTGGCGCTGGCGAGTTGACGACAAGTTGGTCAGCTGGGCAAGACCGTCCACGCTGCGCCGTTTAATGTGTGCTGCCAATGACTGGGATGCACCTAATGCAGAAGGTTCACTGGTTGTAGACATGGCGAGGCTGACACGTGAGCCAGCCACATTATCTATCCCAGCTCTAGAGGTGGGAGGGGAAGGTGCAGCTCTGTCAGATGATGAAGGAACGAGGGCCAGGTGCGCAGACCTGTCTGAAGAATGGTTGGAGCCCCGCACACCTGCATTAGGTGAAGCTGGTTGGTGGGTGCTGGTGGGAGAGACAGGTATTACAGGGGGACCCCAGGGAAATAGTTCCACAACTTCCCGACATTCAACGGGACTGTAAGTTCGTGGGGGGAGAGGAGGTGGGGGAGGTTCTAACCTTGGTTTACTAGTTTCATGATTGTTTGTAGGACGAGGTGGTAACGGAGGCGCAGAGGTTTTGTTGATTCTAGGAGGTAGGGGTGGGGCCTTGTAAGTTCTGGGTGGCAGTGTGGGAGCCTCAGGCTTGAGGGCTGAGGGAAACACTGGACCCCCTGACTGGACCGTCATGTCCAGCTCTGGCTGGCCCTCTTCATCAGCTGTTGTACTGCAGGCAGCAGCAACTAAGCTCTGGCCATCCCCACCTTCAGGTCTGGCACAAGCTCCTTGCAGGCTACTGCTCGAGTCTGTTGGGTTCAAGGATGTTTTAGGGCTTAAAGAAACATCAAGTTTATCACCAGCAGACATGGAGGTGCCAGAATCTGAGCTCTCGGCATCCTGTCTGGACATGAGGCTTGTCTCCCCAGGCAGCTGGTAGTCTGGTGAGCTGGGCCCACCCCTCAGGGCCTCCTCACACTGCTCTGTCTCCTCACTGATGTCCCAGGTGGGGGTCAGCCTGCCATGGGGGTCAGAGACCACCAGGCCGGGGTCAGTGTGTCTGTGACGGATGTGAGAGGTGCGAGGTGTGTTCTCTCCCTGCTTGGACAGGGTAGCAGGCAGTGATGTTTGCCGCTGGAGGCATCCATTCATCTTATGGCCATCATCTGTAAGAAGAAACACAAAGGTAACTAGGGGTAACAGATGGTAACTGCAGGGGTAATCACATGGGTAACAGTCAATAACTACATGGAAACACATTTTAACAGATATCTAGCTGGTTTTTCTACCTTGAAATAGTAAAAAAAAAGCTAAAATTAAATATGTTAAAACAGCAGGTCACAAGATGGTCATATCACAAGTCTGACATTCAGTGGTCAGTGTGGCCAGGTGAAGCAGTGGAGGGGAGGTCTATAGCTACATTGTGGGCTAAGTGGAACATAGTACAAATTATTTACTTAAAAACCTATATTATTATCAACAGCAAATTAATTGGTGTTTCAATAAATGGGCATGATAAAATATGATGTGACGGCAATTTAAATAAAAGTGTGGAACAAATGTTGAGGTTCCTAACCTTGCAGCACTAACTGAAGATGAACTTTAAACTGTACTGCACCACTGACATTATCTGATGGGCCTTTTCTCATCAGCTCTAGTAGAAACTCTGCTGGCCTGGGGGTTTCAACAATCAACACATTAACACAATCTACCATGTACATAACATTAACACACTGTACCACGTACATCTTAACAATCAACACATTATCACACAGTGTACCACATACATCTAAACAATCAACACATTAACACAATCTACCATGTACATATCATTATCACACAGTACCACGTACATAACATTATCACACTGTACCATGTACATAACATTATCACACTGTACCACGTACATAACATTAACACAGTGTACCATACATCTAAACAATCAACACATTAACACACTGTACCACATACATCTAAACAATCAACACATTAACACACTGTACCATGTACATCTAAACAATCAACACATTAACACACTGTACAATGTACATCTAAACAATCAACATTAACACACTGTACCACGTACATAACATTAACACAGTGTACCACATACATCTAAACAATCAACACATTAACACACTGTACCATGTACATCTAAACAATCAAAATATTAACACACTGTACCACATACATCTAAACAATCAACACATTAACACACTGTACCATGTACATCTAAACAATCAACACATTAACACACTGTACAATGTACATCTAAACAATCAACATATTAACACACTGTACAATGTACATCTAAACAATCAACATATTAACACACTGTACCACGTACATAACATTAACACAGTGTACCACATACATCTAAACAATCAACACATTAACACACTGTACCATGTACATCTAAACAATCAAAATATTAACACACTGTACCATGTACATCTAAGCAATCAACATATTAACACACTGTACCATGTACATCTAAGCAATCAACATATTAACACACTGTACCATGTACATCTAAACAATCAACACATTAACACACTGTACCACATACATCTAAACAATCAACACATTAACACACTGTACCATGTACATCTAAACAATCAACACATTAACACACTGTACAATGTACATCTAAACAATCAACATATTAACACACTGTACAATGTACATCTAAACAATCAACATATTAACACACTGTACCACGTACATAACATTAACACAGTGTACCACATACATCTAAACAATCAACACATTAACACACTGTACCATGTACATCTAAACAATCAACATATTAACACACTGTACCATGTACATCTAAGCAATCAACATATTAACACACTGTACCATGTACATCTAAGCAATCAACATATTAACACACTGTACCATGTACATCTAAGCCAGTGGTTCCCAACCTTTTTCGAGTGGCGACCCCCTTTTATAAAAAGTAAGTGACCCGCGACCCCCATAGAATTAAAAAGCCGAAATTAGTATGGAAAGTAATAAGCACTATAATAAGATTTGCTAGTAGACTTTCAATATGAACTACTCTTGATAACTGCTTTAATAGCATGAGTAAAATTGCATACTATTCACTAAACCTTCGTGGTTAAGTTTTTAATTAAAAAAAATTTTTTTAACGCCAACCTATGTCATTATAAGTATCTTAATTTTGTTTTTAATCAAAGAATAGTGTTGAAAATATATTCTCGAAAAGTCAATAAATTTTACGTTTGGGTATGAATGGTGAATACTACACCAAAATTGTGTCTGCAGTTTTTCATCTTACTCGGAATCATTCTGCAAATCAAAGAATTCATCTTGTAATTCATCGGGAATGCTGGCAACATCAATGGAAGAAGAGAATGGATAATGCGTAAATGCAGATTCCTCTTTTTTCAGCTCAGAGAAATAGCGATGCAGTTCGTTTTCAAGAGATTCAAAATGCCCATAAATCGCTTCTTTCAAAATTTTAATTATCTCCCAATCAGATTCATTTACCACACCGCAGAGTTTCTCAAATTAACAATATTTCCAAGATTTATTTTCTTTACCGATTTTGCAGCTTTGATAAAAATGCCCCGAGATTAACATGGAAAGTTGTAATATTCGTTCATTTTCCCTGAATCTTCAGGTTAAGCTTACCTTGATGTTTGAACACATCTGCTAGGTATGATACTCTCTTCAACCACTCTATGTTGTTTTAAGTATACCAAAAAGTCTTGTTTCCTTTGCACTTTCAAGAACAATTTGATTTCAGATTTCAATTCAAAAACACAATTTACAACATTTCGTTTGACAGCCAGCGTACTGTAGTGTAAAAGAGCAGAACCTCGTGATCTATATTAATGTTTTTGCTCAGTTCTTTGAAGGCTCCAGATTTCATATAATTTACGACTTATACTAGCAATGGACTCTTGATGTCGATTGGTTAGGGTAATAGTTAGGGAGCTAAATCTTTTCTGTTTTCTGAAAGCCCGATTTTGAGCTAAACATGGATGGCGCACCATCCGTACAAACCCCCACAGCCGTTCTAACCCATTTTAATCATCCCGTTTAAAAAAAAAAATTGTATTTATTTTTTCCATGCTATCTTCACAAAATAGCAACTCTTCTTTGCTATTATCCGCATGAATATAGACACAGACTAGCAACTGCCAACACGAACTCACGTCTGTTGATTTATCAACTTGAAAAGCAAACAATGGTGAAAGCTTAATTTCAATAAAAATGTGTTATTTAACATTAACGTACATGCAGCGTTTGATGAGATTTTCTCCTTTTTTTTTTTTTTTTTTTTTTTTTTTTGCTTGGCATTTTCTATCGCGATTTCATTTGATGCTTGCACTAATGCTGGTGAAAACTTCCTGTTCGATCAAGTCTCTGGCGTTTGCAACTAGCTTCTTACCGACGAAAGAACTTCATATATTTTTGTGTGTTCCGAATGACTCGTCTCAAATGACGTTTTAGTTTTGAAGATTGTATACATGCGTGACTGAGAACAACTTTGTACAATGCGCTTTGTTTCTTCTCTATTACCTTTCCAGTGATGTTAATGAAGCCGAATTTCAAAATTTTTTCTAAATATTTATGTTTTGTTTCAAACTACTAAGGTTTAGTATACCAGTTGGCGACCCCCCAAAAAGACCTTCGCGACCCCCAGGGGGGTCGCGACCCCCAGGTTGGGAACCCGTGATCTAAGCAATCAACATATTAACACACTGTACCACCTACATGACATTATCACACTGTACCACGTACATCTAAACAATCAACACATTATCACAATCTACCACGTACATCTAAACAATCAACACATTAACACATAACATTATCACATAGTACCACATACAAAACATTATCACACAGTACCACATACATAACATTATCACACTGTACCATGTACATCTAAACAATCAACACATTATCACAATCTACCACGTACATAACATTATCACACAGTACCACGAACATAACATTAACACTCTGTACCACGTACATAACATTATCACACTGTACTGTACATAACATTATCACACTGTACCACGTACATAACATTATCACACTGTACCTCGTACTTAACATTATCACACTGTACCGTACATAACATTAACACTCTGTACCACGTACAAAACATTATCACACAGTACCACGTACATAACATTATCACACTGCAGCATGTACATCTAAACAATCAACACATTATCACAATCTACCACATACATAACATTATCACACAGTTCCACGCACATAACATTAACACTCTGTACCACGTACATAACATTAACACTCTGTACCACGTACATAACATTATAACACTGTACCACATACATAACATTATCACACAGGTCTTACTTTTGTTCAGCAATTTGATCAATGATAGACTGTATGGGTAGTGTGGCTCGTCCAAGAAACCTGCACATGGTGGGCCTGCTCTTGCTGAACTTGTGCTTGACCTCCACCTCCAGCAGGTCAGACACATGCACTGTCAACGTAAATTTCTGGGGGGGAAACAAGACACCATCATATGGTTGCTGGGTGACACACACTGCCTGCCACACAGATGTTGAGGGAGAAAGGTTCAGTCAACTGACTGACCTCTCACACTATACCTGCCACACAGATGTTGAGGGAGAAAGGTTCAGTCAACTGACTGACCTCTCACACTATACCTGCCACACAGATGTTGAGGGAGAAAGGTTCATTGTAACTTACCTCTGATCTCCAGCATGGGTTTCCTGTGTTAGTGGCTACGGTTGAGCGCACCTTCTGATAATGATGACTCTCTATGTGCTCTCTGGAGTTGTGTGGCAAAATTTGAAACTTGACATAAGGGTCAGGGTTGAAAAACATGCCCTTCTTCAGGTTACTGGCCATGACGTCTGTGGGTTGGACAACATAGAAGCATATGTACGTGCTAGACATTTATAATCAAACACAAACATCATGATGATTACACTGTGTCACACTTAGATTTACAGTTTTAGTTTTTACAATTGACGGGCTCAATAAACTCTTTCAAAAAGGTTTGTTAACTATGTCAAAAAGGTTTGTTAACTATGTCAAAAACATTTACTACAAAACAAAAACATAAGGCAGTTTATTTTATGTTTTTTTATTCACGTAAAGCAGCTAAAATAAAGTTGTACATATTACCTTTCAACTTTATCAGAAGACATTTCTGAATTTACACTAGCCACCAATTTTTACGAGTTTGATATAAGTACATAAAAGTCATGTTAAATTCTTCTATTCAGAATTTAAAAAAACAAAACAGAGTCAATTGTTGTCTAGCATGGGTGTATGTTAACAGAAGATATTTACTCACCTTCAATGGTAATAGAAAACAGAGCATTGTTCAAAGAATTCTCTTTGGTACCTGAAGCTTGAGAGGGTGACTGAAACCAAGAGAACACAAGAGTAATGCCTCAGAAAGTCTCCTCATGGCACAGGCATAAAAGATAAAAACAAAAACTTACTTTGGTTTCATTCTTAAGTAAAGCCACAGTAACAAGGGGACTAGTGGCTAACACCTCTCCACTATTTCCACTAATGTACTTGAAGCAAACATCAGTTTTAACTAGGAGTAAAAGAAAACAGTGAGTTTTCATTCAATACTGATCTATCAATTAACTAAGAATAAAAGAAAACTATATAGTGAGTTTTCATTCAATACTGATCTATCAATTAACTAGGAGTAAAAGAAAACTATACAGTGAGTTTTCATTCAATACTGATCTATCAATTAACTAGGAGTAAAAGAAAACTATACAGTGAGTTTTCATTCAATACTGATCTATCAATTAACTAGGAGTAAAAGAAAACTATACAGTGAGTTTTCATTCAATACTGATCTATCAATTAACTAGGAGTAAAAGAAAACTATACAGTGAGTTTTCATTCAATACTGATCTATCAATTAACTAGGAGTAAAAGAAAACTATACAGTGAGTTTTCATTCAATACTGATCTATCAATTAACTAGGAGTAAAAGAAAACTATACAGTGAGTTTTCATTCAATACTGATCTATCAATTAACTAGGAATAAAAGAAAACTATACAGTGAGTTTTCATTCAATACTGTTCTATCAATTAACTAGGAGTAAAAGAAAACAATACAGTGAGTTTTCATTCAATACTGATCTATCAATTAACTAGGAGTAAAAGAAAACTATACAGTGAGTTTTCATTCAATACTGATCTATCAATTAACTAGGAGTAAAAGAAAACTTTATAGTGAGTTTTCATTCAATACTGATCTATCAAGGCTATTCCATGCCGAACTAAGCTTAAAATGTATCTTTTAGGAAAAGGTTATTTATTTATAAGTATACTGTCACCAAGGCAGAAAAAAAAGAGCAACACAAAAGTTTTAAATTCTGAAAATTTTTTTTGAATAATTGTTTTGCTTTCACTCTTCTTGGCTTGTTCAGTGTTTAACATTTCTTTTGTTTTTTTCTTTTGTGAGTTACAGATGAACTTGTTAATTATTATATAGGATATAATTTACACGATTATTAGAAATAAAAGCTTTATCATGGTTTTCTGTTGATTCATGTATTATTAAATAAAACCTTTTTAAAAAACAACACATCACTAATTAACTTAAAAGACATAATAAAAAAGTTTTTTAATGGTAGGAACATTAGCAGAGTTAATAAAATTTTCACTATATTGAAACTTGTATAATAATAATAAATATCAAACTTACATTCAGAGAATAAGTGCTCAACTGCATTTAAATCCCACACAATGGCACCACGTGATCCCCCACTAGAACCTCGGGTTTTACATTCCAAAAACTTTGATGTATCAACTTCACCTAAACAATAAACAATTACACATTAGCATTGGTTTCATATAAATATATATACTATAATATATATATATATGTGCATGCTATTAACTATTACACTGTAAAATACATTGTACTTAGTAGTTAATTTTATGTAACCAAATATTGTAACTCTAACTTGCTAACTAAATAGAAAACACTTTTAAAAAATGGTAACTTGAACACAGGATGATAGAAACTGACCAAAATAAAAGAGTCCAATCCAATCCTGAGCTCCCACATCCTCAATAATATCCCACTCCACACAAATACCAGCCTCGTGATTTTTACCACCAGCTCTCAGCAAGACGGAGGTTTTGTCCACAGAAAGGTTCGACCAGCTCTGCGGACTTATTGAGTTCAGGTTGGAGTCACTGCTGCTCCTCTCCAATATGGGAAAATGCTCATGTCTATATAATGCAGCAGAAGCCCCACGTGGAAGAGACAAGTCATCAATGGAACTATAATCAGTGCTAGTTCTTTCAGACTTTGCCATCACATGCAATTTATGAGCACCTAAAATGCTACTCTATGTTGCATTGTATAGTATTACCTATCTCTAATACTGCATAATTACTGGTGCATATTTTATACCTGCAGAAAAATATTTCTTTGTTAGACTATGTAGAATCTAAAGGTATAAGAAAAGAAAATATGACATGATACAATAACTTTTACTTGATTCATTTTTTTAAAACTAGTTTAGACCATTTTTAAAAACTGGTTTAGACCATTAACTAAGTTTGTAAAAAGGTGCCTTTTGTGGAAGTTTGTAGGTACATTAATAAAATATACGGCTAAACAAGTGTGTCAATGCAGTTAATTTTAACTGGTATTGCGACACCTGGGGCCAACTAAACATATTGCAACATTTAGCACAATGCTCCTCCCATTTTAATACTGATTAGTAATTACCTGAGAGATTTTTTTTGACCTATATTATTGGCCTTATTATTATATTTAGCACTATATGTTTGGGTTAAGTATTGTGAATTATGATGCATTTTCCTATGACCAGATAAATTGTTTAAGACAAAATGTATCTGGTGTAACAGAAACATTTAAAAAATTGTATAATTAACAGTCTGATTGATTATGCTATGGTTTCACTTTAGATGATCTGGCTGTTTTATGATTGGGTTTGATTGTTTGCAATAATATATTTATTTAGTCTGACTAGATCATGTGGTTTTTAAAAAAATCACTTTATTTAAAAATTTTACTGGCAAAGTGGGTTTTTCAGAACAATGATCATAATGTTTCCACACACTGTATAATATAGCCAATCAAAGTTTGTCTTATTTCAATGATACATCAGATTACAATTTTGGCTTGATGTAGCCAGTATAAATAGAAATGTAACAATACAAAATTTGTCACTTTCTCAGAATGAGTTTTTGAATTATTAAATTTAAAAATTTTCTCAGGCTGAATATTTTTTTTTACATTTTTTTACTACTGCTATGAAGGAAAAATTTGATTTCAATTTAAGTCAACTATAATGAAGGGAGGCACTTGGTGGTGTCAATTGCTAAAAACAGGATTTCTAAATCAAATAAAACACTTCACTCATCCCTCTGACAGGGGTCGGCGTGGTCGAGTCGGTAAAGCTCATGGTTGCTTAACCGAAAAGTCTCGAGTTCGAACCCTCGGGCAGATGAGGCTCGTTAGCTGGGGACAGCCACTCTTCTAGGAGAGACAACTCCAAAATTAAACAACTGCTGCCTTGTAGTTTGTTCTTGGTTGGACAAAGGCTATGGAAGCAAATCCAAAAAGAAAAGCAGGCTGAAATCGGAGTCAATGGCCTCAATGGCGCATAACCAGTTGACACGTAACGCTTAATGGTGTTGGAGGCGTGGTCGAGTCGGCAAAAAGCTCATGGTTGATAAATTCGAACAGTCTCGAGTTCAACCCCACTGGCAGATAAATCTCGATCCCCTTCAACACTAATAATTAAGAACGAAGAAGAAGAAGAAGAAGAAGATCCCTCTGACTTTACATGTAGCTAGTCTAACTACTAATTAATTGACTTAGAATAGATCTTGTTACGAATACTAGTACTACTACTTACTACTAGAACTACACTATTAAGTAGGCCTATAGGATTATAATGATTTGGGGCTAGACTACATTTAAAAAAAAGTTAAACGTCATGTAAGCTAGATTCTAGATCTAGATGAAAATCTAATAATAGATCTAGATTTTAAATTCTAAGTGGCAAACTAAAGAACTTTTTGGGGGATTTTTTATACCAGTGTCTGATTAGAGAATCTTCTTAAAAAAAGGTTGTTAGGTTACTGATAGTTAACTAAATACACATATGAATTGCTAATATCAATGCTAACCCTGGACGATATTTTAAGTGTAATTGTAAAATGACCTTTTCTGGCTTTTTTTAAGCGCCAAAAAAGCTGTTTATGCATCATGTTACGTCACTGTGACATCAGCCACCAACCAAAACGCAGAGAAATGGTTGTCAGGCTGACAGTATGAAATCCTCTAGAAACGGAACAAAATGTATATCCTAACTTGCCTAACCCTAACACCCATATATCTAACCCTAATTTCTGAACATAAAACTAGTTGAGACTACAAAACTACTAACAACATAACACAAAAATATCAACATTGGTATCCCTAATCATCCAAAGTTTTGTTTTTAGTTTTCTACTAGATCTAGAATTCTAGATCTACTAGATCTAGATAACTAGCTTAGTAATTGTAGTTAGCCTGTCGCTTGACCTACTTTTATTACCGTCGTCATATTAATGATGGATGTGGAAAACAAAATATCGTGATTCCATTTTAAACAGTGTTTCATAGAAATATATACTTAAAATCGCGTTATTTTTGTGTATTCATCAACTATATCGGTAAACTCACTGAGAATATCAAGCAGAACATAATTAAAGTAAGCAAAACATGAATTGCTTTATTTAATATTGTTCTAAACATACTGAAAATATATTCTAAACTATAGAAAATTTTAACCTGCTTTCTACTAAACTAATGTCATTAATGTTTTAAAAATCATGCAGGGTAAAAACAAAACCTATAAAAAATAACTTGATTGAGACAACAGCTAAATAGTAAATAAGCCCGCAGATTTTGCCCGTCATGTATTTGAATCTAGCAGACGACACATTTCTGCTGAATGGCAGTGAACAGTCAATCGTGTCACAACAACACTCCTTAAAAACTAACCCACGGTATCACAGAAAATCAGTCATATCGTCATATAGCCATTGAAAAACAAACGCATTTTTTTCACAAATCTTTTTCTAGGCTATCGATTAAATTTGATAAATAAAATTGGTATAAAATTAAAGGAAAATATATGTAGTATGTAGTTTTTAGGCCTAACTGTATTGTTAAGTCACCTTGAGCAATTATGAAGTTTAAAATCTAAGATGACACCCTAATTTTAGTATAATAGGTTAAGTTCTTGACTTGATGTAAAAAGTTGGAAGATCTTGAAAAATCTTGATCTAGATCTAGTTTTTATTTAGAATCAAATCTAAATTTCAGATAAAAGTACTAGATCTATAGAAAACTAGATTTAGATTCTAAGCTAGATTTAAATCAAGAGTATATTACAGAATTATTGGGGTTCGGCCGAGATCGAGTCTAATTTCTTGATCTAGAATCTAGATTTCTAGAGATCTGTGATTCTGTCATCTCTTGTTGAATTGGTAATCTATCGTTTTGGGTACGTAAAATCGCCTGCGGCTATTTATGTACGAAAACGTTACCTCATTGTCAAGGCTTTAATAGAAGTATATTGTCATACTTTTGTGTCAAATATTATAGATAAATGAATAATAAACCTAAATCAATGGCCAAATATATCGATATAGGCCAGAAATTAACTTTAAACAGCAGTGTCTGAGAGCACGATTTGCTATATAACAGCAGCCATTTGTAAAATGAGTGGCTTCCCCCTGAATCTGGCGCTAAAAGCTTATAAAAATAAAACTTAGACAAGATGGCTGCTATAGTAAATGAGCATGGTTGCATCTGTTGGAAACATCGCTAGTCTTCATTTATTACGGAAAAGTTTTAATTCAATTGTTTAAAAACAGGTACATAAATGAATCAAGGAAACATTTTTGAATTTTTTAATACATAAATCCTCCTCAAAATGTGAAATAATTATTAAAATTTAAGGAGTCACCTGTTTTTCACATTACAAATCGCGTGCGATTTTACGTACCCAAAACGATAGATTACCGTTGAATTTGTTCTTTAGTAGATTTGGATGTAAACTGTAAAGTTGAACTAATCGAATAAATCGTTCTAGATTTAGATAATTAATTTGATGTTGTTATTGCATTTGGAACTACACAAAAATAAAGATCCATAATCTTCAAAATTTAGAGGTCTATTTAATAGTATTTATCCATTTACACAAATTATTCTTCTTCATTAACAAAGCTTCCTGTTTCTGTTGCCATCTTGGGATGTAGAATAAACCTGTCATTACAATTTTGTATCGATCTTTTCATCTATGATAATCTATATTATAGTATCGGCTTTTTAGATTATTTAAATACTTTATTTAATTAGTATTATTATTAGACTTCATTTGGCCTACTCGTTTTATCGTCGCTTAATTAGCCTTTAAGGTACTCTTTTTAGTAGTATAAAAATATCATTTTAGATCTAAGAAAAAGTGATAGAATTTTTAAAATCTCGATTTTTAACCCCAGTCTAGCAAAATGAAAATAAATCCCGCATGATGAGGAAGCGCGGGAAATAGTGCGATATGAACCATACTAACATAGCCTAGTTTATTAATTAGTTTCATTAGCCTAGTTAGTTGTTAGGCCTAAGGGATACGCTAGGTCTTGAATATAATAGGGCATAGGTTAATGATAATGAATAAGTCGTTGGACTCGGCATGCCCTGATGCATCTGTATCATTTTCTAGAACAGAAGTTTCTTTAAAATGTCTTATGAATTCAGTATCATGCAGGCTGTGGTAAGAACTTAAACCGCAGTTAAGCGGCTTAGCCTAAACTGGAAATTTAGGCCAATTAAAAATTAAAATAATTAAATTTATTTACTATTTATTTAGAATCTATGGCTACTAAATTAAATTAGGCCTAGATCTAGATCTATTACTAGACCTCTATTTATTATTTATTCATTTATTTTTGCTTTCCAAGAAAGAAGGTGTTAATAAAATTTAATTTTAATTAGACTCTAGAACTAGATCTAGATCTAGATCAGGGGTTCCCAACCTTTTTTTACTCTAGAGCACATTCTAAAATATCGGTAGGGTGGCGGGCACCACCTATTTTAAATCGACAAACTCCTTCCATAACTTGTCCTTTTCCCATAATTTATTTTCTTATTTTCTTATAGTCATAATAATAAACAAAATGTTTCAAAATAGCCTAATAAAACTATTTGGCATTTTTTTCAAATTGCTTACACACAGAGAAATGTATTTACAAAACGTAAATAGTGCAGTCTGGTTCGCCGCTAGACAAGTTGGGACAAGTATCAAACATATTTAATAAACCTAGGCAGTAAAAAAAAAATTAAAACTGTGACAAATGAATAAAAATAAATCATATTTTAAAATAATGTTTTTGAAAAAAATTCTGTCTCTGTCAAATAGTGAGAGGCGGGCACATACGAATCGTTCAGCGGGACCCCTGCTCTAGATCTAGATCCAGCTGTAAAAATGAAAGCCTGTCTCAATGTGTGTCTGTCAGTCTTTTATGTAGATCTAGGCCTAGGGCCTATTACTATACTTAGTACTAGTTAATAATTTATTATCAGGCCTAGATCTAGTAATAGTAATAGGGACCTATTAGTATTTTCACAGTTTAATTTTTTAGTTTTTTTTATCTAGATTTAGAATAGATCCTAGCTGTCTCGATGTTGAAAAAAATGTGTTTTTAACATTTTTTTAATGCTAAAAGTAAAAGCTTATTATCAATTATCATTTAATTTTACTAATTGCCTTTCTTTAGCTCTGAGTTCAGCACAGAACTACACTCCCTGGGACAATGTGAACATCGATTTTGTGGGTAAAAACTATTTCTAACAATCTTATCTTAATCTGTTTTTATACTTCAAGCCTATTGCAGGCTCATTGAGCTGATTGATTAGACAATGAGGATGTGTGCATTTCACCAACTTAACAAAATATTTCTCAATGAAATTAATGAAATGTTTAATTAAAAAAATGTGTTTGTGTATAGGCCTAGGTAGAGTATTTTTTTATTTCTTCATCCAACAAGCACCTTCACGGCAATAGTTGTTTGATTTTGAAGTTTTCTTACCTCAATGGGTTGCTGTCTCCAGCTATTGAGCATCATCTGCTCATTGAGATCACACTTGAGACTTCTTTTGGCTTTAGCAATCATGAGTTAGGGGACCGCATGGTTGGATGATAGAGCTTTTGACTACTAACTGAAAAGTCTAAAATACAGATACCAGGCTTGAATCTTTAGGAGGATATCCCAGAGTCCACCCAGCTCTGATGAATGATGTTAGAATCAGTCAGAATTTTTTGTAGGTTTATTTTCTCAAAACTAGAGTGGAAGGTTTAATTATAATCTAGGTATTTACCTCATTTCTATGATAAGAAATATTGAAGAAGAAAAAATGTAATAATTATTTTTGTTGTATCAGATCATGTGCTGATGGCAACATAGGAAAATGCTGCCCAGTGTGCCGTATGCCATCACATGTCACACAAGCTCGTGTTGATAAGCAGCTGTCAAATGTGGCTGTTTTATGCACACAGGTGGCTCAACTGTTGCAAGGTAGATACATTTCTTTTCTTAAACATGTGGCTGTTTTAAATTTGTAGGCAGATAAAGCACTATAGTATAAAAGTTTTTGTTACCGTAACTCTGGCCTTAGTAAGAGTTGTATCAGAACTAGTAAATTATTTTTTCAAAATAGTCTACCATATCATTTATAATGTTTTACATTATGCTGTAGGCAAATAGTTTAAAAACTATTTTTTGAACTTTTTAAGACCGGAACTACATTCCCAGCAATCTGTCCACAGACTTGCCAGACTGTAACAACCCTTCCACCTGGCAATAATATTTTCTCCATTTACTCTGTTGTTTGAGCAGAATTGTATATCACAATATTGCTAAAGGGGCCATTTTTAGTTGTCTTTACAACTGCAGTGTTTCTGTAAATTTGATTTTTTTTTTTATGTTTTAAATTTTTTGTAAAAGCACTTGCAAAATAGCAATAACATGCTCTGTTACAATAACAGAAAATTAAAAGTCAACTGTGGATTAAATTTGCCAACTGTATCCTGAGAATAATTTTCTGTTAATGCATTTTATCAGGGAGAACTACTGTTGAACCAAATCTGGAACTGATTACCAAACCAAACAACAGCACCCCAAAACCAACTGGCTGTAATCAAAAGGCTACGTACAAAGATAGTCCCAGAGAAACTTCTGCTCAGCAGTGTAGTACTGTTTCAGATGAGCAAGTGTCAAATGTAACTCCATCTGAACTTCACTTGAACCAGAATGGCAAACAAATAGTTGACAAAAGTAAAAATAAGAGAGACACGAAAGCAAAACATAAAACTGACAGTGCAGATGAATCTAATAAGTTGGCTAAATCTTGCAATGAACTAGGTATAAAAAACAGCAAATTAGATTTGAAAAGTTCCACTTTAAATAGCAGTTTTAAGCTAAGTCCATCAAGTAAAAAGCAAACAAACAAGAAATCTTTTCTGACAAAGCGCAATGCAAAGGGAGAAACACTTTTACAAGTTGCAACTATTAAGGTAAAATAAAAATATTCAGTACAGTTCCAACATCATTGTAACATTATTTTTATTCATTATTTTAAGTACATTATTTTGGATTTAAACTGTAAGATAAGAAAATTATATTTTAAAACTTTAATATAACCGCAGTTAAAGATGCTTTTAAATCTATCTGTGTGTGCAGGCTGATATAGTTGGAGTTAAGAAACTGTTGGAAGATGGGGCTAATCCTAATGTAAGAGACAATGCTGGATGGACACCTTTGGTAAATATTGGATAGCCTATTCCATCTATGGGGAAAAGGGTATTTATTATATTGAAGTACATTTTAAAAATTATTTATGCAGGTATTATCTGGTTTATTAATGTAAAACCTGCAATGACCAAATAATGTATCTATTCTCCAGCATGAAGCAGTAAATCGTGGCAATGTTGCCATAGCTGAACTATTAATCAAACATGGAGCATCTGTCAATGCTCCGGCTCTTCTCAATGAAACGCCTCTACATGACGCAGTAAGCAACAACCATTTGGAGTGTGTGAAGCTTCTTGTTCTGAATGGAGCCAATGTTGTAGCAAGGTATTTTAAAAAAATTAACCTTCATTGTGGTTTATCAGCCTTGGAGTATGTGGTTGGCGGAATCAACCCATGTACATGTTTAAACTATAAACAAAAACTAAAAGAAGCACAAATGAATCTAGGTGAATCTGTCTCAGTAGTTATGTGTAATCATTTTTCACAATCCTTAATATTTATATAATTTATTTGTTTGTTGGATTTTTTTAGACTGAAGGTCCATTTTAAATAATTGTTGATTTATTGGAAAGGCTTCCCTACCACATTTCTCAAAGAAGAACTCTATACAATTTTGGAGTTGTGATCATCCACCTTGTAATCTCTCAAACAAATTACATGTACTTTATATGCATGACAGTATGTGCTTCTTACTTGTCTATGCTGTGGACTCTAGTCAAACTTGACTTTTCTGCTTCACATCAAGAAATATCTAGATGTTATGCTTTAGTGTCATGGGGTGCCTTGGTTATCAGTTGTGATGCCAATTTTAAGAACAAAGTCTTCGCTGAGAAAAAAACTCGGCTGTGTAATAGTTCTCTAATTAAAAGATATTAAAAGCTCACAATAGGTGGATCACACCCATGGTGTACACTAAAAGAAATTTTAAACATGATCCACTTTTATATAAATTTTACACACACCACAAGTTTACTCTAATAGTGTTTTTGTTCATAAATAAAAATTCTTGTCTGTAGAAATCAGCATGGACAAACACCACTTGACCTGGTCAAGATGGATGAAATGAGGGAAATCCTTGTGTCCAGAAAAAATGCCCCCGCTGCACTGAACAACTCTTCACATGTTAGTTTTATTTTGAACTAGAATGATTCAGTTAACAAAATATTACGTGTGAACTTTTCTGTAGGGAAGTGTTTGAATATTTTATTCTATAATAAAACAGGTAACAGAAGAAGATCATCAGTCTTTGTGCTTCACTGGGACTGCCCTAAGTAAAGACCAACAGGGCCTGTTAAAGAAATGTGCCCTCCTCCTTCATGCCAGACAAACTGACCACTTTTGCCAAGAAGGCAAGTTTGTTCAAACCTTCATATTTTTATCTAGTTTTATATTCTACCAATATTCAATGAATATCCCCAAAATACTATTTGATTTGAATTTAATAGATGATTATGAATGTATATTTGATAATTAAATTGTGGTCCATTTGTTGATTGCAGTGACACATCTAATAACTGGAACCAATGCTGAAGGACAGTGTCCAAGAACAATGAAATACCTGCATACAGTCTTAGCTGGCAAATGGGTTGTTGGAGTCCAGTGTAAGAAAAATATTCTGTTAGCTTAGTTGATGTAGAATCAACTGCTGCAATTTCTATTTTGTATAGGTTTCTTTAAATTTAAACATTATGCATGTCTGATAATTGTCTTTCCTCCTCTAAGGGCTTACAGAGTGTGTAGATCATAACAGTTGGGTAGCAGAGAGCACTTTTGAGTTGACTGGATGTTGCACCAACCCTAACACACAGGCACCGCAAAAATCTCGCACAAATAGACTTAGTCAGGTAAATTAAAAAGATTGATGTATTACCATATTTAATGTACATAATAGACTTTGGCATCTTTAGTTGACTGGGTGAGCAAATACTTTTTCTTTTTTAAAGTCACTTCCCATGTTTTTGACCTCAAAGTTTTATTGCTAATAAAAAATTGTAAAAGCTTATCCCAAATAAAAAACATTTAAAAACCCAATGAAATAGCTAAGTCAATATTATTTTAAGAGACAGCAGCTAATCATGTCAAATTAGTGACCAATAAATTTTATAAATTATTGTAGGAAATTCTTTCTGTTACAGCTTCCAGGCTTGTTTGATGGCTGTCAGTTTTTTTTCCATGGGAAATTTCAGCCCCCTACACCATCGCGGGAGGAACTGATTGGTCTTGTGAAACTAGGAGGGGGAGTTGTACTGACTAGAGAGCCCAGGTTACATAATCTTGATGATTACCCATACACCATCCCATATCATGTAGATACTAACAGCTCGTTGGCACATTGTGCTATTTATGTCATATACGATGATGCGTGCAGCAACCCACCATACGTAGAGGCCCAGCGTATGTCATATCTTCCAGCATCCTGGCTCTTAGATTCTATTGCTACTTTCTCACTGCTTGATAAAAATTGTTACCTTAAACACTAATTTGATTTTAAAAACTGAGATGTCTTTCTTCATTTATAAATACATGCTTTAATGTAAACCATTATTGAAATTTGATTTTTTAAAAATTTGTTTTTATCGTACAATAGATCTTGTAACTGGTTTGTAAAGTTGATACAGTGAAAGTTGTGGTGATGTAATGTGTATGAAAGGTGTATACATGGGTAGGAATGAATGCAGAGGATAGGTGAAGGTTGGGGTGAAAGTAGGCAGGTTGATGTGGAACTGGGAAGGCAATTGAGGAAAATAAAAGACTGTTATACCTAGCCTTAATGTGTTGTTAGTATATTCTATGAGATTCCTGACGCCCTCTCAGAACTTACTAGAAACATTTCTAGCACATTATTTTGTATTTTATCAACTGAATTTTAAAAAGACATGCAAGAATATTTTCTCATAATCATTTTAATTACATTACATCTATTGTCATAATTTTAACAAGTCAATATCATAGACTCTAACAGCAAAGTCACTTCCAGAACTGGCCAGCTGCAGCCAGTGGTCACTTTGTTCATGGCCCAAACGTCCAGTCTGCTGTCTGAAGGACAGTCGTGTCACTGTCAGGTGGTGAGCTTGGCTGAAAAAATAATTTCTCAGATAAATTTATTTATAGCCCAAGGTCATCATGTATTATGTAGATATTAAAGTGATTAAAACCGCAGCATGGTTTTGACTGACCACATAAATGAGTGTAAGTTCTATTCTTACCTTTGATCTAATGAAACAAGCAACTTCCAGGTGTCCAAGGGTGACCAGGAGTACAGGTGTATGTCACCACTGTCCAGACCCACAGCAATCAAGTACCTGGTGAGGTTAAACAGTACACTAGACAACAGGAACTGATGGGGAACCTAATTACACTAGACAACAGGAACTGATGGGGAACCTAATTACACTAGACAACAGGAACTGATGGGGAACCTAATTACACTAGACAACAGGAACTGATGGGGAACCTAATTACACTAGACAACAGGAACTGATGGGGAACCTAATTACACTAGACAACAGGAACTGATGGGGAACCTAATTACACTAGACAACAGGAACTGATGGGGGACCTAATTACACTAGACAACAGGAACTGATGGGGAACCTAATTACACTAGACAACAGGAACTGATGGGGAACTTAACTACACTAGACAAACTGATGGGGAACCTAATTACAATAGACAACAGGAACTGATGGGGAACCTAATTACACTAGACAACAGGAACTGATGGGGAACCTAATGACACTAGACAACAGGAACTGATGGGGAACCTAATTGCACTAGACAACAGGAACTGATGGGGGACCTAATTACACTAGACAACAGGAACTGATGGGGAACCTAATTACACTAGACAACAGGAACTGATGGGGAACCTAATTACAATAGACAACAGGAACTGATGGGGAACCTAATTGCACTAGACAACAGGAACTGATGGGGAACCTAATTACACTAGACAACAGGAACTGATGGGGAACCTAATTACAATAGACAACAGGAACTGATGGGGAACCTAATTACACTAGACAACAGGAACTGATGGGGAACCTAATTACACTAGACAACAGGAACTGATGGGGAACCTAATTACACTAGACAACAGGAACTGATGGGGAACCTAATTACACTAGACAACAGGAACTGATGGGGGACCTAATTACACTAAACAGGAACTGATGGGGAACCTAATTACACTAGACAACAGGAACTGATGGGGAACTTAACTACACTAGACAAACTGATAGGGAACCTAATTACAATAGACAACAGGAACTGATGGGGAACCTAATTACACTAGACAACAGGAACTGATGGGGAACCTAATTACACTAGACAACAGGAACTGATGGGGAACCTAATTACACTAGACAACAGGAACTGATGGGGAACCTAATTGCACTAGACAACAGGAACTGATGGGGGACCTAATGACACTAGACAACAGGAACTGATGGGGAACCAAACTAGACAACAGGAACTGATGGGGAACCAACTAGATAACAGGAACTGATGGGGAACCTAACTAGACTACATGAACTGATGGGGAACCTAATGACACTAGACAACAGGAACTGATGGGGAACCTAATTACACTAGACAACAGGAACTGATGGGGGACCTAATGACACTAGACAACAGGAACTGATGGGGAACCTAATTACACTAGACAACAGGAACTGATGGGGAACCTAATTACACTAGACAACAGGAACTGATGGGGAACCTAATTACACTAGACAACAGGAACTGATGGGGAACTTAACTACACTAGACAAACTGATGGGGAACCTAATTACAATAGACAACAGGAACTGATGGGGAACCTAATTACACTAGACAACAGGAACTGATGGGGAACCTAATTACACTAGACAACAGGAACTGATGGGGAACCTAATGACACTAGACAACAGGAACTGATGGGGGACCTAATTACACTAGACAACAGGAACTGATGGGGAACCTAATTACACTAGACAACAGGAACTGATGGGGGACCTAATTACACTAGACAACAGGAACTGATGGGGAACCTAATTACACTAGACAACAGGAACTGATGGGGAACTTAACTACACTAGACAAACTGATAGGGAACCTAATTACAATAGACAACAGGAACTGATGGGGAACCTAATTACACTAGACAACAGGAACTGATGGGGAACCTAATTACACTAGACAACAGGAACTGATGGGGAACCTAATTACACTAGACAACAGGAACTGATGGGGAACCTAATTGCACTAGACAACAGGAACTGATGGGGGACCTAATGACACTAGACAACAGGAACTGATGGGGAACCAAACTAGACAACAGGAACTGATGGGGAACCAACTAGATAACAGGAACTGATGGGGAACCTAACTAGACTACATGAACTGATGGGGAACCTAATGACACTAGACAACAGGAACTGATGGGGAACCTAATTACACTAGACAACAGGAACTGATGGGGAACCTAATTACACTAGACAACAGGAACTGATGGGGGACCTAATGACACTAGACAACAGGAACTGATGGGGAACCTAATTACACTAGACAACAGGAACTGATGGGGAACCTAATTACACTAGACAACAGGAACTGATGGGGAACCTAATTACACTAGACAACAGGAACTGATGGGGAACCTAATGACACTAGACAACAGGAACTGATGGGGAACCAAACTAGACAACAGGAACTGATGGGGAACCAAACTAGACAACACTAGCCATCAGCTAAGTCTAGTGGTGTACAACACCTCCCAAGTTCTAGTAAATTACATCACTTCTCCCCAGATCCTGGTAAACAACTACAGCACCCTCCCCCACCCAAACTAGTAAACAGCTACAGCACCCCCCCCCCTATATCCTGATAAACAGCTACAGCACCCCCCCCCCCTATATCCTGATAAACAACTACAGCACCCCCCACCCAAACTAGCAAACAGCCACAGCACCCCACCCCCCATATCCTAGTTAACAACTACAGCACAGTATTATAAAACTATGTAGAGCATCACTATTGCTTTATACCTGGAGGTTGTCAAGAAGACAGGAGCACAGGCTAAGGCAGTCACTGAGTCTGGCAGCTGGAGCGAGGCTTGAGCCACTGGTGGGGTTTGTTCTAACACAGACTGGCTGGACCACACAAGTACCTACAGAGATTCAAACATTACAAGTCATTCATAACTTGCTTTCACACAAGTACCTACAGAGATTCAGACAACATTAGAAGTCATTTACTTATAACTTGCTTTCACACAAGCACCTACAGAGATTCAGACAACATTAGAAGTCATTTACTCATAACTTGCTTTCACACAAGTACCTACAGAGATTCAGACAACATTAGAAGTCATTTACTTATAACTTGCTTTCACACAAGCACCTACAGAGATTCAGACAACATTAGAAGTCATTTACTTATAACTTGCTTTCACACAAGCACCTACAGAGATTCAGACAACATTAGAAGTCATTTACTTATAACTTGCTTTCACACAAGCACCTACAGAGATTCAGACAACATTAGAAGTCATTTACTTATAACTTGCTTTCACACAAGCACCTACAGAGATTCAGACAACATTAGAAGTCATTTACTTATAACTTGCTTTCACACAAGCACCTACAGAGATTCAGACAACATTAGAAGTCATTTACTTATAACTTGCTTTCACACAAGCACCTACAGAGATTCAGACAACATTAGAAGTCATTTACTTATAACTTGCTTTCACACAAGTACCTACAGAGATTCAGACAACATTAGAAGTCATTTACTTATAACTTGCTTTCACACAAGCACCTACAGAGATTCAGACAACATTAGAAGTCATTTACTTATAACTTGCTTTCACACAAGCACCTACAGAGATTCAGACAACATTAGAAGTCATTTACTTATAACTTGCTTTCACACAAGTACCTACAGAGATTCAGACAGAAGTCATTCACTTATAACTTGCTTTCACACAAGTACCTACAGAGATTCAGACAACATTAGAAGTCATTTACTTATAACTTGCTTTCACACAAGTACCTACAAGAGATTCAAACATTAGAAGTCATTTACTTATAACTTGCTTTCACACAAGCACCTACAGAGATTCAGACAACATTAGAAGTCATTTACTTATAACTTGCTTTCACACAAGTACCTACAGAGATTCAGACAACATTAGAAGTCATTTACTTATAACTTGCTTTCACACAAGTACCTACAAGAGATTCAAACATTAGAAGTCATTTACTTATAACTTGCTTTCACACAAGCACCTACAGAGATTCAGACAACATTAGAAGTCATTCACTTAAAACTTGCTTTCACACAAGTACCTACAAGAGATTCAGACAACATTAGAAGTCATTTACTTATAACTTGCTTTCACACAAGTACCTACAAGAGATTCAAACATTAGAAGTCATTTACTTATAACTTGCTTTCACACAAGTACCTACAGAGATTCAGACAGAAGTCATTTACTTATAACTTGCTTTCACACAAGCACCTACAGAGATTCAGACAACATTAGAAGTCATTTACTTATAACTTGCTTTCACACAAGTACCTACAGAGATTCAGACAACATTAGAAGTCATTCACTTAAAACTTGCTTTCACACAAGTACCTACAAGAGATTCAGACATTAGAGCCCTAAAATTTAAAATGTGTAGGGTAGAAACAACATTTAAATAGTATAAAATAATATAATTATGATAGGTAGCAGCAATAGAATGGGTAGGTTTTTTTTAGCTTATTAAAAAAGCAAAAGGAAAGAGGATGAAAATGATTACATGGTCGAATTAAAGTCAATTTTGAACACCAAATGGTCTTTTTTATTTAGAATTTTATTCTTTTGAAGTAATTAGATCATTCCATGTTGTTTTCACTTAGGCTTTCCTAACACAACTACAGAAACCAAATGACAAAGTGGGATAATGGAGGTAAAGCTATCTTTCCTAGTCAGGTTTTCTAGTCAGTCAATCTACACCTGCCAATCAAAACATTTGTCTAAAAGAAGGAACCCCCCCTCCTATTCTAATGTGTAACAAAAAATTTTTTTGCAATGGTGTTAAATGTTAAAAACATCTTTTTACCATAGTAAGAATTCAGTTTACTTAAATCTGTCTTAACTACATTGATTGAAACTGTCATTTGGTAGGTCTCCTACCAACTGACTCAAATTTATAATGCAAAATAAATAGTACTCCCTCTATACTCCTTATACTAGAAGTAAAACCATATGAGCAGTTGAAGCATTAGTTAAGCTCAACTCAAACAAATCCCTTCAGGCATGTTTACCTTTTTATCCCTAGAGCCTGTGAAGAAAAACTTGTCGTCATGTGACCAGGCACACGTCCAGATGATCCTGGCATGTGATGTTGTTCTTTTATCTACTTGAGCCTCTACAACAAAGGAATCACCTGAATTTGGATTTAATTAGAATTAATAACACTCCAACCTTTTTTGAGTACATTTTAAAACTTATTGAGTAGATTTAAAAAATTTGAACTAGAAAATGCACAGTTGCATGTAAGGGATTGTACTAATGGTAATGTTTTGTAGAAGTGAAAATTGTACCATTAGTAATGTTTTTATTGTGCCTATGGTAACATTTTGTAGAAGTGAAAATTGTGCTGATGGTAGTTTTTATTGTGCTAACGGTAATGTTTTGTAGAAGTGAAAATTGTTTTATGGTGCTAAATGTGGGGCCAACCTTCTCTTCTGTACAAAACCAAAGTTAAAATTGTGCTAAATCTGGGGCCAACCTTCTCTTCTATACAAAACCAAAGTTAAAATTGTGCTAAATCTGGGGGCCAACCTTCTCTTCTGTAAAAACCAAAGTTAAAATTGTGCTAAATCTGGGGCCAACCTTCTCTTCTGTACAAAACCAAAGTTAAAATTGTGCTAAATCTGGGGCTTACCTTCTCTTCTGTACAAAACCAAAGTTAAAATTGTGCTAAATCTGGGGCCAACCTTCTCTTCTGTACAAAACCAAAGTTAAAATTGTGCTAAATCTGGGGCTAACTTTCTCTTCTGTACAAAACCAAAGTGAAAATTATGCTAAATCTGGGGCCAACCTTCTCTTCTGTACAAAACCAAAGTTAAAATTGTGCTAAATCTGGGGCTAACTTTCTCTTCTGTACAAAACCAAAGTTAAAATTGTGCTAAATCTGGGGCCAACCTTCTCTTCTGTACAAAACCCAGCATCTGTCTCTGGAGACTGCCAGCAGCCTGTCCCCTGCGTGGCTGAATGCCATCTGTGTAACTGTGAGTGTGCAGCCTGTGAGTGAGGCCAGGATCTTCCTTTGTTCCACATCCCACAGGAGAATGTTGGCTGATTCAGCTTTGGCTGCCTGATGGCAGAAAGAAAGGTTCTCTACATCAGAAATGTGGTGTGTAGTGCTGGCATTGTTTAGCATTATATCAATGACTTTTTCAACTTTGGGTCATGCTGACCAGTGAAAGAGCAACATGCTGACCAGTGAAAGACCAACATGCTGATCAGTGAAAGACCAACATGCTGATCAGTGAAAGACCAACATGCTGATCAGTGAAAGACCAACATGCTGACCAGTGAAAGACCAACATGCTGACCAGTGAAAGAAAGACCAACATGCTGAACAGTGAAAGACCAACATGCTGACCAGTGAAAGACCAACATGCTGACCAGTGAAAGACCAACATGCTGATCAGTGAAAGACCAACATGCTGATCAGTGAAAGACCAACATGCTGACCAGTGAAAGACCAACATGCTGATCAGTGAAAGACCAACATGCTGACCAGTGAAAGACCAACATGCTGATCAGTGAAAGAAAGACCAACATGCTGACCAGTGAAAGACCAACATGCTGACCAGTGAAAGACCAACATGCTGATCAGTGAAAGACCAACATGCTGATCAGTGAAAGACCAACATGCTGACCAGTGAAAGACCAACATGCTGACCAGTGAAAGACCAACATGCTGATCAGTGAAAGACCAACATGCTGATCAGTGAAAGACCAACATGCTGACCAGTGAAAGACCAACATGCTGACCAGTGAAAGACCAACATGCTGACCAGTGAAAGACCAACATGCTGACCAGTGAAAGACCAACATGCTGATCAGTGAAAGACCAACATGCTGATCAGTGAAAGACCAACATGCTGACCAGTGAAAGACCAACATGCTGACCAGTGAAAGACCAACATGCTGACCAGTGAAAGACCAACATGCTGACCAGTGAAAGACCAACATGCTGACCAGTGAAAGACCAACATGCTGACCAGTGAAAGACCAACATGCTGACCAGTGAAAGACCAACATACTGACCAGTGAAAGACCAACATGCTGACCAGTGAAAGACCAACATGCTGACCAGTGAAAGACCAACATGCTGACCAGTGAAAGACCAACATGCTGACCAGTGAAAGACCAACATACCTTGCAGGCAGAGGCCAAGAGTTTGCCATCAGGACTAGCAGCAAGGGAAAAGATCTCATAGCCATGTCCATATAACTTTGCCTCCTCTGGCCATAGGGTGTTCTGTATCAGCTGGTCCTCACTAGGTGGCGCTGCAGTACAAGCAAATCAAGTCAAGGACCTAACTAAGACTTAATGGTTATTGATCTTAAACAGAGAAAAAAGTTCTGAGTCTTTCCCTCCCTGATTTTCCCAAGATTTGAACCCAAAATAGCCCAAAGTATAGTATATTTATTTACACATGGTAATAGAAGATTTTGCAGATACCAGCAAAAGTGGGAATTAATAAGTTTTATTTATGTTTTTTTTTCCTGTTCTATCACTAGAGATTCATTTCTACAATTTTTAAAAATACTAAGAATAATTTTTAAAAATTAAAATGCCTCTGCTGTTGAATCAGACTTTTTAAATAATGAAACTTAAATGGTGATATTGAAAAGGAAAGTAGTTCCAGTGACAAAGCAGAATTGTTTTAGCATTATAACTTTTTTTTCATGCATAAAGAACTTAGAACATTTTCTTTGTTTTATGTTTTAAACGTAGATTTAAAAAAAAAAAAATTTTGGTTGAAAAATACACTGTCATTTCAGCAAGATGTATAGGAAGTATAATTGTTCTTAGCACCAGATTGTATATGGTTAAAAACAAGTTGTATGTTGATAAACCTGTAAGGTCAAGTGCAGTGAAGTAGTTCTCAGAATATTGCCCCATCTTGGTGCTCTCCTCCACCTTGTTTTCTTCCACAGAGAACACAGCTTTGTTAGAGAGTCCAAGAGCAGGAACATTGGCCCCCATTGGTAGCGAGCTCAGAGCCTAGGGAAAACATGGCTTTGTTAGACAGTAACTAGGGAAAACATGGCTTTGTTAGACAGTGACTAGGGAAAACATGGCTTTGTTAGAGAGTCCAAGAGCAGGAACATTGGCCCCCATTGGTAGCGAGCTCAGAGCCTGGGGAAAACATGGCTTTTTTAGACAGTAACTAGGGAAAACATGGCTTTGTTAGACAGTAACTAGGGAAAACATGGCTTTGTTAGACAGTGACTAGGGAAAACATGGCTTTGTTAGACAGTGACTAGGGAAAACATGGCTTTGTTAGACAGTAACTAGGGAAAACATGGCTTTGTTAGACAGTAACTAGGGAAAACATGGCTTTGTTAGACAGTATCTAGGGAAAACATGGCTTTGTTAGACAGTGACTAGGGAAAACATGGCTTTGTTAGACAGTAACTAGGGAAAACATGGCTTTGTTAGACAGTGACTAGGGAAAACATGGCTTTGTTAGACAGTGACTAGGGAAAACATGGCTTTGTTAGACAGTAACTAGGGAAAACATGGCTTTGTTAGACAGTAACTAGGGAAAACATGGCTTTGTTAGACAGTGACTAGGGAAAACATGGCTTTGTTAGACAGTAACTTGGGAAAACATGGCTTTGTTAGACAGTAACTAGGGAAAACATGGCTTTGTTAGACAGTAACTAGGGAAAACATGGCTTTGTTAGAGAGTCCAAGAGCAGGAACATTGGCCCCCATTGGTAGCGAGCTCAGAGCCTAGGGAAAACATGGCTTTTTTAGACAGTAACTAGAGAAAACATGGCTTTGTTGGACAGTGACTAGGGAAAACATGGCTTTGTTAGACAGTAACTAGGGAAAACATGGCCTCATAATGGCTTCATTGCTTCATTAAGTATGATGATTCACTAAGACAATTTCATCTTAGAATAAATAATCTTCTGTGTGCTTATTAGTCAGTCTTTAACTTTGAACAGTTTATTAATCTTCCAGTTAGCTATTTAGCAACTATACTTGCCTGTTCAAGGAATGTATTCTTTGATTTGAGAAGCAACACAGTTTTAGAAACAGGCAACAGACGAACAATGTGGCATTATTGAACTAGAAACATGAGCTAGAATTGATCAGAAGGCAACACTTACTTTCCCCCCTAACTCTGAATCCAATGTGGCATCACTGAACTAGAAACATGAGCTAGAATTGACCAGAAACTAAGGCAACACTTACTTTCCCCCCTAACTCTGAATCCAATGTGGCATTATTGAACTAGAAACATGAGCTAGAATTGACCAGAAACTAAGGCAACACTTACTTTCCCCCCTAACTCTGAATCCAATGTGGCATTATTGAACTAGAAACCTGAGCTAGAATTGACCAGAAGGCAACACTTACTTTCCCCCCTAACTCTGAATCCAAGTCCCTTCCACACAGCTGACAAAAGTTGCTGATGAAGTTTCTTGGGGCTTTAAAGACACGAATTAATTTCTCATCTGATCCTGAAGCGAAGGAATATTTATCCAGCACAGCTAGACATTGGAGATCATAGCCATGGACTTGAGGTCTGCTGATTTCATACCAAGATGGCTGGGAACGTACCAAGGGAAGGAAATAAATAAATACTTCAGCAACAAAAATCAAACAGTATTTTAAAATTATAAATATAAATAAACAATTCAAGTTTTTGATAAAATAAGTGCATGTAAATGAAGTATGAAAAAATTTGGGTAAAAATATGCTGAAACAAGTTTAATAAAAAGTGAGAGAATATTTTCTTACGTCAATACCCGCCCTGATCCATGGTGCGTGAAGTCTTGTTGTCTGGTCTACACTTGCACTGAGGATATAAGCTCCATCAGCCGCTGACCAGGCCACATCAACCACAGAATCAAAGTGACCACTGCATGTAACTTGGGGCTCCCATCCCCGAGAGCTCTAGAATAAGAGAACTCTTTACATTATAGAGTAGTGTCTTGGTTCATGTCAGATAACTCTTGCCTCAAGTTTACAATCCCATCATACAGTTGTGGCCCCTTGAAAATTGAATTAGAACCCCCCCTACCATGTACTCACCTCATTAAAGGACCATTGATGAAAAGCGCCTTGGTATCCATGACCTAAGATAGACTGACCACAAGGGCTGAAAAGACCTCCATAAAAGCCCAGAGTATTGCCTCCAACATCACCAACCCGAACCTTAAAAAATAGGACACATATCAAGTCAGAGTTAAGCTTACATATTACCCATTGCTTCTTTCTAGTTGTAAGTTCAGTAACAAATCTCTTTCACACAGACCTAAACACTAGGTGACTAACCACCTCAATACAAGTGACTTGAACCCTTTGAGATTAGCCCCTAACCCTCAATGACTAACCCTGAATCCCTGTGACTGAACCCCAGTGACTAACCTCCTCCATCCAGAGACCTGTAGCCAAGTCTGGTGACCAGAGGATCATGGTCTTGTCCATGGAGGCAGACAGCAGCTTTAAAGGCTGGTGACACCCACCAGAGGCTGGTGAAACCAAAAGATACAAGCAACATCTTTCATTGGTCAGTTAGTTGAGACTGGCAACAAATTAGGATAATCATATCTGCCAAAGTATTTCTATAAAAACTGACCAATAAAAATTAACCATCCAGACAAGAGAAAGGACACACTGAGCAGGCTGCCATCTAACACTAAAGGACACACGGAGCTATCAAAGTCTACCTACCAGTGATCTGAGCAGGCTGCCATCTAACACTAAAGGACACACTGAGCTATCAAAGTCTACCTACCAGTGATCTGAGCAGGCTGCCATCTAACACTAAAGGACACACTGAGCTATCAAAGTCTACCTACCAGTGATCTGAGCAGGCTGCCATCTAACACTAAAGGACACACTGAGCTATCAAAGTCTACCTACCAGTGATCTGAGCAGGCTGCCATCTAACACTAAAGGACACACTGAGCTATCAAAGTCTACCTACCAGTGATCTGAGCAGGCTGCCATCTAACACTAAAGGACACACTGAGCTATCAAAGTCTACCTACCAGTGATCTGAGCAGGCTGCCATCTAACACTAAAGGACACACTGAGCTATCAAAGTCTACCTACCAGTGATCTGAGCAGGCTGCCATTTAACTCTAAAGGACACACTGAGCTATCAAAGTCTACCTACCAGTGATCTGAGCAGGCTGCCATCTAACACTAAAGGACACACTGAGCAGGCTGCCATCTAACACTAAAGGACACACTGAGCAGGCTGCCATTTAACTCTAAAGGACACACTGAGCTATCAAAGTCTACCTACCAGTGATCTGAGCAGGCTGCCATCTAACACTAAAGGACACACTGAGCAGGCTGCCATCTAACACTAAAGGACACATTGAGCTATCAAAGTCTACCTACCAGTGGACTGAGCAGGCTGCCATCTAACTCTAAAGGACACACTGAGCTATCAAAGTCTACCTACCAGTGATCTGAGCAGGCTGCCATCTAACACTAAAGGACACACTGAGCTATCAAAGTCTACCTACCAGTGATCTGAGCAGGCTGCCATCTAACACTAAAGGACACACTGAGCTATCAAAGTCTACCTACCAGTGATCTGAGCAGGCTGCCATCTAACACTAAAGGACACACTGAGCTATCAAAGTCTACCTACCAGTGATCTGAGCAGGCTGCCATCTAACACTAAAGGACACACTGAGCTATCAAAGTCTACCTACCAGTGATCTGAGCAGGCTGCCATCTAACACTAAAGGACACACTGAGCTATCAAAGTCTACCTACCAGTGATCTGAGCAGGCTGCCATCTAACACTAAAGGACACACTGAGCTATCAAAGTCTACCTACCTGTGATCTGAGCAGGCTGCCATCTAACACTAAAGGACACACTGAGCTATCAAAGTCTACCTACCAGTGATCTGAGCAGGCTGCCATCTAACACTAAAGGACACACTGAGCTATCAAAGTCTACCTACCAGTGATCTGAGCAGGCTGCCATCTAACACTAAAGGACACACTGAGCTTTCAAAGTCTACCTACCAGTGATCTGAGCAGGCTGCCATCTAACACTAAAGGACACACTGAGCTATCAAAGTCTACCTACCAGTGATCTGAGCAGGCTGCCATCTAACACTGTACACCCAGTTTTCATGGCCAGCTAATACAGATTCCAAACTCACAGCAAAATGCAGATGTGAACCTGTGCAAGATTGCAGTATTTATTTTACACATGAATCTGTGCAAGATATTAATATTTATTTTACACATGAACCTGTGCAAGATATGAACATTTATTCTACTTGCATGATCATGCATTAGGTTTAAACATTTTCCAAATGTAAAGTAGAGATGATCCAAACCCATATTTTACAGCTTAACAAGTGAATGATCTAACATGATGGTATTGCATGACAAAATTTATCAAGTAGTAATAAGGAAACTTATATCAATAAGAATCAACTTGACTGTACTACCTGCTTGCTCCCCAAAGGAAAGAATGGTTTCTTTGACAGTGATCTCCTCCTCTTGTGGCAAGTCTGAGATACATTTGAAAACATTGTCTACTTTCTGTGCTGGCATATTTTTCTGGACAAACTTCCACACTCTGATCAGATGATCTTGTGCACAGCTAGCCAACAGCATGTTGCCATCATCTAGATAGTGGTGGGAATCATTCAACTGTCTACATCATCTACATAGTGGTGGGAATCATTCAACTGTCTACATCATCTAGATAGTGGTGGGAATCATTCAACTGTCTACATCATCTAGATAGTGGTGGGAATCATTCAACTGTCTACATCATCTAGATAGTGGTGGGAATCATTCAACTGTCTACATCATCTAGATAGTGGTGGGAATCATTCAACTGTCTACATCATCTACATAGTGGTGGGAATCATTCAACTGTCTACATCATCTAGATAGTGGTGGGAATCATTCAACTGTCTACATCATCTAGATAGTGGTGGGAATCATTCAACTGTCTACATCATCTAGATAGTGGTGGGAATCATTCAACTGTCTACATCATCTAGATAGTGGTGGGAATCATTCAACTGTCTACATCATCTAGATAGTGGTGGGAATCATTCAACTGTCTACATCATCTACATAGTGGTGGGAATCATTCAACTGTCCACATCATCTAGATAGTGGTGGGAATCATTCAACTGTCTACATCATCTACATAGTGGTGGGAATCATTCAACTGTCTACATCATCTAGATAGTGGTGGGAATCATTCAACTGTCTACATCATCTAGATAGTGGTGGGAATCATTCAACTGTCTACATCATCTAGATAGTGGTGGGAATCATTCAACTGTCTACATCATCTAGATAGTGGTGGGAATCATTCAACTGTCTACATCATCTAGATAGGGGTGGGAATCATTCAACTGTCTACATCATCTACATAGTGGTGGGAATCATTCAACTGTCTACATCATCTAGATAGTGGTGGGAATCATTCAACTGTCTACATCATCTACATAGTGGTGGGAATCATTCAACTGTCTACATCATCTAGATAGTGGTGGGAATCATTCAACTGTCTACATCATCTAGATAGTGGTGGGAATCATTCAACTGTCTACATCATCTAGATAGTGGTGGGAATCATTCAACTGTCTAATCATCTAGATAGTGGTGGGAATCATTCAACTGTCTACATCATCTAGATAGTGGTGGGAATCATTCAACTGTCTACATCATCTAGATAGTGGTGGGAATCATTCAACTGTCTACATCATCTAGATAGTGGTGGGAATCATTCAACTGTCTACATCATCTAGATAGTGGTGGGAATCATTCAACTGTCTACATCATCTAGATAGTGGTGGGAATCATTCAACTCTCTACATCATCTAGATAGTGGTGGGAATCATTCAACTGTCTACATCATCTACATAGTGGTGGGAATCATTCAACTGTCTACATCATCTAGATAGTGGTGGGAATCATTCAACTGTCTACATCATCTAGATAGTGGTGGGAATCATTCAACTGTCTACATCATCTAGATAGTGGTGGGAATCATTCAACTGTCTACATCATCTACATAGTGGTGGGAATCATTCAACTGTCTACATCATCTAGATAGTGGTGGGAATCATTCAACTGTCTACATCATCTAGATAGTGGTGGGAATCATTCAACTGTCTACATCATCTAGATAGTGGTGGGAATCATTCAACTGTCTAATCATCTAGATAGTGGTGGGAATCATTCAACTGTCTACATCATCTAGATAGTGGTGGGAATCATTCTACTGTCTACATCATCTAGATAGTGGTGGGAATCATTCAACTGTCTACATCATCTACATAGTGGTGGGAATCATTCAACTGTCTACATCATCTAGATAGTGGTGGGAATCATTCAACTGTCTACATCATCTAGATAGTGGTGGGAATCATTCAACTGTCTACATCATCTACAAGTGGTGGGAATCATTCAACTGTCTACATCATCTAGATAGTGGTGGGAATCATTCAACTGTCTACATCATCTAGATAGTGGTGGGAATCATTCAACTGTCTACATCATCTAGATAGTGGTGGGAATCATTCAACTGTCTACATCATCTAGATAGTGGTGGGAATCATTCAACTGTCTACATCATCTACATAGTGGTGGGAATCATTCAACTGTCCACATCATCTAGATAGTGGTGGGAATCATTCAACTGTCTACATCATCTACATAGTGGTGGGAATCATTCAACTGTCTACATCATCTAGATAGTGGTGGGAATCATTCAACTGTCTACATCATCTAGATAGTGGTGGGAATCATTCAACTGTCTACATCATCTAGATAGTGGTGGGAATCATTCAACTGTCTACATCATCTAGATAGTGGTGGGAATCATTCAACTGTCTACATCATCTAGATAGGGGTGGGAATCATTCAACTGTCTACATCATCTACATAGTGGTGGGAATCATTCAACTGTCTACATCATCTAGATAGTGGTGGGAATCATTCAACTGTCTACATCATCTACATAGTGGTGGGAATCATTCAACTGTCTACATCATCTAGATAGTGGTGGGAATCATTCAACTGTCTACATCATCTAGATAGTGGTGGGAATCATTCAACTGTCTACATCATCTAGATAGTGGTGGGAATCATTCAACTGTCTAATCATCTAGATAGTGGTGGGAATCATTCAACTGTCTACATCATCTAGATAGTGGTGGGAATCATTCAACTGTCTACATCATCTAGATAGTGGTGGGAATCATTCAACTGTCTACATCATCTAGATAGTGGTGGGAATCATTCAACTGTCTACATCATCTAGATAGTGGTGGGAATCATTCAACTGTCTACATCATCTAGATAGTGGTGGGAATCATTCAACTGTCTACATCATCTAGATAGTGGTGGGAATCATTCAACTGTCTACATCATCTACATAGTGGTGGGAATCATTCAACTGTCTACATCATCTAGATAGTGGTGGGAATCATTCAACTGTCTACATCATCTAGATAGTGGTGGGAATCATTCAACTGTCTACATCATCTAGATAGTGGTGGGAATCATTCAACTGTCTACATCATCTACATAGTGGTGGGAATCATTCAACTGTCTACATCATCTAGATAGTGGTGGGAATCATTCAACTGTCTACATCATCTAGATAGTGGTGGGAATCATTCAACTGTCTACATCATCTAGATAGTGGTGGGAATCATTCAACTGTCTAATCATCTAGATAGTGGTGGGAATCATTCAACTGTCTACATCATCTAGATAGTGGTGGGAATCATTCTACTGTCTACATCATCTAGATAGTGGTGGGAATCATTCAACTGTCTACATCATCTACATAGTGGTGGGAATCATTCAACTGTCTACATCATCTAGATAGTGGTGGGAATCATTCAACTGTCTACATCATCTAGATAGTGGTGGGAATCATTCAACTGTCTACATCATCTACAAGTGGTGGGAATCATTCAACTGTCTACATCATCTAGATAGTGGTGGGAATCATTCAACTGTCTACATCATCTAGATAGTGGTGGGAATCATTCAACTGTCTACATCATCTAGATAGTGGTGGGAATCATTCAACTGTCTACATCATCTAGATAGTGGTGGGAATCATTCAACTGTCTACATCATCTAGATAGTGGTGGGAATCATTCAACTGTCTACATCATCTAGATAGTGGTGGGAATCATTCAACTGTCTACATCATCTAGATAGTGGTGGGAATCATTCAACTGTCTACATCATCTAGATAGTGGTGGGAATCATTCAACTGTCTACATCATCTAGATAGTGGTGGGAATCATTCAACTGTCTAATCATCTAGATAGTGGTGGGAATCATTCAACTGTCTACATCATCTAGATAGTGGTGGGAATCATTCAACTGTCTACATCATCTAGATAGTGGTGGGAATCATTCAACTGTCTACATCATCTAGATAGTGGTGGGAATCATTCAACTGTCTACATCATCTACATAGTGGTGGGAATCATTCAACTGTCTACATCATCTAGATAGTGGTGGGAATCATTCAACTGTCTACATCATCTACATAGTGGTGGGAATCATTCAACTGTCTACATCATCTAGATAGTGGTGGGAATCATTCAACTGTCTAATCATCTAGATAGTGGTGGGAATCATTCAACTGTCTACATCATCTAGATAGTGGTGAGAATCATTCAACTGTCTACATCATCTAGATAGTGGTGGGAATCATTCAACTGTCTAATCATCTAGATAGTGGTGGGAATCATTCAACTGTCTACATCATCTAGATAGTGGTGGGAATCATTCAACTGTCTACATCATCTAGATAGTGGTGGGAATCATTCAACTGTCTACATCATCTAGATAGTGGTGGGAATCATTCAACTGTCTACATCATCTACATAGTGGTGGGAATCATTCAACTGTCTACATCATCTGGATAGTGGTGGGAATCATTCAACTGTCTACATCATCTAGATAGTGGTGGGAATCATTCAACTGTCTACATCATCTAGATAGTGGTGGGAATCATTCAACTGTCTACATCATCTACATAGTGGTAGGAATCATTCAACTGTCCACATCATCTAGATAGTGGTGGGAATCATTCAACTGTCTACATCATCTACATAGTGGTGGGAATCATTCAACTGTCTACATCATCTAGATAGTGGTGGGAATCATTCAACTGTCTACATCATCTAGATAGTGGTGGGAATCATTCAACTGTCTACATCATCTAGATAGTGGTGGGAATCATTCAACTGTCTACATCATCTAGATAGTGGTGGGAATCATTCAACTGTCTAATCATCTAGATAGTGGTGGGAATCATTCAACTGTCTACATCATCTAGATAGTGGTGGGAATCATTCAACTGTCTACATCATCTAGATAGTGGTGGGAATCATTCAACTGTCTAATCATCTAGATAGTGGTGGGAATCATTCAACTGTCTACATCATCTAGATAGTGGTGGGAATCATTCAACTGTCTACATCATCTAGATAGTGGTGGGAATCATTCAACTGTCTACATCATCTAGATAGTGGTGGGAATCATTCAACTGTCTACATCATCTACATAATGGTGGGAATCATTCAACTGTCTACATCATCTAGATAGTGGTGGGAATCATTCAACTGTCTACATCATCTAGATAGTGGTGGGAATCATTCAACTGTCTACATCATCTACATAGTGGTGGGAATCATTCAACTGTCTACATCATCTAGATAGTGGTGGGAATCATTCAACTGTCTACATCATCTAGATAGTGGTGGGAATCATTCAACTGTCTACATCATCTACATAGTGGTGGGAATCATTCAACTGTCTACATCATCTACATAGTGGTGGGAATCATTCAACTGTCTACATCATCTAGATAGTGGTGAGAATCATTCAACTGTCTACATCATCTAGATAGTGGTGGGAATCATTCAACTGTCTACATCATCTACATAGTGGTGGGAATCATTCAACTGTCTACATCATCTACATAGTGGTGGGAATCATTCAACTGTCTACATCATCTACATAGTGGTGGGAATCATTCAACTGTCTACATCATCTAGATCATGGGTTCCCAACCTGGGGGTCGCGACCCCCTTGGGGGTCGCCAAGGGTTTTCTGGGGGGTCGCCAACTGGTAGACTAAACTACAGCAATGAACAAAAAACATAAATATTTTGAAAAATATTTGAAATTCGGCATTACTAACATGACTGGAAATGGAATAGAGAATAAACAATTTGTACTGTGTAAAGTTGTTCTTAGTCAGGAGTCTATGAAAACTTCCATACGTCAATTTGAGACGAGTCATTCGGAACACACCAAAAAAGATATGTAGTTCTTTTGTCGGCATGAAGCTAGTTGCAAGCGTCAGAGACTTGATCGAACAGGAAGTTTTCACCAAGAAAATTCACCATTAGTGCAAGCATCATATGAAGTAGTATTAGAAATTGCCAAGCAAAAAACCACTCACACAAAGGAGAAAATCTCATAGAACCATGTATGCTGAAGATGGTAAAATTAATTCTTGGGGATTCCAGTGCAGTAAAGATGCAACAAATATCTCTGTCTAATAATACTATGCAGCGGCTTATGTTAAAAGACAAATTTAGAATGAAATCAAGCTTTTACCATTGTTTGATTTTCAAGTTGACGAATCGACAGACGTGAGTTCGTATTCGCAGTTGCTTGTCTTTGTGAAATATATTCATTCAGATGTTAGCAAATAAGAGTTAATGTTTTGTGAAGATATCATGGAGAAAATAAATACGTTTTTTTGAAAATGGAGGATTAAAACGGGAAAACGGCTGTGGGGCTTGTACGGATGGTGTATCATGGTTGGGTCAAAATGGAGGTTTCAGAAAAAAGTAAAAGGTAAAAGATTTAGCTCCCTAATGAAAGGGAATCCACTACATGATTCACATATGCCCTCGCCAGCAAGACTTATCCGACTCCATTGCTAATAAAAGTCGTAAATCATATTAAATCTAAAGCCCTAAACACCTGTCTGTTTCAAGAACTGTGCAAAGACATGAATAAAGATCACGAGGTTCTACACTTCAGTACGCTGGCTGTCAATAGGAAATTTCAATCGTGTTATTGAATTGAAAGATGAAATCAAGATGTTCTTGGAAGTGCAAGGAAACAAGACCTTTTGATACATTTTAACAACATCGTGTGGTTGGAGAGAGTATCATACCTAGCAGATATATTCGAACATCAACATAAGCTTAATAAAGGAACGAATATTATCTCTTTTCATGAAAATCTCATGGCATTTTTATCAAAGCTGCAAAATTGGCGAGGAAAAATAAATATTTGAAATACTGCCATGTTTGAGAAACACTGCAGTGTGGTGTGATAGATAAGTTTTAAAAGATTCTGTGCATCTTGAATCTCTTGACAACGAACTGCGGCGTTATTTTCCCCGAGCTGAAAGAAGAAGAATCTGCATTGTCACCCATTCTCTGCTTTCCTTGATGTTACCAGCATTGCCGATGAATAACAAGATGAAATCTTAAATTTGCTAAATTATATTGTTAATGCTAGTTAATGCTTGTTAATAGCATGTAATTTTGCTCATCGTATTAAAACATTTATCAAGAATGATTCATATTGAAAGTCTACTAGAAAATATTAATTTAGTGCCTATTATTTTCTTTACTAATTTCGACTTGTTAATTATATTGGGGTCGCGGGTCACTTACGTTTTATGAAAGGGGGTCGCCACTCGAAAAAGGTTGGGAACCACTGATCTAGATAGTGGTGGGAATCATTCAACTGTCTACATCATCTAGATAGTGGTGGGAATCATTCAACTGTCTACATCATCTACATAGTGGTGGGAATCATTCAACTGTCTAATCATCTAGATAGTGGTGGGAATCATTCAACTGTCTACATCATCTAGATAGTGGTGGGAATCATTCAACTGTCTACATCATCTAGATAGTGGTGGGAATCATTCAACTGTCTAATCATCTAGATAGTGGTGGGAATCATTCAACTGTCTACATCATCTAGATAGTGGTGGGAATCATTCAACTGTCTACATCATCTAGATAGTGGTGGGAATCATTCAACTGTCTACATCATCTACATAGTGGTGGGAATCATTCAACTGTCTACATCATCTAGATAGTGGTGGGAATCATTCAACTGTCTACATCATCTAGATAGTGGTGGGAATCATTCAACTGTCTACATCATCTAGATAGTGGTGGGAATCATTCAACTGTCTACATCATCTAGATAGTGGTGGGAATCATTCAACTGTCTACATCATCTAGATAGTGGTGGGAATCATTCAACTGTCTACATCATCTAGATAGTGGTGAGAATCATTCAACTGTCTACATCATCTAGATAGTGGTGGGAATCATTCAACTGTCTACATCATCTAGATAGTGGTGGGAATCATTCAACTGTCTACATCATCTAGATAGTGGTGGGAATCATTCAACTGTCTACATCATCTAGATAGTGGTGAGAATCATTCAACTGTCTACATCATCTAGATAGTGGTGGGAATCATTCAACTGTCTACATCATCTAGATAGTGGTGGGAATCATTCAACTGTCTACATCATCTAGATAGTGGTGGGAATCATTCAACTGTCTACATCATCTAGATAGTGGTGGGAATCATTCAACTGTCTACATCATCTAGATAGTGGTGAGAATCATTCAACTGTCTACATCATCTAGATAGTGGTGGGAATCATTCAACTGTCTACATCATCTAGATAGTGGTGGGAATCATTCAACTGTCTACATCATCTACATAGTGGTGGGAATCATTCAACTGTCTACATCATCTAGATAGTGGTGGGAATCATTCAACTGTCTACATCATCTAGATAGTGGTGGGAATCATTCAACTGTCTAATCATCTAGATAGTGGTGGGAATCATTCAACTGTCTACATCATCTACATAGTGGTGGGAATCATTCAACTGTCTACATCATCTAGATAGTGGTGGGAATCATTCAACTGTCTACATCATCTAGATAGTGGTGGGAATCATTCAACTGTCTACATCATCTAGATAGTGGTGGGAATCATTCAACTGTCTACATCATCTACATAGTGGTGGGAATCATTAAACTGTCTACATCATCTAGATAGTAGTGGGAATCATTCAACTGTCTACATCATCTAGATAGTGGTGGGAATCATTCAACTGTCTACATCATCTACATAGTGGTGGGAATCATTCAACTGTCTACATCATCTAGATAGTGGTGGGAATCATTCAACTGTCTACAGCCAACAATTTTTTAAACAGTGTAACTGCTTTATTTTTATGCTGTGTAAGGATTCCATTTCACTTTACAAATAAAAAAGGTATCCTATAGATTCATAAATGTGTCAGCCTAGTCAATGTAATTTATATCAACCATGTCGATGTAATGTGTATCAACCATGTCAATGTCATTTGTAACAAACATGTCTACGAATATACTTGTCGGCCTAGTCAATGAATGTAATAGATGTTGAAGGAATGTAATAGATGTCGACCATGTCAATGAGTACAATATGTGTTTCCTACCATCTGCTGTGAAGTGAACACTCCTCACCCAGTCATCATGACCTGTCAGCACTGTCACTTTAGCAAACTGTGGAATTAGTTCAAACAAACTTTAGCAAACTGTGGAATTAGTTCAAACAAACTTTAGCAAACTGTGGAATTAGTTCAAACAAACTTTAGCAAACTGTGGAATTAGTTCAAACAAACTTTAGCAAACTGTGGAATTAGTTCAAACAAACTTTTAGCAAACTGTGGAATTAGTTCAAACAAACTTTTAGCAAACTGTGGAATTAGTTCAAACAATCTTTTAGCAAACTGTGGAATTAGTTCAAACAAACTTTTAGCAAACTGTGGAATTAGTTCAAACAATCTGTGGTAAACTGTTAAAACAAATTTAACTGCTTCTAATACTAAATTATCAATATCAAGAATACAACCATTAAATCACTCCCACCAATAATAATATAAATGTATCAAGAATACAAACATCAAATCACCCCACCAAAAACATAAATGTATCAAGAATACAACCCTCAAATCACCCACCAAAAACATAAATGTATCAAGAATACTACCCTCAAATCACTTAACCAAAAACATAAATGTATCAAGAATACTACCCTCAAATCACTTAACCAAAACATAAATGTATCAAGAATACTACCATCAAATCACTCCCTCCAACATAAAGATGAATTTTGTGATCATCACATCCACAAGCCAGTAGCGGAGCTAGACAATGGTAACAAAAAATATATTCAACAAATCACAGTGAATTAGGTTTTTAAAGTTTGTAATGTTTGAATTAAATAACTCTACTTAATAGATTTAATAAACATATTAAAATATCTCTAGTCAATAGAAGGAATAAACACTCACTATTTGTTCCAGGTATGATGAAAGTGGCCAGAGAAAGTGCAAACCCAGAACCAAACCTGAGGACCTGCTGCTCTTTCACATCTAAAGGTAAATGTTGAAATCTATTTTACAAACATCTAAAGGTAAATGTAGAGATCTATTTTACACACATCTAAAGGTAAAGGTAGAAATCTATTTTACAAACATCTAAAGGTAAATGTAGAGATCTATTTTACAAACATCTAAAGGTAAATGTAGAAATCTATTTTACAAACATCTAAAGGTAAATGTTGAAATCTATTTTACAAACATCTAAAGGTAAATGTAGGGATCTATTTTACAAACATCTAAAGGTAAATGTAGAAATCTATTTTATAAACAACTAAAGGTAAATGTAGAAATCTATTCTATAAACATCTAAAGGTAAATGTAGAAATCGATTTTACAAACATCTAAAGGTAAATGTAGAAATCTATTTTATAAACATCTAAAGGTAAATGTAGAAATCGATTTTACAAACATCTAAAGGTAAATGTAGAGATCTATTTTACACACATCTAAATGTAAATGTAGAAAGCTATTTTACAAACATCTAAAGGTAAATGTAGAAATCTATTTTACAAACATGTGAAGCTCAAATTATTCAAAGCCATCATGTTCAATCAAACCTACAAATAATACAAACCTACGTCCAACTACATACCTGAATCCTTTCTGACCCAGATGCGTACGGTGGAGTCGACTGAAGCAGAAACAACCAATGTAGTGGGAGGGTCATTTTTGTCTTGGCCTTCAATGTAGAGCGAGGATACACAAGTCACTGAATCTTCATGGCCAGTCAAGGTCACTAGTGCTCCCTTGGATTCCTTCAACAGTGCAAGCAAGCAACATTTTACACAGCTATTCACACATTCAGTTTTAAGTGCACACACACACACAACCTGGTTTGATGCCAGTGAAGAATCATTATGACCCACAATTAAGTATTGCTAATAAATTCCTTCTTCTTTAAGAGCTTAAGACTGCAGGGATGTCTTGGGAGACTGCCAAATTCCCAGCAGGGGACCAGACAGTGGAAGATCATAGTTCAGGCCATATGCCCCACATAGAGAGGACTAAGTGAAGTGTCAATGAAATGCTCAGTGTATTACCTGGTGAAGGCTCCAGAGCTTGATGGTGTGATCTGTAGAACCAGACACAAACTCTGCTTCATCTGGAATGGAAACATGTAAAATCATTGGTTTATCTTCTTTAAATAAATTCATTTGAAGCATCATTAACTGCATGAATTACTCTCATACCATGTTTTTTTTTTGTAATAAATTTTTATCAAAACTATTTACATCTACAGTTAACAGAAACAACACAATTTTAAAAAACAGGAACACTGTGTGCCATAACTCACTAGATGAACCGTTGCTTATCCAAGCCACACAGTTGACCTTGCCAGCATGACCAGTGTATGTCCTAATAATGCCACCTGCAACAGAGAAACCCTGGACAAAAACAGTCAGGCTATTCATTAATATTAGCTCACCTTTTTTACTTAAATCAAGAACTTTAAACATGCAATGATTTTATGGTACTTTACATTGTTACTAGTAAACTAATAAATAAGTAATGTCAAAACTTACATCACTCTAATATTACTTTACTAAATTTGTATTGTGCCAACAAGAAATGGCGTGGACAAATAATCAAACACTTTCATGTTTAGACTAATGCAGGGAAAAACTGGGTTACAGAGTTGGGTATAGGATGGGTTAGGTATTTACTAGTAATACCATATGAGGTCTACAACATTTACTAGATCAGCTAATATCTTACTGTGAGTTGGTCAAAAGTTTAAATAAAAAATAAAAATTAGAGGCCAAAATGGCATAAGACAAAAAAGTTGAGTCAAGAAATCATCAGTCATGTGATTTATTTATCTCGCAGCCTACGAGATACTGCTTAGTGGACTACTATCTGGTAAGTGCTGTGATATCTGCCAAACTTTTGACCACAATTGACCAACATCAGCTTTCTTATTGTGCAGATTTTGACACCAACTTACAGCTTTATTTTTATTATTGCATTGTTAGTAGTAGCCCCCACTTCAGCAAGCATATTTCAAGTCTATTTTATTGATGTGTCAATTCTTTAAAGAATTACATAATTCCAAATTTACTAGCCATGTTGATGATTGATCCCCTATCTTTCTATTGTGTTGACTTTGAGCAATAAACTATTACTTTTAAATCCCAAACTAGGTGTTTTTATGATAAATGGCTCCTCGGCCCCAGACCCATTTCATGACACTCTTTCCAAATAAAAGAAATCAAGAAATTTTAAACAAACAGGTCTTTAACAAAAAAAAAAAAAAAAGAGGGTAAAATTAATAGAGTGAACTAGCGAAATGCGTGTGCTGTGTTGATGATGAAAGTGTAAGTAGAGAAGTGTATAGCGTGCATGAGATGACAGTGTAGAGTGTTATGAAGATGTCACTATGTGTACTGATTGTGGTACTGGTATGGAAGTTGACTAAATAAATGTATGTTAATTTGTTTTACCAGTGTTTGATTATGTCCCAACAAGGCAATCTTCATAAAATGTGGTGTTGGATTATCTATAGTTAACTAAGTACAACTATGACTTGCTAATGTCAACACTAACCTTATTCCTAACTCAAACCCTAACCCAAGTACCACCAAAGACATGACCCTAATTTCTGACTATCACACTAAACCTTTGATTTTAGTAAACAACCTAACATCTTTTTTTGAAAGTCTACTGTCTAATTAGTGATTAGGCAAACTCATTACCTCTGGTTGATAAATAGCTATGGCCCTACTGTATGCAAAACAGACCAAGCCATTCTTTCCCCAATCTGCACTAAAAGGGCCTCGATTACATCCAGCACTTGTATAGCAAACTTGCACATGAGACATTCTGAGATTATTTTGTCTTAGCTCACTTTGACCTTAATTCTTGACCCCTATAGATAATTTTAAACTTTTTATTAGAATAAATAAATATTTAATATAATAAATAAAAAAAATTAAAGTAAGAATATTTAAAAAATTAATCTCATTCACAAGAAACAGATAAAATATTGAGATGCCCTTTAACTATTTAATATAAATCCTAAATATGAAGGGAAAATTTGAAAATTTACAAAATACAGGTTTTATCCATGTCACTTGATTGTCACCAATCAAATAGCCGATTAATTAAAGACCAAGTTTATTCCCAGCCAACTGAGAAAACTTGTATTGGGGCTATTCTTAGTTTCATTTCATGCAATAAACAACTGGAAATGGTATCTTACAATAATAATGGTAGGTTAAATTAGAGAGCAGAGCTATTAGTGTGTTATATTTTTAAAAGAAAAGGTATTAAGGTTTTTAAGTTTATGTTTATATCTGCTAAGTAAATTATTAATTATTAAAAAATTATGTACTTCAAAGTAATTCCGGACTAATTATTTATAACTAAAACTTAATACTTAAAAAACTTATGCATCACTTTTGTTGGACACTACGATGTGGTGTTTTCAGAATATTGATCACTGAGTGAGTAACTGTAGGCCGTAGGCCTACAGCCAATCAATGTTTGTCTTACAAAATTAAAACTTTAGTTTATAATTTAGGTTTGATGAAAATAAATAGAAATGTTGTCTTAATAATTAATAAATTAGGCCTACACTCAACACTCAACCAATTATTTTCAAGTTCTCTGGATTTGCAACTTATTTTATAATATTAATTAATATAAACATATAAAATTTCTAAATTAATTTTAAGCTTAGGTTTTTATTTTTTTTACGGTCTAAATCTAAAAAGCACGTTTTTATTCCATGTCAACAACATTAGATATAATTTATATTTATTTTATGGAAGGAATCTCGTCAACTCGCTGGTGTCCATTAAAAATTGGCTAAAAAATATAAATTCGAAAAATGTGCAGAAATAATGACTAAAATTTAGGGCCTAATGAGTCACGGCCGATTTTACGTAGCTAAAACGATAGATTACCGAAAAAAAATTAGGTTCTGAGAGTTAAGAAAACCTACACACTACACTCACTAAATGAAACAAGATTTATTTTCAAAACAACATTTTCAGTAGCAGACACATGTTGTTTATATTTTAATAGGTCTTACTAAATGCCACAAAGTCGAATAACCGCAAAAGAAGCTATTTAAAATATTTTTGTTAGGTCTATTTAGTAGTATTTAGTATTTTAAAAATAGTAGGCCTATTTCATAATCATAAAAGAAAGCAACTTTGTTTCAATTTTTAATATTTTCATTGAATTTAATAGTTTATACTATTATTCAAAATAATTGATAATATATTAGCCTGAAAAATTGTTTTTTTAAGGATAGGCTATTAAATATAAATATTATCAGATATGCTAAATTTGTATTTCGCGTGGAGACTAGAGTCTAGTTGTTTACTGTTATTAGTATGACCTCAAAATACAAACAGATCTAGAATATAAATAAATATAAATTATTTACTACTAGATCTAGTCCGAGTACTAATTACTAATTAATTTACTAATAGGCCCTAACAATTTTAATAAATAAATAGTACATGATAGATCTAATAATCTAATAAATACCAAATATTGTGTTAAAAATTAATTAATAATTAATTTCTTTCCTGAGTCTATCTGCATCTGGTCTACTCTAAAAAAAAGTCTAACTGCTAGCTGAGTCTTTTTATCTTTTTTTCTTAAAAAGTTTATAGACCTAGTTTATAATAAAAATATTACTTTATAGGCCTAATTATATTATATTATAAACAACTCAACTATGGCCTATGAGAATCCTGGTATTAGTGATGGTACTCTTTTGGGGAGGGGGGGGGGAGGGTTGCCCCAGAAGGAAGTCTACCACCCCCTATGAAGGAAATGGAATTTATTTAGAAAATATATACTTTTAACAGTGCCTGTCTGCCCCCCCCCCCCCCCCCCCCCCAGAAGATTTAGTCCCCCCTCTACCCCAAAAATTTTAAGTGCCCCCTGGAGAAAAAAGTCTGGAAGAAACACTGGTTGTAACTTACATTTTACACACACAGTTGATTGGATATTTATTTCCATTTTTGTCATGCGGATTTTGTAAGAAACAACTGTATTCATTAAATTTTCATTTGCCCCAGATTATTCACAACTGATTGATGCAAGCTTTACAATGGCTCTTGTCCAGTGGAGAATATATGCTTTTCCGAAGCGGCTTCAATTGAAGTTACATGAATGTCTACAGTCAGTACGAATAATATTTCTGTCTCTGTGCTATAACCAGTTCACATCATGGAACACTGCTATGGACACAGCATTCGAACCAATGTTCTGGGTTGTGGATCATACAGCACGTTACATGGGGCCTGTAAGTTTGTTTTTTCTTTCAACTTGGCTCATATGGTTTTTGCTATTTAGTTGAAGTAAGTCCAATTACATTACATTTCTTTAAATAGTTTTTTATTCCAGATAATGATAACTGTGGTTGTACTGTTGACAATTTTTTTTTAAATTCCAGATTATGGTAACAATGGTAGTACTGTTGACGAAAATTTTTTTTTATTCCAGATTATGGTAACAATGATAGTACTGTTGACGAAATTTTTTTTTTATTCCAGATTATGGTAACAATGATAGTACTGTTGACAAAATTTTTTTTTTATTCCAGATTATGGTAACAATGATAGTACTGTTGACGAAAAAAAATTTTTATTCCAGATTATGGTAACAATGATAGTACTGTTGACAAACATTTTTTTTTATTCCAGATTATGGTAACAATGATAGTACTGTTGACAAAAAATTTTTTTTATTCCAGATTATGGTAACAATGTGTTGACAAACATTTTTTTTTATTCCAGATTATGGTAACAATGGTAGTACTTTTGACAACTCTAGTTGTCATGGTGTTCTATGCTTGCATCTTTCCCCACATTTACTATCAAAAAGATATCTTCTGGTCCGTCTTTCATTTTTTCTTCTCTCACTGGCTGCTCATAAACATTGTTTTCAACTACATCATGGCAGCATTCACTCACCCTGGTCACCCACCACAGGTACACTTTTGTTTATCAACCTAACTCAGTTATTAGATTGTTAAGGGTTGTTCTATTACTGATATTTATCAACCTAACTCAGTTATTAGATTGTTAAGGGGTGTTCTATTACTGATATTTATCAACCTAACTCAGTTATTAGATTGTTAACGGGTGTTCTATTACTGATATTTACAACATTTAAAAAGTTTTGGTATTAAAATTGGGGCATTTGTAATATTAGCATTAATATCAGTTTACCTACTTAAAAAAATACTTATGGATTGATGTAATTTCAAATGTCTGATAATGTTTCAGAATGTTTCTCATGTCGTATCAATATGTAAGAAATGTATTGCTCCTAAGCCACCTCGTACACATCATTGCACTATATGTGCGTCTTGTATTTTGAAAATGGATCATCATTGTCGTATCCTTTCATTGGTTTGGTGATTGTTTTGTTTTGCACCATTAAAGTTAAGTTTATCCTCTATAATGTTTAAACACAAACTTTAATTTCATAAAATTTTATTAATTTCCTTTATTAAACTGCTATTAAATACAAAGGAAGGGAAGATAATACCATTTGACTATAAAATAAAAATTTAAAGTAAAAATTCAACTAACTTACAATGGTGCTATGGTTTAATTGTTATAAAATTTGTCGAAACATTTTTCTTTACCAGTAATTAGCTTGGCTTAACAACTGTGTTGGATTCTACAATCATCGTTACTTTTTCCTGTTTGTTGTGTACATGTGGTTTGGTACTGTATATACAACATTTGCTGGTTACGATGTTTTTAAACAACATTTTTTCGGCAACAAAGTAGGCCTATTAATATAAATACTTATCATAAAAACTAATTTATTTTTGGCTGGTATGTAAGATATTACAAATATGTTGATACTGCTAGTTTCATACAATTATTTTATAGCCATCAAATAATAAGACTTCTGTGCTTTCACCGTTAGATGTAATATAGTTTATTTATTTTGTTTTCTAGGAGTTGATAGTCCCAGCTTTCTTTTTCCCAGTCAACATGGTTTATCACATGTGGAAAGATTCTGGGACAGTAAGTAAAAGACAGTTATATCTAAAACACAAGCAGATGGTTTGTCAAAAATTCAAATGAAGTTTAGATCTCAAATAGCTTATACTTGATTATGTTTATAACTTCCTAAACATTTTTTAAAAATTTAAACAAGCAGCTAAAAATTAGTTATTAAAGTTCAGTGTAAAAAATATTTCTTCCCATATTGCCAATTTTGTCTGTTTATTCTCTTTTGTAAACTGTTTTTTTTTAAAAGAACAATGGATTTTATAAAACATATTATAACATAATAAGTGTACTGTAATCAATTTTTAATATGACTTTGTACACCTGTCATATCATTTAAAAAATCTATCATTTGTTTGCAGAAATCAGAGACTAATCCATTATCAACATCATCAGATGGCATTGTCAAGGGTGCTGAGGATGAAGAAATAAAGGCTACACTAGAAGATCAGTTTTTTCACAATGCTGTCATTCTACAATTTCTCTTGTGTGCTGGAGTAGCAGTTGCTCTGGGACTTTTGGGGGTGTGGCATGCAAGACTCATCTCTCAAGGCCAAACCAGTATTGAACAACATATTAACAAGAGGGAAAGGACAAGACTGCGGAAGAAAAATCTTGTAAGTTAACTCTTCCCAATGGAGAGTAAAGGAAGGCAAATTTAAAGTTCTTTAACATTTAACTATTCATAGAGAAATTATTATACATATATTTTCAAAACTTATAAATGTGACATTTTTTACTACACTACACAGGTATATAAAAATCCTTACGATTTTGGAGTGATTCAAAACTGGAGAATTTTTCTTGGATTATGTAAAGGGAGGTAATATATATTTTTTAGATTTTTATAACTTTTTATGTCTGTAATGCTCTACATTACCTGATGTATTTATCAATCCCTTAACCTCAACACATGCTTCCTGCTCATTTCACCGTTGTGCAGTTAATTATTTAATTATGAACATGTGTCCTATGAACCTATAGAATATATCAAATGAAAGTAATTTTAACCCTTAAACACCTGTCATCTGTCTGTTACCCTACCAGAACACATTGTTGTATTTTTTCAGATCATTTGTCCGGCACATTTTGTTGCCATCAAGGCATGATCCAGTTGGAGACGGGATCATGTGGGAAACTGCCACATACAAGCTGGAACGCAATTCTGTTTTGGATCTTTTATGACAAAAATCTAAGACCGAGTAGATATTTCTGTTTTATCTGTGTAATTTAAATGTTGTTTATGCTCATAAAATTGGAAAAAATGCATAATTTATGAGTTTACTGTGGAGAGAAAGTTTTTATATTAAAAAATTCATGTACAACTGTTGGCTACCTTGTTTGATATTATATGTTCATTTGGTTTAATATTCAACAAAATTTCTGACTTTTTATTGTGAGTTGGGCCATATCATGTTAATGTATTTAAACTGGACAAATTTACTACTTGCTGTAAATATTAAATATGTGACCAATCAGGTTGATTTACTGACATATTTTACTTGTGTTTGCTGATATTTCATATTTTAATTATGCTTGCTCATGATATTGAACAAAATGGAAATATGTTTCCATTCAATTGTGTTTTTGTAATAAACAAATAATCCACCTTGAAGAGTAAGTCTGTTGTGTAAAGAGTATCACTGTTAGCTTATGCTGTCTTCACTATTTATCAATGATTGATCCTGCCAGCTTTTTAAACTCTTTTAATTTATTCTTTGTGCTTTAAGTTTTTTGTTTACTATAACTTACTTTGACAAGACAAGTAACTAGTTTCCCACATACTTAGTCCACCCCACGTTGAGGAAAGTAAAGGTGGCTGGGCACACCACCCCTTTATATGCCAAGGTCACAGAAATAGACAAACTCTACTTAATTTCCCCATGGACCATCAGGTCCCAAAAGGAAACTTTTCTTTCATTTTCTTTAGAACAAATGTTTTGATATAAAGCTTTTTATTTACATGTATATATATATGATATGGGACGGTGTTCGAAAACATTCCTGAGTTCACCCAGCTCTAATATGTTCCTAACTCACTTAGGGATAAAAAAAAGCGGCTGGGCATAGCGCTAACAACACTATTTCTTCATTTGCTGAGGTCTCTGAAAAAGATGACTTCTACTTCATCTGCTCCATTTGTCTTGGGCCCAAACGGTAAAAGATATACATTTAATAATGCACCATTATAAAGAAAAGTGTTGACTGCTCAATTATGTGCTGAAGCCCTTCCTAAATCCATAAAATTGTATAAAATTTGGTAATTAAAACTTAATTTTCCATTTATTTTTTTACATTGGACATAAGTGATTCACAATGACATCAACAACAAGTAATGTTAAAGAAGAAAAAGATTCAAAACCATTTGAAGATAGAAATAAAAAAAGTTCCATTTATTTAAGATATGGGATAGAACAATGATAAAAACGTATTCATCATATAAGACAGATGTCATCCATTACTCAAATGTAACATAATCATTTTAAATAAAGATAGTTTAATCAGTTTAGCAGTATAAAACAAAATCACAGATCAATTTGCTGATGCAGAGCAGATACACAATGAGACAATATACTAGGTAATAATTGGGTGCATTTATAGAATTCAGTGAAGTAGTAGATGAAATGTATAACAAATTGCAGTGGCAGACATCTATAAAATAAAGTACCAAATTTGTAATATCATAATTCAAACAAAACATAAGGCACTGGCTTTATCCTTTGAACATTAATTGCCTCAAATACTGCAAAATCTTTCTGAAATACTCAATACTTGCTCTTAAAATAAGGATTTATTTAAACTCTAACTGGTATGTAAACTCTCTCTAGATATCAGTTTAAAAATGTAATCTTAAACAGGATCATGCACAATGTTGCATGCAATTACAGCACTGGTGACACTACATTGATTTTCTTGACATGGGATTGGAATATAATTAGTTCAATAAACAAGTAGCTACTGGACCATTAGGAATATTTATACTGCCAAGTGGTCACTAGTTCATTTTTTAAAATGGATTTTAAATCAACCTGATTGTAGCAATACAATGAGACAATGTACAGTTTCTAATGTACCATTTTAATTGGTTGGTGAGTTGCCTAAGAAAGGACTGATTCAAAACAAAATTTCAGATCAAAAACTTAATGTCATTGAAATAGAACATTTTATAAAAATTAACTAACATAACACAAGATAAATTGCTTTGTATCTGGCAAAACTAAAATGTATAAAATAAGGTAAAAAGCAAGCACAAAGTGCACACATAAATAGATGTACACTTTGTTGGGCTAGTTGTCCAGCAACTAGACGGCATCAAAATAAAGGAACAGTAAATATAATGGAAGTAAGGTTCAAATATGACTAAACCATTACATTAGCATCTTTGTTCATACAGGCTGTACTAACTTAAGTCAACATCCTGCAGGCTGTACTAACTTAAGTCAACATCCTGCAGGCTGTAGCAACTTAAGTCAACATCCTGCAGGCTGTAGCAACTTAAGTCAACATCCTGCAGGCTGTAGCAACTTAAGTCAACATCCTGCAGGCTGTAGCAACTTAAGTCAACATCCTGCAGGCTGTAGCAACTTAAGTCAACATCCTGCAGGCTGTAGCAACTTAAGTCAACATCCTGCAGGTTGTAGCAACTTAAGTCAACATCCTGCAGGCTGTAAGAACTTAAGTCAACATCCTGCAGGCTGTAGCAACTCAAGTCAATATCCAGCAGGCTATAGCAACTTAAGTCAACATCCAGCAGGCTGTAGGAAATTAAGTCAACATCCTGCAGGCTGTAGTAACTTAACATCCTGCAGGCTGTAGGAACTTAAGTCAACATCTTGCAGGCAACTTAAGTCAACAACTTGTGTGTTCATGCAGAGTGCAGCAACTTAGTACTTGTTTCTAAAATATTTCCTCATGTAAAAATTTGAGCATTATGACCAAATATATTTGAGAAACTAATGACAAAAGCTGAGCCACATACTGTACTCATCATTGTGATTCTTAGATGGTGCAATATTGAAGAGTAATCAATGTATTTGAAAGATGGGCGTAGCTTATAAGGCTCAACATCTTTGTTATATTTTTGGAGGGAGATCCACTATCAACTCCCAGTAGACAGATGACAGCACGCCTCACAATGGTTCTTAACATTCAATACAGAAAAACTAAGTAAGACAATAACATTGAATATCTTAGCTAACAAAGTACATGATTGGCTATTTTTCCACCAATTAAAAAATAATCTTAACATAAACATGACACAAAAGGTATGAAAGCATTGACAGAATCAAACAAACACTGCAGCAAACTGGCTCATTACAACTCTAATTTTAGATGACCATTTTTAATCCAGGAAGCACCATTTCCTTTTTTGAAAGTCTGTTTAGAACTTGTACAAGTATTCTGATACTCTTAGAACTTGTACAAATATTCTGATACCATTAGAACTTGTACAAGTATTCTGATACCATTAGAACTTGTACAAATATTCTGATACTCTTAGAACTTGTACAAATATTCTGATACCATTAGAACTTGTACAAGTATTCTGATACTCTTAGAACTTGTACAAATATTCTGATACTCTTAGAACTTGTACAAGTATTCTGATACTCTTAGAACTTGTACAAGTATTCTGATACTCTTAGAACTTGTACAACTATTCTGATACTCTTAGAACTTGTACAAATATTCTGATACTCTTAGAACTTGTACAAATATTCTGATACTCTTAGAACTTGTACAACTATTTTGATACTTTTGATAAAAAACACTGGTTATGTGACTAAATTGAGTATCAGCATCACTTACATTATATAAAGTATAAAGTTTTGATCTGCTTTAAACTTCAGTGTCAACAAGTAATAGCCATTGATGTAACACACTGGCACAATATAGAAGTATATAAGTGCCGTTAAGTTAAATAATTTTAGCAACCTGTTACAGAAACCATACAAAAAATAAAGAAATAGTTGAGATCTTGTAATTAATTATGGTAAAATAAAAGCAGCATGCATCAAATCTAATGTTGACCATAACTAAACAAAACCTCTTACAACAGAAGGCAATTAGGACAGTAATATATCTAGTCTTTAGAAAACAAGATAAATTACACGGAGAGATGACAAAAATTGTGCATCACATAATCAAACAAAAGCTGGACTAGTAAATAACAGTGTAACACCAAACACATGTAATCAAAACCAACAATTAATTCAATGGATTCATAGATCAAAATATACAAGGTAGATATTCAAAAATGGGTAACACCACTTAAATTTAGTTTTAAAAACAGTTTATAACATTCACACCTTCAAAGAAACTTGTCAGTGGTTAACAATCAGCCATACATAAATGTTATGTGCTAATCACTTATAAAGAAATGGACAAAACCTCAGTTGAGTAAAACAAAACATTGAAGAAAATCTTATGACAAATTGGTTTGGAGAAGATTTAATAAGCATCCTATGTTTCATAGGACTGAGGCTAGGATATATACTATTCATTCTATCATGGAGCTGCCATTGTTTGATAAGAAAGTCTTGAATTTTTTTAAAAATTTCACTTCAGAAATCTTTTAGCTGCTGACCAGTGCTCTGTTACCCATCTGACAGGCAAACAATAGTGGTCAGAAATGAGACAAATCTCTGGCCTGCATTCAGTCACCACACTACATTTTGTGTCAACTTATGGCCATTGTTTGTGACAACTAACTTGGCCATTGTTTGTGACAACTAACTTGGCCATTGTTTGTGTCAACTTATGGCCATTGTTTGTGACAACTAACTTGGCCATTGTTTGTGACAACTAACTTGGCCATTGTTTGTGTCAACTTATGGCCATTGTTTGTGACAACTAACTTGGCCATTGTATCAACTAACTTGGCCATTGTTTGTGACAACTAACTTGGCCATTGTTTGTGTCAACTAACTTGGCCATTGTTTGTGTCAACTTATGGCCATTGTTTGTGACAACTAACTTGGCCATTGTATCAACTAACTTGGCCATTGTTTGTGACAACTAACTTGGCCATTGTTTGTGTCAACTTATGGCCATTGTTTGTGACAACTAACTTGGCCATTGTTTGTATCAACTAACTTGGCCATTGTTTGTGTCAACTTATGGCCATTGTTTGTGACAACTAACTTGGCCATTGTTTGTATCAACTAACTTGGCCATTGTTTGTGACAACTAACTTGGCCATTGTTTGTGACAACTAACTTGGCCATTGTTTGTGACAACTAACTTGGCCATTGTTTGTGACAACTAACTTGGCCATTGTTCCAGCTGCTTTTTTCATCTCTAAACATAATTCAACATGTGACAGTAACATGTTACTGATGTCATGTCAAAAAATGTCTGGTCCCAACTGTCCAGTGGCACTGACATGTTACTGACAGATGTCATGGATAGAAAGGGCTTGTTGTCAGCAAATCTCTGCTGCCTTAGTTTTTCTATAACCCATTAGAAAAAATGACAGACTTGTTTTCCTAATGAAGGATGTAAACATGACATGTGACTATATCTCCTAGCAGGGGTTAGTTAAAATTATTTATGCACATCCCAGCCTTACAAATGGTACACTTGCAGAGGGAAATATTTTGTAATCACACAGTGACACTGAAGGTTCAAGTGGTAAATAACATTGATGATACAAATAAAATGTTAAGCAAAAGGACTGTAAGGATTCTACTAATTAACATTACATATGAAAAGTCAATTTAACAAATTAATAGGGTTGTAAGAAATCTACTGCTAAAAGCATGACAAAAATGTATCAGCATTTGGAAAATATGCTTTGATTAATGTGAAAAACAAAAGCTAATTTTGGACATTGAATTAAATGATAAGCCATTTCAAACATGTGACTGCTGGTGACCCCAGCATGTGACTGCTGGTGACTTCACCATGTGACTGCTGGTGACTTCAGCATGTGACTGCTGGTGACTTCACCATGTGACTGCTGGTGACTTCACCATGTGACTGCTGGTGACTTCACCATGTGACTGCTGGTGACTTCACCATGTGACTGCTGGTGACCCCAGCATGTGACTGCTGGTGACTTCACCATGTGACTGCTGGTGACTTCACCATGTGACTGCTGGTGACCCCAGCATGTGACCCCAACATGTGACTGCTGGTGACTTCACCATGTGACTGCTGACATGGTCTAAGTGTTGTCTGCATGCTGACTTGATTAATCAAAACAACTAATGAATGTTAGCCTTTCTAATGTTCAAGAGGAAAATCATGTAAGTTCATTAAAACAAACAGCGGACTAAATATTGATGTCAGATTCTCTATGTGTAATTGTACGGCTCCTCTTTGATAGTAGAGAAAAATCACAAAGAAAGGTTGAATAGAAGAAAGGTCTGCAAACATTGCCAGGCTAGCTAAAAATCTAACCTGGAGAAAGTGCCTTGAAATTTTTTTGAAACAAGTTGTCCTAGTGGACACAAAGACCAAGGAAATGTTACATGATCCTTACACCAGCCACCCTTCAATGACTTGATAAAAACAATCACATTTTGAGAATGGTCAAGGTTATCCTAAGGCCATTTTATGTAGTAAATTGACACAAATAAAACAATAACAACAAGTAGAAGACGAAAACAAGTGTCAGTAAAAGCTTCAGAACAAACATGTCAAAAGAATGTGGACTGAAGTGTTAAAATCAGCTTACATAGTATAGCACACAGGCAACTGATCAAAAGCTTGTGTTAGAGAATGTACTCAAACATTCAAACAGTTGACAGGTAGCCATCAATGTTAACCTCACCACATAGATCTCTTATAAATGTTTGATATTTCTTTTGAAAATGCATGTTCTTTTGAGAAAAATTAACTTTGTACATCAATGTACTTTTGGAAAAAAAAACACTTCAAAGCAGTGTGAATATAATTCAATGCAGCGTAGCACAGTTAAAAAACTAGATGCTTCTAACTACTTGATGCATGTCTTATTGCTCAAGCAAAAAAAAAAGCCACTAAATAATGTATTTACATTTATAAATAGGCAAACAGTTATGTACAAAAATGTAACATACTGGGAAGAGGAGTTTATCCAACTCAAAAATTAATTGTGCAATCCAATTCTATTTGAAGTGAGAAAAATCCTGACTGCCAAACTAATGATATGACTTGCAAGATCTTAAAGTAGCTACAGTCTCTTGTATATCACCTCTTTAAAGACATTCATCTTCAACATTATTGCTTAACTGAAAGCTGAAACCAGCACTTTCTGACATCTAGCCATACATTGGCCACACATCAATGGTTAACCAGCGCTTTCTGACATCACTGGTTAACCTGCACTTTTTGACATCACTGGTTAACCAGCGCTTATTGACATCACTGGTTAACCAGCGCTTATTGACATCACTGGTTAACCAGAACTTTTTGACATCAATGGTTAACCTGCACTTTTTGACATCACTGGTTAACCAGCGCTTTCTGACATCAATGGTTAACCTGCACTTTTTGACATCAATGGTTAACCTGCACTTTTTGACATCAATGGTTAACCTGCACTTTTTGACATCAATGGTTAACCACCAGATGGGCTGATGATTTCAGACATTAAGACTACTTTCCTTAAACAATCCTCATGATTAGATACACAAGTTTTTTGACTTAAGTTAAACAGTTACCCCCTTTTAACAGAATCTTGCGATAACGACATGAAAATTATTGATCATAATCTATTGCCATGCTGTGGTGAAGATTTGCGGTGTTCTATCTCAGCATCCAGATTTTTCATTAGAATGTCATTGAACTCATGAAAAATTTGTTGCAGTCCATCTCTGTCAGTGACTGTGCATCCACGGACCAAAAACTGGCGACTACCTAGTTCAGTGTCTAGCTCCAAATACTGCGTCAACTGGTGTAGAGAGATAAAGATCATAATCAACTTACCAAATACAAAAACTTGTATGGTACTTATTTCATGAAATTTTTAGCTTTTGTCTGTAGCTTTATGAGACATAATACTTTCATTTTTTATACAGTATAACTAAGACTAATGTTATACTGACACAAAATAATTGGCTACTTTACTCATACTGCTGCTTTTTTTAAAAGAATCAACAACAACTTTCTTGTACACTTCCAACTAAACCCATAAAAACTTTCCGTTACACTTCCAACTAAAACCATATAAACTTTTGTTTGCGCTTCCAACTGAATTTAAAGAATTTTAAAACAAGTCAAGAACTGCTTACCTCAGCTGTACTTTTAGCCCCTGGAACATCTTGATAGGTTGCTAAAAGCAACAAGGGCAGAGACTTGAGCTGCTGGTGTTTGACTGCGTTCAGCAGTTCTGTCTTGGCCAGTTGGAGCTTCTCATCAGCTGAGCTGCTGTCTAGCACAAAGATCATGCCCTGGAATACTTGATAATACCTGTCCCAGTAGGGCCTCACCTTGTCACCTCCTTAATATTTGACAGAGGACAAATGCTAAGTAGAGTATTCAAACTGACATTTAGTTCAAAATATCTTGTTCAGTTATTCAAACCCATAATAAATTACATTTACCCCTTACAAATAAAGGTGAACAGTAAAAAGATCTTTTTAGTATGACGAGCTCTTCTGCAATGCCTTCACTTAGTTATTTATGTGGCCCATAGATGACCCATCACTAAAACTAAACAAGTCATGGCAAATGGTCTCCAAATATGTGCCACCAAAAAACTTTTTTTTTACTCTTAGAATCTATAATATAAGATTAAAATAAAGGTGAACAGTAAAAAGATCTTTTTAGTGTGAAGAGCTCTTCTGCAATGCCTTCACTTAGTTATTTATGTGGCCCATAGATGACCCATCACTAAAACTAAACAAGTCATGGCAAATGGTCTCCAATAATGTGCCACCAAAAACAACTTTTTTTTAACTCTTAGAATAATATTATAAAAAAAAATCAACACATTTGCAACAATAATAACTCGGACAAAGCTACGACAAAACAAAGCCACAGCCGTATTTCTAGCCTTGTTCTTAAACGGGATGAATCTATTGTGAGCTATGGCTAAACTTATGTCAACATAAGGAAAGATAAGGGAGCACAGCATTACAAAGAAATATCTGTTTAGCAATGGCTATTACCTATTAACAAACACCCTGTTTAAATAGCATTTTTTTATCCATGGATTTACTATCTTAAATGTTTAACTGTGTCAATTTTAATTATTTACACCTTAAACAATATGGTTTAAGATCCTATGCAATACCCTCATTTAGATATTGAAATTTTCTTTTTTTTCAAAAAGAAATGTCTGAAATTCAGGCAATAATCAGACATAATATTCTCAATAAACATTTATACATTTTATACAAACCTCCTAGCTCTTTCACATCCAATATGCAATCCTCAAACAAAATTGCTTTTATGCTAAAACCTGAAATATTATAATATGAAAATAAAGCTTGACTTTTACTAAACTCTAAAAGACATTAAAAATATTTGCTTTACAAACAAAATCATAAGGAACAATGCATAAATTTAATTAAAAAAAAACCAATGCCTACCAATAGTTGGCTCAATTTTATGCAGGTCATCCCCACTTAGTGTGGCTAAAACAGAGCTTTTCCCAGCGTTCTCAAGCCCTATGCACAACACTGTAAAGTTTGGTCTGGTTGGAGATGGACCCTTACAGCAAAGGCGCCTATATAACTAGAACACAACAAATAAATAGGATAATTTAACATGGCAATCAGTAACATTTACATGCAATTAAATATTTTACCAAAATGGGAAGTATAAAAGGTAAGTACTCATCTGAAGTGCTACTATACCATGAATACATAGATATAGATAGTATATTTAACAACATTTTTATTTCAGAATATTTCCCAAAGAGTTGACACAATCAAATGTAACAAAAACTATTCATGAGCACAGGCATCGTTAGTCATCAAATATTATAATACATATAATCTAAAATTATTAGATCTAACCTTTCAAATACTGTAAGATTATTCAAAGACTGATTTTATGCAGATATTGAAAATACATTCTAATGTTAGAGCATTTAATTTACATAGCATTCAATATGATAGTGACCCCAATTGTAAACAGTCGCCTGCATGGCCCCTGCTCTTTTTTTTTGGTCAATACCACACATATGAGGGGTCACTGTGAGTGCATCCATGAAGACTAAAGCAATCCAAATGTCATAGCATGAACTATTGAACAATAGCTATTTGAGATTGTCTGTAAAGTCACTTTTTATTTTTTCCCAAATCAAGTCATGAATAACATACATACTTGCTCACAGAAGCCTATAGTCTACTACTATGCATGTAAGATTAAAATGTTAAAAATTGGACTCAAAAGATGTAGCCTACATTTCTTTTATAGAATGGCAACATTTATCAATTTCAATAGTATTTCTGTGAAAATAAAATAGAGACCTATGTAACTGAAAAATATCATTGGAAAATTTCAGATACATGTAAAATTGAGTTGTTTAAGTTTAATTTAGCATGAAATGACAGCCTACTGAGAATAGTATCTACAATACACACAAATAGGCCTACTAGCTTATTTTATATTTCAACCTAAACTTTACTCAACTATAGAAAGTGTTAGGCCTAAACGCAGAATTAATATAGAATATTTCAATAGGCCTATAGTTAACTATAGATCTAGATGGTAACTAGGCCTGTAGCTAAAGAATTAGAGAGTATAGACTATGTCACTATAGTTTATATGTCACTAGAGTCTAGACTCTAGTCAGAGTCTAGTCTCTAGCTAGACAGTCTAGCTAGAGTTAGAGACAATCGAAGAATTCACAATTCACACCTAGATCTAGAAATTCACACTTAGAATAGATTCTAGTTGACTAGATCTAGATCTATACTATAATATCTAATTATCTAGATTTAGATAATTATCAGATAAGATATGAATTATGAATGTATCCTAACAAACAATTGTCAATTATTGACAATTATCAATCATATTTACTTTTTATTTAGATCTAGATCTAGGCCTACTCATTTACTGACATAATAAAAAATAAAACGAACACAACTCCTGCCAAAAAAAACTTACAGCGTACAAACCAACCCTGCAAAGAGCGCATACAATTCTGAAACTTTCGCACATCGTAAGGCTATTCAACTTTTCTTTTTAATTATTGCTTTCAGGTATATTAACCATATTGGTTGTAGCGCAAATTTAACATCAAAATTACAGAACCAAACGTTCATTTGCTTAATTCTTTTCTACTGCATAAAATTCTTCCTCTTCCGGAAGCACTTAACACGGCCAGGACCACTTCAATGATGTAACTTTTAAAAAAATAAATTGCTAGAACGTCTAGCTTTAGATTTAGTCTAATTTAAAATCTGTTAAACAGAAAAAAAAAATCATAGAATGTGGGTGGTTTTATTTTTGTAATTATGTATTCTATGTCAAATTTGTCAAGTTAATCTCAATTATTCTTTAAAAGTCTAGCTACAGAAATAAGCGTTAACTCCCTACTTCGGCTGTGACTAGATCTATCTAGGTCTAGGCCGGCGTAACACTGGTGGTGCGAGGGTGAAACGCACTTAGGGGGGGGGGGGGGGGGGGCACGCAAAAATAAATAAAATTGAAAATTGTACATAGTTATAGCAATACGAAGCAAATTTTCTTATTAGACTTAACAGTCTACGTTGCAATTTATTCAACAAAACAACAAAAAGCGCGTGTTGCTGATAAAATTTAGTAGAGGTATTCAATAATGTAATTTCTTTATAGTTATTTAGATCTAAAAAAACCTACAAAATAAACCTACAACATTTCAGAAACACAAGCAAACAAAGTTAAATACAATGTTTATGATAGGGGTACTTATTGTTGTGAGAAGTGGTGGACTGGGACACACAAATGGGTAATGTAATAAACTTAATTTGATTTTTTTAAACCGTTAGTTGGTTAACTAACCCTTACTATACTATAGAGCATACCTTTCTTCGTGCCCAGTCGCGTAAAATTCAACTTTTCGTTGCGTTTCCTCAAGCTCAACCACTTGAATTTCCCCATTATACAAAGCTAGAGGCCAATGCTCAATGTGTTTAAGCTTGTGTTTTGTTAGATAGTTCGTAGGCGACGGATTCAACAGAAGCGTCAGACAATAAAGAAGTAAAGAAGATTCTGTGTAATGCGTGAAACACAGTGTAGTTCAGCCCAATCTTGTTGATCGTATGGCGACGACGGCCACGCAGCTGAAGTAAGTAATGAATCAGACGAAGGGGAGCGACCTACTGGGGGGGGGGGTATAACTACTTGCAGAGTATATCAAAATAAACGGGACAGCGTGGTCGAATGGTAGAGCGAAGGTCTCGAGTTCGGATCTCGGTTCGGAATTGTAACTGTATGAGTCCTTGAGTCCATCAAGCTCTGATGGGTTTTAGACTTACATTGGGAAAAGTAAAGGCGGTTGGGCATAGAGCTGACCACACCATCTCTTCATGTGCCGAGGTCAAGAAACATGAACTCTGCTTCACTGACCATTGACTAGGAACTTAACTATATCAAAATAAACAAGAAATCCAGAACAGAGGTCAGTGGGCTTATGCTAATTTGCAAACTGAACGTGTCAAGAGATTTAAAAAATTCAAAAGAAAAATTAAGCCGGCGGTTGCATCACCTCCTTATGCCGATTTCGGCTGAATGCCATATACAATTTGACAAACTGGCTCTTAAGAAAAGATTGGACATTAGTCAGTCAATATGAAGTGATATTCCCAATTTGGCCGGTCAGCAGAGTTTCTTCCAGGCATCTCTCTGTTGACCGCCCCCCCCCCCGGAGAAAAAATTCTGGGTCTGCCGGTCAGTTCCCACTTTGGCAGATTTCACGGTTAGCGTCGAGATTCTAGAGATCTATATAGATGCCGATAAAATGCAAATCAAGCAAAGAAAATTTACTTATCTTTCATGTTGCATAAATACATGTACTTTTGTAAAACATACATAAGTCCGTTTAGTTCATATAAACTCGGTGCCCTCGGGCTTTGGTCTATAAAACAAGTTAATAAAAAGTCTAGTGACAATTTAAGCGCAATTTCCTTATGTTATCCATAACAATTTTTAATTTTTTGTAAATATCATCCTATAAATATAAACTCCTACACGATGCTCAGTTTAAATCATCCTAGGCCTACACGATGCTCAGTTTAAATGTTCTTAATTAATTTTTTGTGATCGAACGAAAGGATATTTTTGAAAACTTTCTTCGGCAATATTGGTCTAAATTATGGCAGGAATCGATTGGTAAATGTTTCAAGTCGCTAAGTGGTCTGGTTGCCGGGATATGGATAAAAAACTGCATTTGATCGAGGTTTTTTGGCTTTTCCGGGAAATCCAGGAAGGAATTCCGGGATTTTTTTGGCCCACAATCATCCTTGGAACTTGCTTAACATATTTGCTTTTGGAACTAGTCCTCGATATTGTTTCGTTGAGGAGGAGATAAGACTTAAAGGGGGCGGACAGACATCCATCCATCCAGAAATGACGAGTTATTAAACGCAATTTTTGCCAGTATGGAAAATGCGCTAAAAAAACACAATGAACACATTTAATTGAGGGGGGGCGCTTTAAAAACATTTCACGGGCATTGAGAACTCAGATTTTTCACGCATCCCAACAGCAGTAAAAAATGAGTTACTAGTGGAAACCAAATTACAGTCAGTACCGGTAGTCAGATTAAAAAAATCTTATTACACAAAGTTTAAATTTACGTAGTGTTTACAAATACACATCCATCTGACAGTAAAGTAAAATTTATAGATTTTCTATAACATTATTAGGTACGAGCCGACCCGCGGTGTATCATACGCCGCTATTTAGTTGTTGTTTTTTCTTCTTTTCAGTAATTCATAACTTGTGAATTCGACAGTACCAATGCTGCCTCTGAAAATATTTGCTTCTTTAAAAAAACACTAGAACTTAATTAATTAATATAAATAATTATAATTAATAATTATATTTATTAAGTAATACTACTAATAATACTATTACTAATACTAATACTTAAAACTTAAAACTTTAAAACCCTCCTTTCCCCCAACCCCTACTGCACCCCCAACCCCCCTCCCCCCTCGTGAAAGCTGCCTCCTCTTAGTTACCTTCCCTAAGTTTAAAATCGTTTCAAACTAAATGATCTGCCCCTAATGCCTAATGGCAATGGCTAATAGCGTCACTAAACCCGTCTCTACGATTGTAAACATATAGCATGAACCACAGCTCACCAGCCAGACCATGTGGTAGCAATATGCCTAGAGAGGAAGAGAGGGGACAGCTAGGCGCGCTTACAGCTTGGTGTTTTCTAAGGTCTCCAAGAAGAGAAATAAATATTCGGACGATATTTCGAGTTGTCCCTTTGAATCCTGGGCCTGGCCTCAACCAACCGCCGGGCTTGTTGCGTTGAGTTAAATATAAACTCAAGACAATAATATAAAAAACCGTCTACTTAAAAAAATAAAAAATACTTTCACTTTTCATTCAAGTTTCAACATTGATGTTTTTTATTGTTACATTGTCATTAAAATCAACATTGACTCAATCAATTGATTGACATTATTCATTATTTATCGTTTTTTACTGTACATACAGACTGACATACTGTAACTTTATCATTTTTAGATAGATTTCTGTCTCACATGTACCCGTATACTGCCGTACACTCATTATTTATTAAATTTAGATAGATTCTCAGATCATAAGATTTTATTAAAAGCCGAAGAGGGTGTAGGCCTAACCTAATAAACTATAAACTATAATTATTATCAATTGCTGTTTCTATTATAGGCCCTACTACAATTAACATTTATATTTATTTATGTATGTAGACTACAGAGTCTAGCCACTAGGCAACTAGTTCCTAGTTAAGTAAATTTAAAAAATAATATTATATAATCAATAAAATAAGTAAATAAATCATGATCCACATGTCATGAAATTATTGATCGGATAATAGGCCCTACAGACGAAGTCTGTTGAACCAACACAAATCTTCCAACTCGATCTATCTACTTCACTAAGTGTCAAGTGGCCCCATGCACCGCCCTGTTTTGGTTTAGTATTGGATTATACTTAATTTTAGTAGCCTATGGAATCCCACTTGTAGGGCGTTCTTTATAACAAATATTGATGTCAAAGTGTTGATGGAGAGCCCAGGGTTCTCCTGGCCACATGACCACCTGGGCAGCAGACGCCCTGGTACAGTTTGCACCCCTGATCCCAGTAGAGAGTTGATTTGCTAACCACAGGAAAACTCATGTCACATAAGAGAACACTACTTTCAGGAAGATTTTCTTTCAGACATCTCTTCAGGGGGATATGCCCATTTAGCCCCAGAAAAAAATGAAAAAATAATTATTTAGAAAAATATAGATCTAGATGTACTTTACCTACAGCGTTTTTGAAAGAAAATGTTTATAGACAACGGGAAATAATCAAGTTAATATATTTTGCAAAAATATCTAAGCTTGGTAAATTCCCTTTATTATTCAAAATTTAATAATATTCCTTTTTATTATTATTATTGGGTCCTTGACTTGGGTGCAGAAATTTTCATTGGATAAACAGTGTAGTAATCTTAAAAGGAAAGATCCACAGACAGAAAATACTAATTTTGATAAACTGCTTTCTTGACATAAAGATCAAGTGACAGAATAGGTAAACATTGTCTGTCTGAAGTGAGTTTTTAAAATGTTACTTTTTAAATTAAATTAAAACTATTTACATATTTCTTTGCAGAGTTTTGCCTTGATTTGTGATCAACATTAATTTGATGCTTATGTCATTGAAAACATACAATGTAATTTCCACGTGAAGATGTCTATGCCTGTTGAATGGCTGCAACAGCTAGTACAGACTTACACTCGACTGTCTGATAAGGACAGGAATATTGTTTTGGATTCTCTGATTGAAGCATCAGGGGTTAGATTTAAAAATACTTTTGATTTAAATCATTTCACTTAATTTTTTTACACCCTTTTTAGTACAGTAAAGTTCTTAAATAATTGTTGAATATTACGAATTATAGCTCAGAAGTCTTTACTGAAAACAGACAGCACTATTTTAACACATTTTGAATTTCATATATGATTAATTCTTAATTATTTTGATTTTGAAATGCTTGCTAGTTGTGTTTGTTTCAATAATGCTATAATAAATAATGTTTATATTTTTAAACCAGCCGAGCCAGTTTTTAATACTAAGCAAGAAACTTCCAGATTTTGTGTTCAGAGACTTCATCCGTTATCTTCCACTTGAAGTGTGTACCAAAATACTTTACTATTTAAATGGCGAAGAGCTGCTCTCTTGCTGCCAGGTGATTAGCATAATTAGTCATGAGTTTAATTAATTAGTTTTTTATTGCATTCAACATTTAGGCATGTTTCAAATTTGTAATTTTAAATAATTTACTGTATATAATCATTACTCTTAAATAACATATAACATATCTGTTATGATTTACTGCCAATTGTCTCACAGGTAAGCAAGTCTTGGAATGAGCGCATTAACAATTTGTCCTGTTTGTGGAAACATTTAGCACAGAATAAAGGTGCTAATATAGAAGTAGCTGAGGTAGCTCTTTCAGCTGAAGCTAAACATGTCCAAAAAGCATTATTTTACAAAATCCTCTACTGCCAATCAGATGTCCTTCTTAAGGGTTTCAGTACAGGCCGGTCTATACATATCCAAGATTTTATTGACAAGGGCGGCTGGCGCATTACGTCAGTTGGATATCATTTTGGAAACATCGTAACGGGTGAGACAAATATCATTTCTACCCGTTTTAACTAATTAGTTATTTCCAAGGATTTTTTTTTGTAGTAGTCTATTTTATTGTAGTAAATATTTAAATCCTGGTATTATTTTGCTTAATTACCAATAACTGATTATTTGGTTAATCAAAGAATCCATATTCTAACAAGATACAATTGAAAAACTGTTCATGCTTTGCATTAAAGTTTATTTTAACCTTTAATGTAAAACAGAGATTGAGTTATATCTTAATGTTACTTCAAAGTGAAACTCTTGCATGTATAAAGAATAATTTAAATAATTTTTAAAGAAAATGTAGATAATTATTAACCCTTCATACAAAACTACTTATTTTTGCAGGCTGTGATGACCACACAGTGCAAGTTTGGTCTGTTTCAACTGGTTTAGCTATTAACAGCATAACCACTCATTCAGTATGTTGTCTTACACTAAATGATACCCATTTATTTACGGCATCTTTTAATGCCAATGCTGAAACCTGGGACCTGCTCACTGGCTACCACTGTAAAACCCTGTGTGGCCACACCTCTGCTGTTATTGCTATTGATGTGTCTCCAGACAACACCTATGTGTTGACTGGGTCTGTGGACAAAACTGCCAAGTTGTGGTGCTTAAAAGAATCCGAGTCTGAACTGGTCCAGACTCTCTCTTCTCACACTGACTGGGTTTTTCATGTGAAATTTTTGGCTTCTCCTGCTGGAGTTCTTCAGTTTTTCACGGGCGACTCACTACAAGCAAATGTCTGGCACATGCCTGCTAGTGGTGCTATTTTGGTGGCATCATATCAGATCAAAGCAGATGATGGCTCTAGGTTCATCTCATACTATCATTTGAAACAAGATCCGTACCAGATTTTTATATGCCACTGGAAAGAAGCTGAGAAGAAATCTTTTTTTTCAAAATACACTATCTGTCCTGACAAGTGTGAGATTTCTCTTGGGATATTTTTTCAAATCTCACCAGAAACAATAAAAGCCTATCTTCTTGGAGCTGGTACAAAATTCGCCGTTATAATGTGTTCTATATCAAGAAAAGATTTCTATGTTGTGGATATTCCAAAAAGATCTATCATTACTACTATTGTTACTCCTGATTTTTGCATGTAAGTAAATATTGCAAAACATTTTAGAAAAAAGTAACATAATGTAATTTGTAAAGTCAAGTCAATAGGCTAGATGAAGTTCATTTTAGGCACATGTAGTGGTAATTTGGTTAGCTCCTTGCCTTCACTCTACCAGACATGTACACATCAAAGTTAACCATTAGTAGATTTAAGTATGTTTAGTCAGAAGAGATATCTCAACAAAAATTTACCATGAAATGTATTGTTCACTTTCTTCATGCTGTTTTGTGTCAAAGTTACATCCTGGCATTATACCTTTATAACAGGTTAACTCGGAATGGCTCAACAGTAACGCTGTGTGATACTGACTGGCTTGATGGCTTTAATGTGCTGCAAATGAAAGCTGGTGCTCCAGTGTTTGCTGCCAGTGTTGGAAGAAACACAGTGATACTAGGAACTTGGACAGATTTAGTTCATCAATTATCACATAACAAAAAAATGTGTTGAAGAACATGAGAGTTAACAGCCTTATGCATAATTTTCATTTATATATTATTAAATACTTCCATAATTTGATTGAAACTAATTAAACATACAACTTTTCCTAATTAATTGTTAAGGAGTTCCTACTATTTAGTTAATTTGAAGATCTTTCATGAAAATTTTCATGAAATGAAAACAATTATGAAAACTGTTTGGAAAGGCTAGTCTTCCTGACACCAGAAAAATGTCATATGTACAGGTCATCATTAAAGGATTACAAAACAGATTATATTTTTAAAACTTGTTTTTATTAATAAACATTGTTTAAATAAAGAACAACCAATGGTATAATGAATTTCTGGAATGTACAATTTGTATACTTGCCTGAGTAAACATTTAGGCATGATTGCGATATATAAACACCATGTAAAAACACATTGAAAATACTGCCAGTATAACAGCATTTATGTAATGTAAAGTGAAACTCATTCATTAGCATAATTTTATATAACATTCTCACAAAGCATGAGGGAATAAAATATTCACTATATACATTTGTACTACCATTCCTGTTACCAGACTTTTTCTTTATTAGAAAATGCACATTCAGATTATAACTGGTAAGCTTAAATTCTTAAAGTAGAGTATATCTAATTTTGTCAACCCATGATATAGAATAAATTATTCATCTCTTGAAATGTCAAATAGATAGAGAGATCAAATCTTTGCCAAGAATAACATGACAAGTTTTGAATCCATATGTAGGTGCTTGGCATGAGCAGTTGCAAATCTTATGTTTTTAAACTTCAGATCTAAATTGGAACATGAGATTTGATTGAAAATAGTATGTTTAAAACTATAATTCCTCTTTTTTGCTTGAAACTTTCTGTGGTTTCTGGCTATCTTGAGATTCTGCTTCCAACACATCAACGACATCTGGATGTGTGGTCACCTCCAGTGGTGACTCATCTATGTTAGGCTGATTGTTTTCTAGCAATGTATCATCTGGCAAAGGTTGAGAAGAAGCTGACATTGTACTTTCTTCTGATGCCAGTGGCTCTTCAAAAGGCTGCTCAACTATTGGATCATAGAGAACATCATCACTTTTGTAGTCCCAACTGCCAGGAAGGCCAAAAATATCTGGAAATTTAGAAATGGCTTTGTCAATGTCAAAGCCATACAGTTCTCCCCAAGACAGGACATTGTCTTTGTACTTGTCTATGGCATCGAAGAACTGAAATACAATTTTTTTAGAGTGTTAGGTATCATAAAAACAAAATGTGAACACTTAATAAGTAATGTAACAGTTTTAAGTCTTCACTTGTAGCTCTATAAATAAAGTATTTAAAAATATATCCAAGTCTTTCTAAAATAACTAATTTTTTCTTCACTAGTATAGCTGAAGAAGTTTTCAACACAAATGCTTACACATGAATACAGAAAACAAAAAAGTTATTAAAAAAGTACATTATAAAATACAGTTTTTATTTTTATTACTGTCTTTGTGTAAGTACAGTAGTACAAATTTTAGTACTTTAATTTCTTCTAGTGGTAGTTAAACTACCATGTGAATTCAGGTAAAAACCCCTGCATTTGTATCCGTTAAAATTTTCCTGCTATGCAAAGTTTCAGGAAATTGAAATGCTGGCTTACAAACATACCTGCCCCCTTCTTTCTTCTGTTGATGTACCAAGAGAAGATATCACAACATCCTTAAACAGGAGCTCTTTGTCAACTAAATGTTCCAACAATTTTGATCTGCAGAGAACAGTACATTAAAGCTGTATTTAACTATTAAAAAGAGAAGATATAACATCTTTAGACAGGAGCTCTGTAAACTAAATGTTCTAAAGTGCATAAAAGCTATATTTTACTATTAACCTGCAGGAAACAGTCCAGAAAAACTGAAGATCCAACTATTTATTACAAGACTTAAGTGTACAAGTTGTCACCCACCTGTATGATTCATTTGGAGAGGCAAAACCAAATTTGGTGATAGGTTCTATGAGCTTATAGTAATCCTGATCAATGGAACAGTTTGATGGATCAAACCAATAAACATGGGCAAACCACAAATTTATTGCCAAGTGACGGACACCACTAGAAGTAACTTGATGGTACCACCTGCAAGCACAAAAGTCAAATATTAACACAACTACCCCCAACTGATGATACCATCTGTAAGCACAAAAGTCAAATATTAACACAACTACCCCAACTCCGATGATACCATCTGTAAGCACAAAAGTCAAATATTAACACAACTACCCCAACTCTGACGGTACCATCTGCAAGCACAAAAGTCAAATATTAACACAACTACCCCCAACTGATGATACCATCTGTAAGCACAAAAGTCAAATATTAACACAACTACCCCAACTCTGATGATACCATCTGTAAGCACAAAAGTCAAATATTAACACAACTACCCCCAACTCTGATGATACCATCTGTAAGCACAAAAGTCAAATATTAACACAACTACCCCCAACTCTGATGATACCATCTGTAAGCACAAAAGTCAAATATTAACACAACTACCCCCAACTCTGATGATACCATTTGTAAGCACAAAAGTCAAATATTAACACAACTACCCCCAACTCTGATGATACCATCTGTAAGCACAAAAGTCAAATATTAACACAACTACCCCCAACTCTGATGATACCATCTGTAAGCACAAAAGTCAAATATTAACACAACTACCCCCAACTCTGATGATACCATCTGTAAGCACAAAAGTCAAATATTAACACAACTACCCCCAACTCTGATGATACCATCTGTAAGCACAAAAGTCAAATATTAACACAACTACCCCCAACTCTGATGATACCATCTGTAAGCACAAAAGTCAAATATTAACACAACTACCCCCAACTCTGATGATACCATCTGCAAGCATTAAAGTTAAATATTAACACAACTACCCCCAACTCTGATGGTAATACAAGTACCTTAAAGGAAGTGAAAATTCAACAATAACAACAATGTTAAGATGATACACAACCACATAGCCTATGACAAAGGTAAGTGACCAACAGGAATATAAAAGACTGAAGTATTTTTTTGAAAACACTCAATACATAATTGCAGGAAAGGCAATTAGACATGGAAAAAAAACCTAATTTCTTTTCCTGATTAGACAATGCCATGGTTGAACAATGACTACTTTAAAATACTTAAAAGCTAGGATTAAAAATAAGTGAAAGTTAGAAAATCTGATGGTTAGAAAAGCCAAGACATTAAAATAACATAATTACCCTTTAGGGACATAGAGACAATCTCCCTTGCTCAAGTTGGCTTGATACCACTCAATATTGGCTAGGCGGGGAAACTTCTCAAAGTCCACTTTATCAACATCCACTAAACTGTATCCTTCTGACTGCACAAAACCATCAGCCTCTACATCTGATTTGAAAGCCTGAACAGTTTTTATCACAAATAATAGAGTTACAAAATTCTGTACAGCAGCTGTAGGAAAAAAATCTCTATATAAGTAATTGTTTTAGTCTGTATAATGCAAGAGTAAAATTGTTCTACTGAATTTAAAGCTATTAAATAAAGTAGTAAAAGAAACTGCATACATTTTCAGGTTAGTTCATAAAACCCAAACATACAAACACTAGCTGGCGTGTGCTCAGAGAGAAGATTTTTCAAAGTCAGCATCTCTTGGTCAACACAGTAGTGATACCAAGTCACAGAACATTCTCATCACAGCACACTCACTCATGTGTTTTGTTTACCCATTTCACTTAGGCAGACTTTAACATAGTTTTAAAAGAAAACTAGTATAGATATCTTTGTGTTAGACAATGTTTACTTTCTACAAAGAAAAACTACTAGGAATAAAATTGCATATAAATCATAAGTTTCTGTTTCATTACTTAGCTAACCTTGTCCACAAGAAAGAAGTTTTTCTTGCCATCCAATAGACAAAGTATATTGTCCAAATCATCATAATGCAGTACAGACTTGGCCTTGCCACTACCTAGCCAGATAACAGCCTCTTGAATCACTTTTTGCAACCCTCCACAGTGTAAACATTCAGGTACATAAACAAGCTCTGAAAAAAAATGGTCTATAAGAATAAATATAAAGATATCTACATAGATTAAAGATATGCTTTTTAAAATACATTTAAAAAGGAAACTATGAAGAATTTTTTTCTTCTTATACCCAAGGCAAAAACCCTCTCAAAGATTTCAGAGAACCACACTGAACCTAGCATTTATTCCTTACATACTGATACCTAAAAAAAAGATAGCCTTTCTAGTAGTGCTTAAAGTTAAAGAAATAGCAAACATTTTATGCATAGATCTAGCTGAATTTGTAAATTGAATATGTAGTATTAAAATATTTAAAAATAACCATTTTCTTATGCAAATAATAATCAAAGAAAAATAAATGTTACCCTCCATTTTGTCATTCAATGTTTGAACCAAATAGAGATCATTAGTTTTGTAAGAGTTAAGAAACTGGCTTAATGTCATTGAGGTTGGTCTTTTTGTACGATCTTCCTTTTTCCCTACTTCCACTTTCACATTCAGATCCCCATATTTCTTTCTGTAAGTAATAATAAATTAGTTACATACTTTACATCTCTCATAAAGTATTCAGGATTACTAGCAGGTGATTCTGATTTATTACATAAAAGTAAAATTGTTGCAGAAAATACATACAAATACCAATGGAGAAAGTATGGACAGGACAAATATCAATGAGCAAGAATTCTAAAAAGAACGTGGAGATGGATAGGCTATATATTGAGAGAACCTGCTACAGTTACAGGTACTACCAGACTAGGCATATCTACAAACATCAAGTGAAATTGAAAAAGACAAGAAAGTTATAGGAAGAAGTTGGAAAAAAAATAGTAAAGGGCAGAAACATGGAAGGATATTGTAAATAGCTTCCACTCGGAGATGAAAAAGGCAAAGAAGAAGAAAACTTTATCTAGATCTACAACTAAAAAAAGCATGAGGCGTAAAAAGCTTTTAAAGCTACAACATTATATAACGTTACTTAAGTTACTATAGAATGTACAAGCCCACTAAATTACTCTATAAAGAATACTAACCTCAGAAATTGATCACTAAATTACTCTATAAAGAATACTAACCTCAGAAATTGACCACTAAATTACTCTATAAAGAATACTAACCTCAGAAATTGATCACTAAATTACTCTATAAAGAATACTAACCTCAGAAATTGATCACTAAATTACTCTATAAAGAATACTAACCTCAGAAATTGACCACTAAATTACTCTATAAAGAATACTAACCTCAGAAATTGATCACTAAATTACTCTATAAAGAATACTAACCTCAGAAATTGATCACTAAATTACTCTATAAAGAATACTAACCTCAGAAATTGATCACTAAATTACTCTATAAAGAATACTAACCTCAGAAATTGATCACTAAATTACTCTATAAAGAATACTAACCTCAGAAATTGATCACTAAATGACTCTAAAAAGAATACTAACCTCAGAAATTGATCACTAAATTACTCTATAAAGAATACTAACCTCAGAAATTGATCACTAAATGACTCTATAAAGAATACTAACCTCAGAAATTGATCTGTCCAATCTAGCCCAGGATGTTTGACATATTCAAGGGCTGATCTCATCCACAGTGGTTTATTATGTTTAATAAAATGGCCATAAAATACAGGTGCCCTTGAAAATTTTCCAATCATTGTAATTCCTTTTCCTGTCTGATGAGCTCCCAAATGTTTTAGGTGGCCTGGTAACTTTTTACTAGCACAGGCAACATGCACCAGCAATAAAACTGTACAACCAAGTAGGAATTTGGACATTTTCTGCAAATATATTTTTAAAAAAATTAGGCTAAATGGTCTGCATTTAAAAATCAATTGCTTGAGATAAAGTCTTGTATCTTCCATTACAAAAGTATTAAAGTAATGTTACAATTCTTAAGTCAATGAAAATATAGTTTATATATAAGGGCCTATAGGCCCTAGGCCTCAACTAAACATTAGGCCTAGAGGTCAATATTTTACATCCCACTAAACTGACTACAGTATCTGTCTACACTACAACAGAGTACTAAATAGTAATTAGAGCTAGAGGGGAGGCATCAAAAGGGTGGGGGACAGGGTTAGCATTGACTCAATGATGACATTAGCCAGCCATGTGTGTATTTAGTTAACTACCAGTAACCTAACACCACTTTTTTAAAGAAGATTCTATTATCGGACACTGGTATAAAAATTCCCCCTAATCAGGGGGGGGGGAGTGTTAGGTTACTGGTAGTTAACCAAATACACACATGGCTGGCTAATGTCAATGCTAACCCTAGTGCCCTAGTCCTACCATATGCCTAACTCTAATTTGTAACCATAAAATAAGTCGAGATTACAATATTTTATGGAAGAGTATTATGGACATCAGTATCTAAAATCATCCATAGAGTCAACTAGTAACTAGACTAGACTGTTACTGTCTGTTATGAGACTAAAATATAAAAAAACCCACTAGATCTAGATCTAGATTAGATTTTAGATTCTAAAATTACTAATAACTATAGGCCCTATAGGCACTTATTCTAGTTAAAAAGTACTAAGTAAGTAGGCCTAATATAGTAATTTATTTCGAATTATTTGACTTCTAGATCTAACTAATCTTAAATTATTAGATCTAAATAATAAATAAATTAAATATTATAAATATTTAGATCTAGACCTAATAATCCAGACCTAAAAAATCTAGATTTTTACACAGATCTAAAATCTAAATCTAGAATTTTCTGCTCATCATTCCTTCCCTCAGCTGACTTCTACACCAAATGACTCAAATGTTTGTGCTTATATATAATATTTTGGTAATCTATCGTTTTGGGTACGTAAAATCGCCCGTGGCTATTTATGTACGAAAACGTTACCTCATTGTCAAGGCTTTAATAGAAGTATATTGTCATACTTTTGTGTCAAATATTATAGATAAATGAATAATACACCTAAATCAATGGCTAAATATATCGATATAGGCCAGAAATGAACTTTAAACAGCAGTCTCTGAGAGCAAGATTTGCTATATAAACAGCAGCCATTTGTAAAATAGAGTGGCTTCCCCCTGAATCTGGCACTAAAAGCTTATAAAAATAAAACTTAGACAAGATGGCTGCTATAGTAAATGAGCATGGTTGCATCTGTTGGAAACATTCTCTAGTCTTCATTTATTACGGAAAAGTTTTAATTCAATTGTTTAAAAACAGGTACATAAATGAATCAAGGAAACATTTTTGAATTTTTTAAAACATAAATCTTCTTCAAAATGTGAAATAATTATTAAAATTTAAGGAGTCACCTGTTTTTCACATTACAAATTGCGGGCGATTTTACGTACAACGATAGATTACCAATATTTTTAATACCCCCCCACCCCCTAATAATTTTAATAAAATAATAAGTAAAGAGTAGTTTAGTACTAGATCTAACTCTAGATCTAGAATCTACTACTAGATCTACAACCAACTAGATCTACTAGACTAGGGCAGGGCTAAGCTGTGCTGCAGTGCTGGCACTGCTGCTATCCAAGAATTACCTAGATCTAGTAATCCCTAGTATGATTGATAGTGATAGTATCTATTCTAGATCTAAACTAAACATAGTTTATACTAGATCTAGATCTATATGACATAGATCTAGAATCTAGATCTGTATTTTATGTCTAGAGTAGTAGTAGGCTAATAGATTTCTAGATTCTAGTTTAGATCTAGATCTAGATCTAGAGATCTGGATTCTAACTCTACAACATGCCGCTTTTTTAGAAAAATAATAGTCTAGATCTGGATCCAAAAAGGGAAATCACTCTGAAAATGAAAGATTAAAAGGAAAAACAGGCCCGCAAAAAATTACACAAACACAGTAGGGAACTAACGCAATAAAAAAGAAACCTTCAACATTGTGAGCATTAACTTGACATGAACTAAGCCATGCTAATATTTTATAATAAAAATTTAAAAAATAGTAATTTATGTTAATTTTAAAATACAAAAGTTTAATTTTTTCTTATATTAAACCCTTAAAACAAATCTAAAATGTAGTGTGTATGAATCTAAAATCTAACGATTGTATAGTGCGCATGTTGCACCTCACGTACCTCAGGCATAGGACATGAAGACGAAAATAACTGTAAAGAAGGATAAATAAAAGTAAATTAGTGATCTAACAGAAACAAGCACAAATGTTTGATTAACAACCTTAGATATTAACCCACCAAATTATTATTACTACTTTTTAAAATGTAACTTTCTGCTTTAACTTTGTTAAGATCTAGATCTAGATTCTAGTTCTAGAGATCTAGACTCTACTCTAGATATTAGATTAGCCTAGCTTAGCAAAATTTCACGGCCAAATGGTGAAATGCAAATGGTACAACTCTAGAATACTCTAGATCTACTAAGAAGACTTAACTGACTGGTCACTATGATTTATAATCAGAAATCAGATGATAATTTTTCACATTTAGGCCTTAAATACGGCTTATAGATCTAGATCTAGATCTAGTATATTTTTTTCCCTTTTTATTTCCTGTTTTTTTTGGGCATAATAATAATAGTATTAATAGCCTATTTGTTGTTGAGTATAAAATGTCTAAGTATATTATAAAGTTAGCATAAATTTATTACATTCATTTCAGGCTAATGATCAAATAATCTAATTTCAATTTGCAGTCATACACAACTAGATCTATAAGTAAACCGGTTACAGATGTAGAATCAATTGACTAGCATTAACTAGATTTAACAAAGAAAGTAGGCCTGTTATTTATGTGTAGTGTAGATGTTTGAATTTTTATATAGATGCTTAGGCCTAATTCGGAATTCCTGTTTCTTTTTCGTAGGTACCTTACGTTACATTTTCAAAACATAATAAATTAGCCTATTAAACTTTAAACTATAATAAAGCTGTACTTAGCCTATGACTATGTATATCTATAGGCTACTTTCTGTATATTAGTATTTTAAGAAAGATCTGTAATGACTAAGTTCATTTATTAGTAGATAACTAGCATGCATACAATAACATAGGTGAGATTGCATTTTGTATGATATTGATGTATAAACTTAATTTTATAGGCCTACTACTGTTGCATCAGATATATCTCACAAACTCACTCAACAGTCCTTGCCACTAGTAGGTGGAAATATGGCTATGCCAATAGCAGCTTAATATTATTAATAAGTGTTAGGCCCCCTAGGTCTAATGTTTTAATGTATCAAATGAAAAACAAACAAATTATTAATGGCAACATTTTTGATCTATGATTGATTCATTACTTTTTTTTTTAAATATTGTAAATGAGTTGGTCACTTTAAATGAGTAACCTATTGCATTTATTATCATTTATATAGGGGTAATTATGCTTATTATCTCTAATGAATTTCTATTTTCATTCACATTGCTTTACTTTAGAAGTTTATGTATGGTATTTATTACAAACCTTAAGCTATATTAGAATTTGTTAGAAAATATTTGCTAGTAGTACTAAGCATATATTATATATATTAATCATTTTAAAATGAAATGACCATTTATGGATTATAACTCTATAAGATGTTTGAAAGGGAACTTGACTAAATCTATTGAAGCAAAATCTTTTCAGTTTTAAACATGCTTATGATCTATTATGGACCTCTAAGTTGTGCCATTGTCAAACAATAGTTTGTATTTCCATTAGTTTTATAACAACTTTTTAAAAAGGCCACTTTTTTTATAACATAGATTTGGGTAAAGTGACTATTAACCCTGAGGGCTACACACTTTTTTAATTTCATAAACAAGCTGATGATTCTGGGTTTATTGCTGGTGCAAATACAAATAACATTGGTTAAATTTAAGTTAAAAATGGTGAATACTGCAACACCATGATTTGACTAAGTTTTGTTTTGGTTTTAGACCTGTAACAAAATAATTACAATACTCATGTTAAAGGTTAGCACACACCCTCTCAATTTATCATTGACTACACACAATCTAAGATGAGTTTGTTCTTAAACTGAATATTTGATGTCAATTCTTCAGCTGTGTTTTTGAATTATTGATGACTACATGTAAATTAGCTTTATCGAAAACCTCATTCATTTCAGGTCAACTTTGAAGGCATACATTGAAGATGGATGAAGAGAGCCAGAGGGCAGGAGAACAGGATGAAATAGTCAGACCAGGGTGTGAATCAGATCCAGCACACATCACAGATGTTGCTGCACTAAATAAGTCACAGTCAGATGGCCATTTAACACATTTTTTGCAACCAATAGATTCAGACCAAAACATTGAAGAAATAGCTTCAGAAGGTCCCAGACAGAAACAGACTGAGGATATTTTAGATGGTTTCAGCCAGGCTAGCACTGAACAAACCTTATCTGATACACATCAGGTTGCTTCTACTGTTGGCATTCAACAAAATGCTGATGATGCACCAGTCATTAGTAATGCAACATTAGTCTGTCCTGACTCCACTCATTCAGCTGATTCTGATTCTAGCTCGCCTAGTGTTCTGGCAGATAAACATTCAAACACAGAAGAGTGTCAGATACACCCTTTTCAGCCACCATCAGAACTAGTTGGGCCTGTAGATAGTGCATTATCACTTGTTGGCAATGACCGAGAAGACGCTATCAGCCAAAGTATCGAGCATGTGACAGGTTTTGTTACATTCAAATCTACAGATTCAATTAGAAGTAATAACCCAGTCTTGTCAAAGGCAGCTGTTAGCCAACACTTGTGTGATCTTAATAATGCTCATAGTGTTGAAGACTCAGTTCATGAAACTAATAATATTGCTGAGGACAGAGTTCTTGAAATCATATATACAACACCATCAAAGTCAGATTGTTCTTCAGACATGCCTTCACCATCAGACAATTCCGTAGAAAGTTTTTCAGATTGTACCCAACTGGACCAGGATTCAGACTTTCAGCCAATTATTTTAGATGTACGTGGAGCTTGTCCAGATGATGCAGAAAGTCTGATGGAAGATTCTATCACAGAAGAGAGTCAGACAGCTGACATAGAGGTTGGTAACACTATAGAGAGTCAGACAGCTGACATAGAGGTTGGTAACACTATAGAGAGTCAGACAGCTGACATAGAGGTTGGTAACACTATAGAGAGTCAGGTTTCCAACACTAGGACTGCCACTAAAATGTTGAAAGACATCATCCATCAGGTGAAGTTGACAGATTTGAACAAGAAAGATTCAGACCAACTTGATGCCAGACCAAGTCTTCAATCACCTAAAGCCAATAATTTGAGTACTTTATTAACTTTGGCTAAAAAATCAGCTGAAACAGATGCAAAAAAAAGTCTGATACCAGCTCCTAAACAAATTTCTCCAAAACCGCCAGCTCATGTTGTAATCACCGACCAAGTTTCACCATTGGCTGACCATTTGCCAGCTACAAGTGTGGAGAGCACCCCACTGACCGGCAGCCTGTCTCTGGCTGTAAGTGACTCTGCCCCAATGACCAGCTCTGTTAACAACTACTGTCTTATAGTGCCTGGCAAGCAATCAGCCCCACACAAAAATATTGCCTTACTAATACCACAGATGGACCTTGTTAACTTTACTAATGGCAAGCAAGTGGCTAGTCAGAGTTCAAAACCATCACAGAATAAAAGACAGAAAAAACATGTGTGTTGTTTTCACAAAGTGCCTGTAGTGAAAACATACATTTCTGCTTTTTCTGATAGAATAACTCAGATGATAGCAAGCACTTTGGATAAGTTTCAGATCAAGACCAAAGACTTGAAGAGCAGTCAAATCCTGGATGTTCCCCCCAGCTGGGAGCTGGAGCAGCACAAACATCCTGACTTGACCTGCTACTGTTCTGTCTGTGGGGAGGGCTTCTATCAACCTGCTGGCCTCAACTTACACCTGGCACGCAACATATTCCATATTCAATATCAATGCCCTCCCTGCAAAACTTTTCTAAGTTTCTACAACAAATGTTCCCTCTGGATGCATGTACGAAATGTCCACCAAGAAACTGCTATCAGGTATGAGAAGATTACACTTTTCAAGCCAACCAGTTTTGTCAATGAACCTGATATTCCACATTTTTTCACCAACTGTCTTGCTGCTGAAAGCACCGCAGCTCTTGCTGCTGAAAGCACCGCACCTCTTGCTGCTGAAAGCACCGCACCTCTTGCCTCTCCTCCAGTAATCAATCCAACAAGCCAAGTTGTGAGCACCCAGGACTACCAGCGCGCTTCTCTCACTGTAGGCATCTGTGGCAATCACGCTCTCAAGCACAGTGAAAAAAGAAGCTTCTCTTGCTGCTCAGTGTGCCAGCAAATATTTGCGTCTTCAGTGGACGGCAAGACAGCCCAGTTGTCATCAGACATGACCCTCTGCTGTACCACCTGTGGCATGAATCTGCCTAGTCTCTGTGCCTTTAAAGCTCACAGGAAGATTCATTTAAAAACGGAAACTGTCATTTGTCCTGAGTGTGGGGAGATGAAGTTCAAAAGTGATGACCCCAGCCAGGATGGGAAGAAAGCTGCCTTTGACCATTTGGATGCTTGCAAACACTTCAACAGAGTTGTCGTCATTTCTTGTTTGTGTGGGGAAGAATTTCTTTATGCGAAACAGTTAGCCCAGCACTTTGTGGATATACACTTGAAAACTTTGTACAAGTGCAAATATTGTGTTCTAGCCTTCACCCAGAGTGAGCACCTACAGGCACACATTGAAGCTTTTCATAAAAGCATTCTCCACTTTGACTTTATTGAAATATCAATACTGTGCTCATTTTGTCAACAGATTTTCAGAACTATTCATGAAGTTAAAACACATGTAGAAGGCCACATCTTAAAGGTCAAATGCAAAGGGATCTTTAAATGGAAATGTTTCTTGTGCTCAAAAGTGTTTAAAAAGAAAGAAAACTTGATTCACCATTCAGATAAAGAGCACCCACACAAGCCTAAGAGGTGTACCAACTGTTACAGTTTATTCTGTAGTAGAAAAAATCTGGTGGACCACATTATGCTGAAGAAATGTGCCAAATCAACACAGTTAATTTTTCACCAGTGTGTTGACATTGATCCCTATATTGATATTAAAGACGTCAACTACTCCAAGCTATTTACACTGATGAGGAAAGCCCCAGCCCCCACTGGTGAAAAATCTCCAGCCTCCAGTTCTGGTAAATCCCCAGCCTCCACTGCTGGTAAATCCCCAGCCCCCACTGCTGGTAAAGCCCCAGCCCCCAGTACTGGTAAATCCCCAGCCCCCAGTACTGGTAAATCCCCAGCCCCCACTGCTGGTAAATCCCCAGCCCCCATTTCTGGTAAAGCCCCAGCCCCCATTTCTGGTAAAGCCCCACTCCCCAGAGTTGGTAAATCCCCACAAGTTGTGTCTAAAACTTCCACTCAGACCGCCCCCTCATCTGGTAGAATGTTGATTAAAATAGCCCCTAAAGTGAAGCCATCAAGTTCAGGAGATGCACCAGGATCTGTAGAGCAGCAGAGCAGGTCTGAGCAGCTTGAAGCTCCAGCTGCAGTAATAAACCAGTGCCACTCTTGTAAGATACTGCTGCTGGGCACACGCCACCATCTAGTTCACATGAAGAAACATGAAGCCAAGGGGGAAGCCACCAATCTTGCTGCTACAACATGTGTTATTTGTCAACAGCTAGTAGATAACTCTGCTCTGATCAATCACTTAAAAAATCACCAAAGCCAAGGAAAGATTATCTGCTGCAGATGTCAGAGGACAGATTTTCCCTCAATGGCAGAGGCTGTAAAACATGCTGAGCATTTCTGTGGATACCGGCTAGTGTTGAGTTCAGACCCAGAAGACATCATGCTGATGACAAACAGAGCCAAGACAGATACACCTCACGCTGCTGACAGCAGTGCCATTAAAGATGCTGATAAGAGCAGTTTCAATAAAGATGCTGATAAGAGCAGTGCCAATAAAGAAGTTGATAACAGTAGTGCCAATAAAGAAGTTGATAACAGTAGTGTTAGTGAAGAAGCTGATACATCTATAGAAGAACAAGCTGCTGAAGAAAGTGAAATAGAAGCAGATATAAGCCCAGCCCAGAATTCTCTGTTCCCTTGTCTTCTGTGTGGATTAGCGTTTGAGAGCTTGTCAAGCCGGGAGGATCACATCAGCAGGTCTCACGATGGCACCAAGATGGTCTATCGCTGCCTCAAGTGCAAGAGGAAAGATAACCCAAAGCAGTTTAGTAAAAAGGAAAGTGTGGCTCGGCACATCATTAAGAAACACAGAATTGTAGGCAGAGCAGACGTGGAGAAGTTTATTGGAGGAGAAGAGCATAATGCCAGCAGTGGCCAGAAGTTACCTGAAGCAGAGGCTTCAAGTCTAGAAACTTGTGATGCCACTCCCCCCAAAAGGCTGCGTATTGCAGAAAAAGGAGACTTCCTATGTGGCAAATGTGGGCTGACTTGCTGCGAGTATGAAGAGTTCTCCACCCACATCCTGACACACAATGGCAACAAGGAGCCCCAGTGCCCAGAGTGTGGGCTGTGTTTTACTGTTGTGCCTGCCTTGATGAAGCACCTGAGGGTGGTACACAAAATTAAAGCTGTTGAGGAGTTTTTAAAGTCTAAATGTATTCTTATTCCCGACCTGGCTGAAGACGAGGGCCTGGAGGATGAAATATTCCCCCAGCCTAAAGTCAAGCTGGTCAAGTTTGTTAATTGTATCCCCGTAGTGCGCAGGATATCCACCAATCCTCTGGAGTGTACTGTCTGCTACAAAGTTTTTGATACAGAGACTGATTTAAAGACGCACATGAGAAACCATGGCATGGCGTTTATTAAATCTAAAAGGCATAAGCCGTAATTTGTTTGATTGAGAAATTGTCTATTTTGCAATAATCTGAACTAATGCACATTTTTATTTACCCCATATGTACTTTCTTTAACCAAGAATATTTCTGCTGTTTAAACATTTGCTAATGTCTGACAGAATGCACCACACTTTTTATAATATTGATTCAAAATTCTTCACATAACTACTTCACTTATGTGTTGCAATTTTTTTGTTACTTTATTTTAAAATTATTTGTTAGCATCTTACATTCTTCCCAAGGCTTGATTTTGTTTTTATTTTGTTTGATAGATTTGTTGTATTATTTGCAGTTATAGATACTGTCATATGATTGTAAAGAGAGGTTAGCTGTGTAATGTTTAATTTGTTTTGTTTACATTCCAGAATGTAGCCAACAAACTATAGAAACATCAGCTGTCTAATGTTTTGTTTACATTCCAGAATGTAGCCAACAAACTATAGAAACATCAGCTGTCTAATGTTTTGTTTACATTCCAGAATGTAGCCAACAAACTATAGAAACATCAGCTGTCTAATGTTTTGTTTACATTCCAGAATGTAGCCAACAAACTATAGAAACATCAGCTGTCTAATGTTTTGTTTACATTCCAGAATGTAGCCAACAAAACACAAACTATAGAAACATCAGCTGTCTAATGTTTTGTTTACATTCCAGAATGTAGCCAACAAACTATAGAAACATCAGCTGTCTAATGTTTTGTTTACATTCCAGAATGTAGCCAACAAACTATAGAAACATCAGCTGTCTAATGTTTTGTTTACATTCCAGAATGTAGCCAACAAACTATAGAAACATCAGCTGTCTAATGTTTTGTTTACATTCCAGAATGTAGCCAACAAAACACAAACTATAGAAACATCAGCTGTCTAATGTTTTGTTTACATTCCAGAATGTAGCCAACAAAACACAAACTATAGAAACATCAGCTGTCTAATGTTTTGTTTACATTCCAGAATGTAGCCAACAAAACACAAACTATAGAAACATCAGCTGTCTAATGTTTTGTTTACATTCCAGAATGTAGCCAACAAAACACAAACTATAGAAACATCAGCTGTCTAATGTTTTGTTTACATTCCAGAATGTAGCCAACAAAACACAAACTATAGAAACATCAGCTGTCTAATGTTTTGTTTACATTCCAGAATGTAGCCAACAAAACACAAACTATAGAAACATCAGCTGTCTAATGTTTTGTTTACATTCCAGAATGAGAGAATGTAGGAGGATTCAGATTTTGAAATAGTTTGACTACACAGGCCCAAGTGTTTTGGTAACAAACACTAAAGCATCTTTAAAAAAAAATGTTTTAGAATGAAGATGGGATCACAATGAACTGTGCATCTTTCGAACTAAGCAAGAGGAATGATTAATCTGGCATGTTTTTTACAGTGAGTTGAAATCCAAGTCAGTCTCAAAATAGTTAGATGTTTTCTAAAACAAAGCAGGGCCATTTTCTTGTGATAAAATTTTGTTACTCAAACATTCTGAGTGCAGTAAAGTCTTCAGTTTGTTATTAGTTTTAAGCGATTTCCCAACATTTCAATACACTAATATCACTGATAGTTTATTACTTGTAAAAAAGTTTTCAGTTTTGTATTTTTTTGCCTCCACATATCCTGAAAGCCTTAAAATACAGCCACAACTTTTTGAACTTGTTTGTTCTTGCTGCTGTCCAGTTGTTACTTATGGGCTCTGTTATGTAGTTCCTACTACACTAGACTTCAGGAAATAAAAGAAGAAACTTGATGATCTCGCTTTTATTTTAATAGTTTGTCATATAATAACTGGGTAGTGTCAGTGTTCCTGCAAGACCATGAGAGTCACACTGACTTCATGAATCAATGTTTCACAAACAGAACATTTTATTGAAGTTTCTTCATCAGTTCAATCACTTTTAAAATATGAGGTGCTAAGCATTACTTTAGATGCATCTATCCACACTGACCCATGGATTACTAGTGATCCAAGCTATCTATCCACATTTGAGCTAATAATTTCAAAGCCATCTATCCAGATTTTGTTATGTGAGGGAATCCTTTAAAAATATCTTATAGTAGATCTATCCATCAACTTGACTAAAACAAACTTATCTGAAAAGTAAACAAGTCCATTTTCTTATTGAGGTATTTATTCCATATGACAAACTTTTCTATATATCATTAATAACAGGTGAAACTTTAATAATGTAAGGGCTATTTGTTGCGGTTTACTTGAGGTAAAATTTTGTAATTTCTTTTGTCAGCCTGATAAAACTGTACCATAAATAAAAACATTTCAATCTTTAGAATTAAATGACAGGCCTAGAACTTACTACATACATGTTGTATACCCCATCAGTTTAAAAAATCTTTAAAACACATTGAAGCTCAAGATTGTTTTGTAACAAAAAAAATGTAAAAAATCATAAGTTAAACATGAGAATGTACAAGTAAAAAAGATGCCCTTAGATAGTGTAAGTGGTGACCATTCACAGCCAGCAATATTAATGTCAGTAGAACATAAATAATCAGTGGTGACACATATATGGAGATCATACAGTATACGGTAGCTACAACGTTATATATACACTAGATATATGCACACCATTCTCACTTATCTCGTATAAACATTACTGCATGGTTACTTTTATAAGTTTTATATAATAGGAACATAACATGTATATCATATGAACATAACATGTATATCATTGAAAAACAAATTCAGAAGGAATTGGTCTCATCACTATGTTTTTTTTTAAATGAGGAGGTAGCTAGTTTAGTAAAACAACTGGTAGACTGGAGATTTCTGAATGGTCTAAAACAGTGAAATGAATGGTCAATAGCAATTTCTGAATGGTCAAGGATACTGCTCTTAAAACAGATTGCTTCAATATTTGTTACAAGTCTAGATAAAAGGTTACATAGGGCTTGTTTTGTCATGACTCTTAAAAGTTAAAGGCCAAAGGTCAGTTGTTACAATTTTATTACAAGGACCATCAGCTAGCCCAGAATTTTGCTGTATTTACAACAAACTCAAAACAATCATTCAGAATGATTGAAACAACCTTTCTAAATATATTTACATGATCAGGCCCCATCCACAGCCAGGTATGTCATTAAAAATAATGTATGTAATGTGTAGCAGATTAAAGCACTTACCCTAGACTAGATTCATTTGGTGCTGCCTGCATTTACCTACCCACATTACTAGAAATTACTATTTTTGATTGCACAATGAGGTTGATTAATTAAAAAATTGACTGATTAAAAACTGTACAATCTAGGAATGTGTGATGTGTTGGCTAACTATTGTCATCAAAAGGTTGCCTGACTGTAGTTTCTTAAAATTTTTGTAAACACAACTTTTTCTGCCATTAGGTTATTCAGTGCCATTTATATTTTGAAAAAAAAAAAGTTCAAACTAAAGCATCCAATATCAACAATTATAAATAAATAAACAAGTAAGCATTGCTTGATGCTACAAGAAATGACATCCTATGTTACCAAAGCTTTCTGGAGGAATGAAATGCAAAACAAGAATCAAGAATTGAAATGAAACAATGACTGAGAATACTAGAACATATGGTGTGAATCAGTGGGGCTTGAGGTGAAATTTTGTGCAAGTGTGGCAGCAGATCTTTTTGTAGTGGAGGTAGTGGCACAGTCTGGCTTGCTTGGCCAGGTGGCACCATCTTGAACTTTCACTGTCTTTACACGTTACACCTGGAGAAATAAAGAACAAAATAAACATGACTAGTTTCACCTGGAGAAATAAAGAACAAAATAAACATGACTGTCTTTTAACTAATGGTGCTCGTTTTTAGAGGCCTGAGTAGTTAAATAATGTCATTTTCATACATGCTAGCAAATTATAACACCACTTTAGACCAGATATAAGGCTGACAAGACCACCACAGACCAGTGCTAAGACCACCATAGACCAATGCTCACAAGACCACCATGGACCACCATAGACCAATGATGACAAGACCACCATGGACCACCATAGACCAATGATGACAAGATCACCATGGACCCCCATAGCCCCCCATAGGGCAGTGCTAAGACCACCATGGACCACCATAGACCAATGATGACAAGACCACCATGGACCACCATAGACCAATGCTCACAAGACCACCATGGACCACCATAGAGCAGTGCTTACATCCTCACCTGTACCGACAACAGACCCATCCATCCGAACAGCCTCGTTAGTTAAAGCCATGGACCCCCATAGCTCCCCATAGACCAATGCTGGCTAGACCCCCATAGACCAGTGCTGACAAGATCACCATAGACCCCCATAGCTCCCCATAGACCAATGCTCACAAGACCCCCAAAGAGCAGTGCTTACATCCTCACCTGTACCGACAACAGACCCATCCATCTGAACTGCCTCGTTAGTTAAAGCCATGGGTGTCTCCGAGAATTCCATGTAGCGCTCCTCACACTGCTGGGGGTTGCACGAGTCTCGGCGGGATGGCTTCCCCTTCTCCTGACACTCCGTGCTGGGGTTAAGGTCAGCGTCCAGACACTTGACCTCTCTGGTTTTCACACCTAACCCGCACGTTTTGCTGCACTGGAAAAGTTATTTTTTAATTACTGACAATTTTTTTATGTTCTTCAAGTTAGGGCTTATAAATAATATTATTTTCTTATTAATCATTAATTCAATTAACAGAAATGGCAACTAAGAATATTTTGCCAGCTATACTTGTAAGGTACTAGGTGAATTATATCATCTATTTGACAACAGTGATATCAGGTTTTGATCTTATGATTTAATTATAACACAGATTTTTTTTTCTACTTTCTCGAATGCTGTATTAAGTAAATTTATGTTAAATGTATGTGATTGTAATGCAAAAGTAAAGTCAGGCAGTGTATGAAAATCATGGTCAGGCTTCTGCCCTAATAACCACTGACCCGTGACCATTCTGTCATAAACCACTGACCATTCTGTCATAAACCACTGACCAGACTGCCATAAACCACTGACCTGTGACCATTCTGTCATAAACCACTGACCAGACTGCCATAAACCACTGACCTGTGACCATTCTGTCATAAACCACTGACCAGACTGCCATAAACCACTGACCTGTGACCAGGCTGTCATAAACCACTGACCTGCGACCAGACTGTCATAAACCACTGACCTGTGACCAGGCTGCCATAAACCACTGACCCGAGACCAGGCTGCCATAAACCACTGACCTGTGACCAGACTGTCTTAAACCACTGACCTGTGACCAGGCTGCCATAAACCACTGACCAGGCTGTCATAAACCACTGACCTGTGACCAGACAGCCATAAACCACTGACCTGTGACTAGGCTGTCATAAACCACTGACCTGTGACCAGTCATAAACCACTGACCTGTGACCAGGCTGCCATAAACCACTGACCGTGACCAGACAGCCATAAACCACTGACCTGTGACTAGGCTGTCATAAACCACTGACCTGTGACCAGTCATAAACCACTGACCTGTGACCAGGCTGCCATAAACCACTGACCCGTGACCAGGCTGCCATAAACCACTGACCAGGCTGTCATAAACCACTGACCTGTGACCATTCTGTCATAAACCATTGACCTGTGACCATTCTGTCATAAACCACTGACCTGTGACCAGTCATAAACCACTGACCTGTGACCAGGCTGCCATAAACCACTGACCGTGACCAGACAGCCATAAACCACTGACCTGTGACTAGGCTGCCATAAACCACTGACCCGTGACCAGTCATAAACCATTGACCTGTGACCAGCCTGCCATAAACCACTGACCTGTGACCAAACTGCCATAAAAAAACTGACCTGTGACCAGACTGCCTTAAACCACTGACCTGTGACCATTCTGTCATAAACCACTGACCTGTGACCATTCCGTCATAAACCACTGAGGTGAGCACTCAGGTAAAGACCTGCACACTTCTCGTGCCGCGGGTTTCTCCTCCAGCACACAGTTGTGCTCCTTCACAATCTGGTTGACATACTTCCCATGGTGCTTGATGCACAGCACATCCCTGTGGCGGCTTGCACCGGTCCCACATGTCCCATTGCACTGCAGACGCCACATTACATGTTTAACGTCATGATAAGAGTTTAGTAAAGTCTAAATGAAGTGTTTAGATAAGATCTGGTATATAGAAACAATGTGTATAAAATGTCATGTGACTTAGCTGTCAAGAAGATGTTTGCCGTGTACCTGAGACCAGGGTCCCGTGAACCACTGCCCCCCACACGGATTCTTGGCTTTACAAGACTTGTGCTCCCTCGGCTTGTGTTTCTTCCCTCCACATTTGCTCTCATCCAGCTTGGAACCGTCGGGAGCTGAGCAGTAAACTTGTCGTGTGTACAGCCCTCGTCCACAGGTGGCCGAGCACTGGAAGACAACAGCAGGGGATCAATCAAAGACAGGTACAGCTCACCTGTAGAACATGTGGGACCAGTCATGTACTCACCTGTGTAGATCACCTGGTGTGGAACCAGCCATGTGGAACCAGCCATGTACTCACCTGTGTAGACCACCTGGTGTGGAACCAGCCATGTACTCACCTGTGTAGACCACCTGGTGTGGAACCAGCCATGTACTCACCTGTGTAGACCACCTGGTGTGGAACCAGCCATGTACTCACCTGTGTAGACCACCTGGTGTGGAACCAGCCATGTGGAACCAGCCATGTACTCACCTGTGTAGACCACCTGGTGTGGAACCAGCCATGTACTCACCTGTGTAGATCACCTGGTGTGGAACCTGCCATGTGGAACCAGCCATGTGGAACCAGCCATGTACTCACCTGTGTAGATCACCTGGTGTGGAACCAGCCATGTGGAACCAGCCATGTGGAACCAGCCATGTACTCACCTGTGTAGATCACCTGGTGTGGAACCAGCCATGTGGAACCAGCCATGTGGAACCAGCCATGTACTCACCTGTGTAGACCACCTGGTGTGGAACCTGCCATGTGGAACCAGCCATGTGGAACCAGCCATGTACTCACCTGTGTAGATCACCTGGTGTGGAACCAGCCATGTGGAACCAGCCATGTGGAACCAGCCATGTACTCACCTGTGTAGATCACCTGGTGTGGAACCAGCCATGTGGAACCAGCCATGTGGAACCAGCCATGTACTCACCTGTGTAGACCACCTGGTGTGGAACCAGCCATGTACTCACCTGTGTAGATCACCTGGTGTGGAACCTGCCATGTGGAACCAGCCATGTGGAACCAGCCATGTGGAACCAGCCATGTACTCACCTGTGTAGATCACCTGGTGTGGAACCTGCCATGTGGAACCAGCCATGTGGAACCAGCCATGTACTCACCTGTGTAGATCACCTGGTGTGGAACCTGCCATGTGGAACCAGCCATGTGGAACCAGCCATGTACTCACCTGTGTAGATCACCTGGTGTGGAACCAGCCATGTGGAACCAGCCATGTGGAACCAGCCATGTACTCACCTGTGTAGACCACCTGGTGTGGAACCAGCCATGTACTCACCTGTGTAGATCACCTGGTGTGGAACCTGCCATGTGGAACCAGCCATGTGGAACCAGCCATGTGGAACCAGCCATGTACTCACCTGTGTAGACCACCTGGTGTGGAACCTGCCATGTGGAACCAGCCATGTGGAACCAGCCATGTGGAACCAGCCATGTACTCACCTGTGTAGACCACCTGGTGTGGAACCTGCCATGTGGAACCAGCCATGTGGAACCAGCCATGTGGAACCAGCCATGTACTCACCTGTGTAGACCACCTGGTGTGGAACCAGCCATGTACTCACCTGTGTAGACCACCTGGTGTGGAACCTGCCATGTGGAACCAGCCATGTGGAACCAGCCATGTACTCACCTGTGTAGACCACCTGGTGTGGAACCTGCCATGTGGAACCAGCCATGTGGAACCAGCCATGTACTCACCTGTGTAGACCACCTGGTGTGGAACCTGCCATGTGGAACCAGCCATGTGGAACCAGCCATGTGGAACCAGCCATGTACTCACCTGTGTAGACCACCTGGTGTGGAACCAGCCATGTGGAACCAGCCATGTGGAACCAGCCAGGTACTCACCTGTGTAGACCACCTGGTGTGGAACCAGCCATGTGGAACCAGCCATGTACTCACCTGTGTAGACCACCTGGTGTGGAACCAGCCATGTGGAACCAGCCATGTACTCACCTGTGTAGACCACCTGGTGTGGAACCAGCCATGTGGAACCAGCCATGTGGAACCAGCCATGTACTCACCTGTGTAGACCACCTGGTGTGGAACCAGCCATGTGGAACCAGCCATGTGGAACCAGCCATGTACTCACCTGTGTAGATCACCTGGTGTGGAACCAGCCATGTGGAACCAGCCATGTACTCACCTGTGTAGACCACCTGGTGTGGAACCAGCCATGTACTCACCTGTGTAGACCACCTGGTGTGGAACCAGCCATGTGGAACCAGCCATGTGGAACCAGCCATGTACTCACCTGTGTAGACCACCTGGTGTGGAACCACCCATGAGCACACGAGCCCATGTCACAGATGTCCTCTTCTAGCGGCTTTAAGGACGTGCAGAGACTCTCAGACACCGATTTGTTTTGAGGATCCACACAGACCACGCCCCTCTTTCTTTGGCCAAACCCACAGGCGGCGGAACACTGGAACAACAGATTTTACATTCAGATTAGTGTTAAAGTTAAGTCAACTGACGGTCAATCTTGAACAGAGGAGGTAAGGGTTAAGGTTGAGTCAGCTACTGCTCAACTATGTTCAGAGGCTAGTTATATCACCAGCAGGTTAGGGCCCCAGTGGCTTAGCGAGGTCGGGTGTCACCCGGTGCGGCACTTAATGGTGTCCCCCCCCAGAGGCGTAGCGACCCTTCCCGGGGACAAACTTTCAAGTTTTCGATTTGCAACCCTACCCCCAAACTTTCGATTTGCACCCCCCCCTCACAAGTTTTTCTCTATATATTTTGCTAATTTTTGCCTTGGCGTCACCCCCCTAAATGGTGTCACCCCCGGCCCCCCCTCGCTGCGCCCCTGGGCTCGTGAACACCCAGTCAACATTTATCAGAGGCCAGCAGATTAGTGTTAGAATTTTGTTGTCAGTGCTTCTACAGGGTCTACTTATGTGAAACCAATATAAGAACTGGATGTGACATGTAGCTTATTAAACTTAGTGACATCTAAATGACATGTACCTCACTCAACTCAGTGACATCTAAATGACATGTACCTCACTCAACTCAGTGACATCTAAATGACTTGTACCTCACTTAACTCAATGACATCTAAATGACATGTACCTCACTCCACTCAGTGACATCTAAATGACATGTACCTTGCTCCACTCAGTGACGTTCCACGAGAAGCACGGTTGCTGCTGACAGAACTGTCTAGAGGCGGGTTTGGGGTGGGGGCAGTTGTCTGCCGAGACAGGCAGGGTCAGGGTGGGGGAGATCTTCTGCTGACACTCAACCACTCTCTTCTGCAAGCCTCTGTCACACGTGACGCTACAGGAACTCCAGTCTCCAAGATGCCAGCTGAAACACAGAGGCCAGAGTTAGCAGTTTAAAAATGTGACTCCAGCAAGCCAGAGCTAGCAGTTAAAAATGTGACTCCAGCAAGCCAGAGCTAGCAGTTAAAAATGTGACTACAAGATGCCAGCTGAAACACAGAGGCCAGAGCTAGCAGTTTAAAAATGTGACTGCCATACAACTGAGCAGCTCGACAAAATGGGTACAAAAAGAGCAGTGACCTGGCTTGACAGGGCTGGTTGTTGCAGACGATGTGGGTGGATGCTAGCTTAAGTGCTGGCTCACAGTTCTCTTCTATCACCTCCACCTGCGTGTCCTCCTTCACACACACGATGCGAGTTACCTGTAGACCTAAGACACAAAGACACGAGTTACCTGCAGACCTAAGACACAAAGACACGAGTTACCTGCAGACCTAAGACACAAAGACACGAGTTACCTGCAGACCTAAGACACAAAGACACGAGTTACCTGCAGACCTAAGACACAAAGACACGAGTTACCTGCAGACCTAAGACACAAAGACACGAGTTACCTGTAGACCTAAGACACAAAGACACGAGTTACCTGCAGACCTAAGACACAAAGACACGAGTTACCTCTAGACCTAAGACACAAAGACACGAGTTACCTGTAGACCTAAGACACAAAGACACGAGTTACCTGTAGACCTAAGACACAAAGACACGAGTTACCTGTAGACCTATAAGACACAAAGATGAAAATTACCTGCAAATGTCAATGTGTGTTTAGGACTTACCAGCTACTTCAGGAGGCTACCCGTCCGTGAATGACACTTACCCCCCCCCCCCAACAATGAGCATATGTCACACCCCCCACCATGAATGTCACTCCCCCCCCCCCTATAAAGTAAATGTGACTCACCCCCACCACAGGGCTCTGAACATGGGGTAAACCCCAGAATGCGCCACGAGTAGAGGCCCCGCCCATCTGACAGCTTGTTGTCATGTTCTGTGTAGCCTAGTGGTGGAGCCGGGTGGCCCCGGCCCGACTTGCTGCCCAGCAAAGTTTCATACGTGGCTGGTATAACATTGGGGATAGAGGCGCCTTCAGCAGCTGAGAGGTGTTGTGGGTTGGCTCGGAACTCTGCGAGTCTGGGACAGGAGGCAAGAATAGTCAAGTTGGTTTATAAGGCATGACACGTATTTCACATTATAAGCAGGAATAGATTGTTGATTTAAAGGCATGACACAATTTAGGCATGAATAGGGAGTAGATTTATAGGCATGACACGTATTTCACATTGTAGGCAGGAATAGGGAGTAGATTTATAGGCATGACACGTATTTCACATTTTAAGTGGTGTTATCACAGAACCGCTTCAATATTATTTCACAGTAAACCTGGTGACACAGAGCACTGACCAGTGTGTAAGAGAACTGACCATTATATGAGAACTGACCTATGTACGAGAATTGACCTGTGTGTAAGAGAACTGACCAGTGTGTAAGAGAACTTACCTATGTAAGAGAACTTACCTATGTAAGAGAACTGACCAGTGTATAAGAGAACTGACCAGTGTATAAGAGAACTGACCTGTGTATAAGAGAACTGACCTATATAAGAGAACTGACCTGTGTGTAAGAGAACTGACCTGTGTGTAAGAGAACTGACTAGTGTGTACTGTAAGATAACTGACCAGTGTGTAAGATAACTGACCTATGTAAGAGAACTGACCTATGTAAGAGCACTGACAGTGTAACTGACCTGTGCGTATTTTCTCTCCTGACGTTAGAGATGTGTAGAGGCTCTATCCTTCTCTGTATCAGTTTCGGCTGTCTGCTGTCTTGTATGGCTGTCTGCCTGCTGTCTGGTACAGTTTGCTGTCTGCTGTCTTGAGCGGGCAGCATGGGCACGTCCCCCAGGTTGTCGTGGAGGTTGGTGTGGTAGTAATGTTTGTATTCTATCGAGCCGTTCTCCCCTTCCACAAACAGCTGATCCCTGTTTGGGCCATACAAGACAGTGCTAGCCAGAGGCCTCGAGGCTTGGGCTCTGCCGGCTCGCGGGCCGGATCTGGCCGGACTGGTGTCCGACTGATATGAAGTCTCGTCTGATGTTCTGGGAATTACTTCCTTCTGGACGGTACGATCACCTAAAAAGTTTTGTTTTGGCAAAGTTCGTTTAAAAATAACAAGTACTAAATTTATCTTTCAAGACATTTAAAATTGTATTTCTTATAAGTGCTTTCATAGTCAACGATTATAAAACTAGTAAACCACCAACAAGAAAACATATCTTGAATAATTTAGAATTAAATAATTAATTATTATTAATTGTTTATTCTTTAAATACGTGCTCTATTCTTAACCTATCTACATGTTTATAGATTGTATTGGGGTGACACCGTGATTTTCTGCACTAGGTGACACCCAGCTTGTGATTCGATTGGGTAAAACAAATCAGGAGATACTAGATGTATGTTTAGCCTTCTTGGTAGCCGAATGCTTTTTACTTGCCTGTATTGAAAGAATCTTGCCTGTGGTTCTGTGAGGCGATATGGACGTGATTAGCTTTGAGAACATCGACTGTCCCAGTTGTGTACTGGTATGAGATGCCAGGATTTCTTCCAAACGACAGCAGCTGAAACATTTCACATCAGGCGTACTCTAGCTAAGGAATTTCTATTCAGACTAACAGCTGATAAAGTCAATGAAAGGTGTGTGAAGTTGATAAAGTCATTAAAGGTATGTGAAGTTGATAAAGTCATTAAAGGTGTGTGAAGTTGATAAAGTCAATGAAAGGTGTGTGAAGTTGATAAAGTCATTAAAGGTGTGTGAAGTTGATAAAGTCATTAAAGGTGTGTGAAGTTGATAAAGTCATTAAAGGTGTGTGAAGTTGATAAAGTCATGAAAGGTGTGTGAAGTTGATAAAGTCATGAATGGTGTGTGAAGTTGATAAAGTCATGAAAGGTGTGTGATGTTGATAAAGTCATGAAAGGTGTGTGAAGTTGATAAAGTCATTAAAGGTGTGTGAAGTTGATAAAGTCATTAAAGGTGTGTGAAGTTGATAAAGTCATGAAAGGTGTGTGAAGTTGATAAAGTCATTAAAGGTGTGTGAAGTTGATAAAGTCATGAAAGGTGTGTGAAGTTGATAAAGTCATGAAAGGTGTGTGACGTTGATAAAGTCATAAAAGGTGTGTGACGTTGATAAAGTCATAAAAGGTGTGTGAAGTTGATAAAGTCATTAAAGGTGCGTGAATGTGAATGTAAAAAACAACTTATGAAGTCCAACCTCCACTTTAAGACTGGTGTTAAGCGGCCCATCTGCCGTCAAACACTCGCCCAAACACCAGGTCCCAGAACCTCGTCCATAGAGAAAACTTGTTCCGGCCCCTTGTACAGTGCCCTCCCTTTGAAGCTTCATCTCTCCGTTGAGAAAGTAACCACTAGAGGTCGCTAAAGCTGATTGAGAGGATATTGTGTTGAGAAAGTAACCACTGGACGTCGCTAAAGCTGGATGATAAGATATTGTGTTGAGAAAGTAACCACTAGAGGTCGCTAAAGCTGAATGAGAAGATATTGTGTTGAGAAAGTAACCACTAGAGGTCGCTAAAGCTGAATGAGAGGATATTGGGGGCAACACTAAACTAGATGGCACTAGACATTTTATACAGCTTAAGGTAACTCTATGGAAAAATTTATATGATAGATTTTTTATGGCCAAAACGTAAACAATTAGGATTATCACACCAAGGGGTGTAATGATATATGGCTGACTATTGCCATATTTTAGTCTCCCTCTAATATATTACATGAATTGGCATCAAACCCACCTAGAATGGCCATCACCCACACCTATAGTGGCCATCACACCCACCTGAACTGGACACCACCTAGAGCGGCCATCACGCCCACATAGGATGGCCATCACCCACACCTAGAGCGGCCATCACGCCCACCTAAAGTGACCACGCCCACCTAAAGCGGCCATCACACCCACCTAGAATGGCCATCACGCCCACCTAGAATGGCCATCACGCCCACCTAGAGCGGCCATCACCCCCACCTAGAGCGGCCATCACGCCCACCTAAAGTGACCACGCCCACCTAAAGCGACCATCACACCCACCTAGAGCGGCCATCACCCCCACCTAAAGCGGCCATCACGCCCACCTAAAGTGACCATCACGCCCACCTAGAGCGGCCATCACGCCCACCTAGAGCGGCCATCACGCCCAGCTAGAGCGGCCATCACGCCCACCTAGAGCGGCCATCACGCCCACCTAGAGCGGCCATCACGCCCACCTAGAGTGACCACCACGCCCACCTAGAGCGGCCACCACGCCCACCTAGAGCGGCCACCACGCCCACCTGAAATGGACACCTACCTATGTGGTTGCGGCTGCGGGCCAGCTCAGTGATGTTGATGCTGCGGGCCCCTGCAGGGATGGTGGTGACATGATGGTAGCCACGCCCCGGCAGGTTCGTGCGCGTGAAGATGCCGTGCGTCAGGCGACAGGTCGAGCCATCGCCGTTACAGACACCGCAGACGTCCGGCCTGGCAGACGATTCCAGAATGCCGTCACATCCGGCGGCCTGGGTGGGTGGAATAGTTGGAGACTTTACAGACGACACATTTAACATCACAGCCAAACCACACATCTAGACCGGACACTCACACACACACACACACTCAAACACACTCACACACACAGTGCTAAACCTAAAAACCACATCAGCCACGAGAAGACAACTCTCAGATCAGTAGCAGACAACTCACCAGACACTTCCCCTGCATGCATATGGCCGTGTTGTCGTCATTGCACGTGACCCCGTCTATGACCGTCTGGTTGAACCGGGCATAATATTTGTGGCCGTCTGTCTTGCAAGCTAGCTCACACGGTGCCGTGGCTGTGGACGAGAGATCAATGCTCACTCACAAACTGTGTTGTGACAACGACAACAGACACAAACAGTTAGGACAAACAATTTGAGTGCCCTTCCCTAGCTGACCGCTACATGGACCAGATGAAAGCCCTCCCCTGACCGCTACATGGACGAGTGTCCTCCCCTGACCTGTACATGGACGAGTGCCTTCCCTTGACCACCACATGGACGAGTGTCCTCCCCTGACCTGTACATGGACGAGTGCCTTCCCTTGACCACCACATGGACGAGTGCCCTCCCCTGACCGCCACATGGACGAGTGCCCTCCCCTAGCTGACCGCTACATGGACTAGTGCCCTCCCTGACCGCTACATGGACAAGATGAAAGCCCCCCCCCCCAGCTGACCGCTACATGGACGAGTGCCTTCCCCTGACCGCTACATGGACGAGTGCCTTCCCCTGACCGCTACATGGACGAGTGCCTTCCCCTGACCGCTACATGGACGAGTGCCCTCCCTGACAAGATGAAAGCCCTCCCCCCAGCTGACCGCCACATGGACGAGTGCCCTCCCCTAGCTGACCGCTACATGGACTAGTGCCCTCCCTGACCGCTACATGGACAAGATGAAAGCCCCCCCCCCCCAGCTGACCGCTACATGGACGAGTGCCTTCCCCTGACCGCTACATGGACGAGTGCCTTCCCCTGACCGCTACATGGACGAGTGCCCTCCCTGACAAGATGAAAGCCCTCCCCCCAGCTGACCGCTACATGGACGAGTGCCTTCCCCTGACCGCTACATGGACGAGTGCCTTCCCCTGACCGCTACATGGACGAGTGCCCTCCCTGACAAGATGAAAGCCCTCCCCCCAGCTGACCGCTACATGGACGAGTGCCTTCCCCTGACCGCTACATGGACGAGTGCCCCCCCCCCCCCCTCTAGCTGACCGCTACATGGACGAGTGTCCTCCCCTGACCGCTACATGGACCTGATGAGTGTACACTACTGACTGTGAATGTACGGCGTCCAGCTGTAGGTCTGGTGACCGTAGTAGATGGTGTTGTGTTTAGCGCACTCCCGCCATCTGTAGCCTCTGTCGTCTGCTGAGCAGTTCTGGAATTATACGGTACATTTATATCCATTTGGTGACGAAACAACGTCGAGAAATATTCGTCAACATATGTATCTGAATAAGCTCTGATTGTCTTAGCTGACGTAATAAAATAACACAAAGAATGGACCATATTTTCCCGTTCGTGCTCAAGGCGTATGAGGCCAATGAAGTAGAGTTAATATGCTCTATTGACCTTGGCAATTGAGGGATAGTGTGGTCAGCACTATGCCGAACGGTCTTTGTTTCGCTAACATGAATCAGGTAACCATCAGTGTTTCTTCCAGACTTTTTTCTCAGGGGGGGGGGGGACTTTTGGGTTAGCAGTCGTCAGCGAAACCTGCCACTGGGAAAATTAATGGTCCTCTTTCCCTGCTGTACGAACTATAAGGTCATCTGGTGTAAGGTCAAAGGCTGTAAGATCAACAGGTGTAAGATCAATGGGTTAAGGTCAACGGGGTTAAGGTCAACTAACTCGAATCAAAGACCATTTGCTTATGAAGGGCCATCTAGATCTAAGATCAGACAATGTACATATGAAGGGCCATCTAGATCTAAGACCAGACAATGTACATATGAAGGGCCATCTAGATCTAAGATCAGACACTACATATGACGGGCCATCTACGTCTAATAACAAAAAGGGCATATTATTTATTTCCACATCTTGCTAATTTAAATATTTGTCAATTTTAAAAATGGTAAGTCAAGAAGGGGAGGTGACCCATTCCAAACAGTTTACTCTAGATTTTATTTGAGTTGTCTCCCTTTGCCCTAAACCTCGTGAGATGAAATTGGTGAATTACCTGCACTAAACAAATGCGGTATTGTTTAGATGGGCCATCACATGTGGCTCCGTTGCCGTGCCTAGAGGGGGATAACAAAACATTTCAATTCATTAGGGGAGATAACAACATATTTTTATTTATTAGGGGAGATAACAACATATTTTAAGTAATTATTAATATATATTTAAATATCATTTGCCAAAGGTATGATGTTTACCAGTGTTGCCAAAGGTATGTCACCATATGTTTACCTGTGTTGCCAAAGGTATGTCACCATATGTTTACCTGTGGTGGGCGTGGCACTGACGTATCCTGTAGGCCGTCCCGTGCCCGCAGGTGTGTGTACACACTGACCAGCCCGTCCAGGGGCCCCAGTCATGTCCCAGGCTCGTCCCCTGCTGACGCAAACATTTGACCATTAGAACGTTTTCATATCTAACCCTAAATCACATTAGAAAGTTTTCACATCTACCCTAAATCACATTAGAAAGTTTTCACATCTACCCTAAATGACATTAGAAAGTTTTAACATCTACCCTAAATGACATTAGAACGTTTTCACATCTACCCTAAATCACATTAGAAAGTTTTCACATCTACCCTAAATCACATTAGAAAGTTTTCACATCTACCCTAAATCACATTAGAAAGTTTTTACATCTACCCTAAATCACATTAGAAAGTTTTCATATCTACCCTAAATCACATTAGAAAGTTTTTACATCTACCCTAAATCACATTAGAAAGTTTTTACATCTACCCTAAATCACATTAGAAAGTTTTCACATTTACCCTAAATCATTCACATTTACCCTAAATCACATTAGAAAGTTTTCATATCTACCCTAAATCACATTAGAAAGTTTTCACATTTACCCTAAATCACATTAGAAAGTTTTCACATCTACCCTAAATCACATTACAAAGATTTCACATCTACCCTAAATCACATTAGAAAGTTTTCACATCTACCCTAAATCACATTAGAAAGTTTTCACATCTACCCTAAATCACATTGGAAAGTTTTCACATCTACCCTAAATCACATTAGAAAGTTTTCACATCTACCAAATCACATTCTGTAAATACTTTCCAATACAATCTATTAAAACAGACCAGATTAACGCACGTCTTTTAAAACCAAACGAGTTAAAAAAAAATTTGAAGTTTTTTCTAATCTGGGCTTCAGGTGTTTTATGCAGGTAGATAACGTCGAGTCTAACGGTGGGATGGGGGGGGGGGGGCGGTTGTAGGGGATTGGGTAGAACAACACTGGCTGTTTCAGGTGCTACAAAATGGAAGTCAAAGAAAACATTCTGCAGGGGGGGGGGGAGATGGACACAAGTGGATGTGATCTCTAGGAGGTAGATGAGCACTCATGGCACGTGACGTAGGCTGTCACTCGCACAGCTGATTGTGTGGAGTTTGGAGATTGTGTGGAGTTTGGAGATTGTGTGGAGTTTGGAGATTGTGTGGAGTTTGGAGATTGTGTGGAGTTTGGAGATTGTGTGGAGTTTGGAGATTGTGTGGAGTTTGGAGATTGTGTGGAGTTTGGAGATTGTGTGGAGTTTGGAGATTGTGTGGAGTTTGGAGATTGTGTGGAGTTTGGAGATTGTGTGGAGTTTGGAGATTGTGTGGAGTTTGGAGATTGTGTGGAGTTTGGAGATTGTGTGGAGTTTGGAGATTGTGTGGAGTTTGGAGATTGTGTGGAGTTTGGAGATTGTGTGGAGTTTGGAGATTGTGTGGAGTTTGGAGATTGTGTGGAGTTTGGAGATTGTGTGTAGTTTGGAGATTGTGTGGAGTTTGGAGATTGTGTGGAGTTTGGAGATTGTGTGGAGTTTGGAGATTGTGTGGAGTTTGGAGATTGTGTGGAGTTTGGAGATTGTGTGGAGTTTGGAGATTGTGTGGAGTTTGGAGATTGTGTGGAGTTTGGAGATTGTGTGGAGTTTGGAGATTGTGTGGAGTTTGGAGATTGTGTGTAGTTTGGAGATTGTGTGTAGTTTGGAGATTGTGTGGAGTTTGGAGATTGTGGGGAGTTTGGAGATTGTGGGGAGTTTGGAGATTGTGGGGAGTTTGGAGATTGTGTGGAGTTTGGAGATTGTGTGGAGTTTGGAGATTGTGTGGAGTTTGGAGATTGTGTGGAGTTTGGAGATTGTGTGGAGGTTGGAGATTGTGTGGAGTTTGGAGATTGTGTGGAGTTTGGAGATTGTGTGGAGTTTGGAGATTGTGTGGAGTTTGGAGATTGTGTGGAGTTTGGAGATTGTGTGGAGTTTGGAGATTGTGTGTAGTTTGGAGATTGTGTGTAGTTTGGAGATTGTGTGTAGTTTGGAGATTGTGTGGAGTTTGGAGATTGTGGGGAGTTTGGAGATTGTGGGGAGTTTGGAGATTGTGGGGAGTTTGGAGATTGTGTGGAGTTTGGAGATTGTGGGGAGTTTGGAGATTGTGGAGTTTGGAGATTGTTTGTATAGAGGTTATGGTTGTGTGTGTGTGTGTGTGTGTGGGTGTTGGTGCTATAGGGGGTTATGGTTGTAGTGAGATAATGAAAGTCGCTGCAGTCTTGTAACAGGTGCCTGCGTGCAGTCATGTAATTTAACAGGTACCTGTCTGCAGTCAGGTAGTTTAACAGGTACCTGCCTGCAGTCATGTAATTTAACAGGTACCTGTCTGCAGTCAGGTAGTTTAACAGGTGCCTGCCTGCAGTCATGTAATTTAACAGGTACCTGTCTGCAGTCAGGTAGTTTAACAGGTACCTGCCTGCAGTCATGTAATTTAACAGGTACCTGTCTGCAGTCAGGTAGTTTAACAGGTATCTGTCTGCAGTCAGGTAGTTTAAGACGTTCGTACGTCACAAAACGGCTTGCAGTTTGAAAAAAAGTTGAAAAAAGTTTTGTACCCCTACAGTTGTAATATAACAGGTAAGTAATATAACAGGAAATTAATGTAACAGGTAAGTAATGTAACAGGTAAGTAATATAACAGTAATATAACAGGTAAGTATGTAACAGGTAAGTAATGTAACAGGTGGTTGTGTGTACTCATGTAGGTCGACGATAAATATTATTAGATTACGTCAGGAAGATGCTGTGTCATTTAAATTTCGATAGGGGGGAGGGGTCCGGATGGTCTAGAGCAGGGGTCTCCAAACTTTTCAGTCCGAGGGCCGCATTAACTATCAAATTTCAGTTCGGGGGCCAGTTTCTTCCAGGCATGTCTTTGATTTTTCTGGTCAAAGTTTCTCAGCCATCACCAACAAACGTTTTTTCCGTGGACAAAAAGATCTCCGCGGGCCGGATGAGAGGACCTCGCGGGCCGCATCCGGCCCGCGGGCCGTAGTTTGGAGACCCCTGGTCTAGAGTCTAGACATTATTTTTTTTTTGTTTAATTAATTAAGATTAGACATCAGACTCGCCCATCGAGATTAACTGACCTGCAAAGATGAAAACTTGTCACAAAAACCCATGTCTGGTTGTCTAGAGAACTTGTCACAAAAACCCATGTCTGGTTGTTTAGAGAACTTGTCACAAAAACCCATGTCTGGTTGTTTAGAGAACTTGTCACAAAAACCCATGTCTGGTTGTCTAGAGAACTTGTCACAAAAACCCATGTCTGGTTGTCTAGAGAACTTGGTAGATGAGACCTCAGACAACGAGACACGGCGAGATTACACGAGACTTGCCATTAACTCGATGAATTAAGTTTTTCTGGTCCCCATGGTAACGAGTATTGTATAAAATAATTACGGTACGGCGTTCTGACATTGTATAAAGTGATTACGGTACGGCGTTCTGACATCCAGACGGTGATTTGCCGTCTCTTTGAACATAACGGGACATTAAAGTGATGAAGGCTGGACCGTATCTAGGCCACGTGGTGATGGATCTCACCACAACTTCCGGGAACTTGATTCGATTTGGGTCCAGGTGCAGGGGGGGGGGCAGATGTTGGTTACAGGCCTGGTGTCCGTGGATCTGTCTTTCTCTTTCTCATTAGTATGTAGGACCAGTGGCTCCAGGCTTAGTGGAGATTGTTGCTTAAATGTAACAGCCTATTGCTGTATGATTTACTTGCAGCAGAGGGAGGTTGTTGCTTAAATGTAACAGCATATTGGTGTATGATTTACTTGCAGCAGAGGGAGGTTGTTGCATAAATGTAACAGCCTATTGGTGTATGATTTACTTGCAGCAGAGGGAGGTTGTTGCTTAAATGTAACAGCTAATTTGTGTATTATTTACTTGCAGCAGAGGGAGGATATTGCTTAAAGTAACAGCCTATTTTTGTATGGTTTACTTGTAGTAATGGGAGGTTGTAACTTAAATGTGACAGCTTAATTACGCATGATTTACTCGTAGCAGGGGAGGTTCTAGCTTAAATGTGACAGCCTATTTACGTCTGATTTACGTGTTCACACCTCCCACGTGACTTGGCGCAAAAATCTGTTAAAATTCTTGGCGTCTGCCGAGCGAGAGGGCCACAGCTTTGTGCAACCTTAGAAGCTGGGCCGGTCTAACCTTTGACTGGGTCCCCACTTGTACCCTAATCCCACGGAAAACACGCGAGACATTAGTTTGAACCCTCGGCACCTGGGCTGGCGTGCAAATATTCTAAACACACTCAAGTGATTGAAACGTAAGGCAGACGTCTCGTGATGAGCCGTCATTTAACACCGATACAGGCTGAAACAAGAGAGGCTACCCACGCTCAAGTTAAGGGCTAAAGTAAAGATTTTCTATTGTGACGCTTGTCTCCCTTTACGGACCCAGACAACCAAGTCACAACACTGTTATGTGGGGCATAGCTGTGGATGGTGACACCTAGATACCTGTGGGTGGTGACACCTTGATAGCTGTGGGTGGTGACACCTTGATAGCTGTGGGTGATGACACCTTGACAGCTGTGGATGGTGACACCTTGATAGCTGTGGATGGTGACACCTTGATAGCTGTGGGTGGTGACACCTTGATAGCTGTGGGTGGTGACACCTTGATAGCTGTGGGTGGTGACACCTTGATAGCTGTGGGTGGTGACACCTTGATAGCTGTGGGTGGTGACACCTTGATAGCTGTGGGTGGTGACACCTTGATAGCTGTGGGTGGTGACACCTTGATAGCTGTGGGTGGTGACACCTTGATAGCTGTGGATGGTGACACCTTGATAGCTGTGAATGGTAATAGGTGTGAATGGTAATAGGTGTGGGTGGTGATAGCTGTGTATGGTGTCTGCCACCTTCATAGAATTACTCTGTGACAACGGCAAGTGTTGTACAATCGGGCAAATACTGCGGTAAAAAAACCCGGCTGTGTGGACATCACGTCACTGACACATACCTGGTCACCTGATTACCTACCCTTGGTCAGGGGAGGGGCATGTGTGGGTAGTGAATCGCTGACGTCACTCCCACACGTCTGGCTGCAGACACCCAATAGCGACGGGGTTAGATCGCCCTGGCTATGGAACTAGCCCTGTGTCCGCAGCATATGGAGCTACATAGGTCTGGTCACCGGTAGAGATGTAGCCAATGACCATCTGTAGAGAGGTGACATGTGGCCAATGGCCATCTGTAGAGAGGTGACATGTGGCCAATGGCCATCTGTAGAGAGGTGACATGTGGCCAATGGCCATCTGTAGAGAGGTGACATGTGGCCAATGGCCATCTGTAGAGAGGTGACATGTGGCCAATGGCCATCTGTAGAGAGGTGACATGTGGCCAATGGCCATCTGTAGAGAAATATGGCCAATGGCCATCTGTAGAGAGGTGACATGTGGCCAATGGCCATCTGTAGAGAGGTGACATGTGGCCAATGGCCATCTGTAGAGAAATATGGCCAATGGCCATCTGTAGAGAGATGTGGCCAATGGCCATCTGTAGAGAGGTGACATGTGGCCAATGGCCATCTGTAGAGAAATATGGCCAATGGCCATCTGTAGAGAGATGTGGCCAATGGCCATCTGTAGAGAGGTGACATGTGGCCAATGGCCATCTGTAGAGAAATATGGCCAATGGCCATCTGTAGAGAGATGTGGCCAATGGCCATCTGTAGAGAAATGTGGCCAATGGCCATCTGTAGAGAGATGTGGCCAATGGCCATCTGTAGAGAAATATGGCCAATGGCCATCTGTAGAGAGATGTGGCCAATGGCCATCTGTAGAGAGGTGACATGTGGCCAATGGCCATCTGTAGAGAAATATGGCCAATGGCCATCTGTAGAGAGATGTGGCCAATGGCCATCTGTAGAGAGACAGAGGTCTTGGACAGAACAGATGTTCTGAAGTTACGATGTTGCAAGAACTCCTGGACTAGTATACTGTAGTGGACCTAGTATCCTGTAGTGGACCTAGTATCCTGTAGTGGACCTAGTATCCTGTAGTGGACCTAGTATCCTGTAGTGGACCTAGTATCCTGTAGTGGACCTAGTATCCTGTAGTGGACTTAGTATCCTGTAGTGGACCTAGTATCCTGTAGTGGACCTAGTATCCTGTAGTGGACCTAGTATCCTGTAGTGGACCTAGTATCCTGTAGTGGACCTAGTATCCTGTAGTGGACCTAGTATCCTGTAGTGGACCTAGTATCATGTAGTGGACCTAGTATCCTGTAGTGGACCTAGTATCCTGTAGTGGACCTAGTATCCTGTAGTGGACCTAGTATCCTGTAGATACCCTTCACCAGGTGCACTCTGATTAGCCGTGTATTGGTCCCTTGTTGGATTATCCTTGCTTAGTCTCCCCTTGCCGGATTATCCTTGCTATATCCTTGAACCCACACAAAACCTCTCCAAGCCAATCCCCTCGGCCTGACACCAGCGGGTGGCGTCTGACAAGGGGTGTAACTTATGTTTTCAAAGTCAAATTGTATCAAAGAGTTAATGCGCCTGCAAACACTTGCAAGAAATCAACGTGGGAACGAGGCGACGAGGACGGATTGCTGTTGGAATTTCAAGTTCGGGCAACCGGAAGCGGTACTTTAAAAACACATACTCAGACATGTTGAGTGACGCAGCTCATAGAAAGAACGTGAAAAGAATATAAAACATTCAACAAACACAACAGAAACCGTGCAGAAATTTTTTATTTCGTCGGGACCGACAGGCGACGAAAAAGATGAATGTGGAAAAAATGAAGATCCGAGTTCATCCGGGAAACTAGGTCAAGCGTCGAGCTTTAAAACAATTAAAATATTTACGGAACCATCCAAATACTTTAAAAGAGAATTAATCTCAAGGATGGGATCACCCAGGCGTAGCAATTGTGCTAACTCAGCCATGCGTAGCGTAATTTTAAAGAAACGTACATGTATATGTTGTAGGGGTAGGCTAATGTTGGTGTGTTGTTGGTGTAGGCTAATGTTGGTGTGTTGTTGGTGTAGGCAAAGGTTGGTGTGTTGGATTTGACATGACACTGCACATGACATGAGACTGGACAGGACATGAGACTGGTCATGACATGACATGACTGGACATGACATGAGACTGGACATGACATGAGACTGGACATGACATGAGACTGAACATGACATGAGACTGGACATGACATGAGACTGGACATGACATGAGACTGGACATGACATGAGACTGGACATGACATGAGACTGGACATGACATAGACAGGACATGAGGACATGACATGAGACTGGACATGACACGAGACTGGACATGACACGAGACTGGACATGACATGAGACTGGACATGACATGAGGACATGACATGAGACTGGACATGACATGAGACTGGACATGACATGAGACTGGACATGACATGAGACTGAACATGACATGTGACATGACATGAGACTAGACATGACATATGACATGACGCTGGACATGACATATGACATGACACTGGACATGACATGAGACCGACCTTTGTATGGTGCTGCAGGTGTACAGGTACAGCTGTCAATAGAAGGATGACGACATGTGCCACCCACATTTCATATCTGTGGAGGAGAACTTTGTAAGTTACATACATCTTGGTAACATGTTAAAAACTTACATCTTTGTAACATTTAAACATATATCTTGGTAACATTTAAACATACATCTTTGTAACATTTAAACATACATTTTTGTAACATGTTAAAAACTTACATCTTTGTAACATGTTAAAATAAAGCGGGAGTGATCTCCCCTAAACTTTCTCGAAAATTCTTAGATAAACTAATGGGGATGGCAACCCCAAAGCAGCTGGGATATAGACATTTTTAAAAATTTCAATTTTTTAAATACTTAAATTTTTTAAACAATAGAATCTCGTAGATAAAAGAAATGCGCACCAAATGAAAAGCAAACAATGTGTGTGTAATTGTGCGGAACATTAGTACTTTATAAAGAGAAAAATAATTTTCAAAGAGTTAATTAATCATCTAATTAAGTAACATTGTATGCAGGGACGTAGCGGGGGGGGGGGGGGATGCGGACCGCACCGGGTGACACCACTTAGGGGGGTGACATCAAGGCAAAAAATAACAAAATATAAAGAGAAAAATGATAATTCCACTTAATTAAGTGATTAATTCGAGTGTTAAAAAGTCTTTTAAGAGGTGCAAATCGAAAGTTTGAAGGGGGGAGGGGGTGCATATCGAAAGTTTGAGGGGGGGGGGGGGGATACTACTTCCGATCACCGGAAATTACTCAGAACTTGTCAGATAGACGAAATCACATTTTTGTAGAAGATCTAACTCTGTTTTCTAACTGAAATATTGCATAATTTAAGTTATATGATTTAGAAAAACCGAAAGTAGAATAAGTTCCACTTCTGGTTACTGGAAATCACTAAAAAGTTGATACAGAACTACCAATTTGGTATACTACTTACATATGAAATTTCGTCAACCTAGCTGTAACGGTAGTCAAGTTATCGTGTTCACAGACAGACACACAGACATACAGACAAAACTGCAAAACCAAGTTTTTCCGACTTAAGGAGGTGTGAATTAAACCTCTCTCGAATTCGATTTTTTTGCACGATTACAATACTTCCTCTATATTTCGTATACGGGAAAGTATAAATATAGATCTTTGTAACATGGTAAAAAACAGATCTTTGTAACATGTTAAATAAACCGGGAGTGATCTCTCCTAAACTTTCTCGAATATTCTTATATAACACTACGGGGGATGGCAACTCGGGATATAGACAATATTTTAAATCCATTTTTAATTACTTAAACTTTTAAAAATAGAATAGAATCTCGTAGAAAAAAAGTCTTGCGCACCATGTGAAAGCCAAACAAATGTGGATAATGGTGCGGAATATTCTTAGTACTTTATAAATTCACATGGGTTTTTTGAGAAATCGGAAATATCGTAAATTACTACTTCCGTTCAACGGAAATTACTCAAAGTTTGAGAGAGGGCAGATAATTAGATCTTTTACTTACAAGGGAAATTTCATTTATCTATCTCTAATAGTACTAAAGTTATAGGCTTTTGAAAAATTGAAAGTAGAAAAAGTTACACTTCCGGATATATATATATATATATATATATATGTATGTATATATATATATATATATATATATATATATATATGTATATATATATATATATATATATATATATATATGTATATATATATATATATATATATATATATATATTATATATATATATATATATATATATATATATATATATATATATATATATATATATATGTATATATATATATATATATATATATATATATATATATATATATATATATATATATATATATATATATGTATATATGTATATATATGTATATATATATATATATATATGTATATATATATATATATATATATATATATATATATATATATATATATATATATATATATATATATATATATATATGTATATATATGTATATATATATATATATATATATATATATATATATATATATATATATATATATATATGTATATATATATAATTTCATCAACCTAGCTGTAACGGTACTCAAGTTATCGTGTTCACAGATACTCACACGCATACATACATACACACATACGTACGGACAAGATTGCAAAACTGGTTTTCCGACTCACGGAGGTGTAAAACGTCGAGATTTGCCAAAATTTCGAATTTTTTTTTTGCACGATAGCTTACTTCGTATACTAGAAAGTAAAAAGTAGATAGTTGAGCATGTTACAAGAAGATATATTTTTTTAGCAATACGGAGCTTTGACAAGGGTTTTATTGATTTATCCCGTGATCTTATTTTGCTGTTTTAAACAATATGCAGTAGAAAATGTGATGGACGAATAAGTGCAGTACAGAAAAGTTCTATGAGTGCAGTACAGAAAAGTTCTATGAGTGCAGTACAGAATAGTTCTATGAGTGCAGTACAGAATAGTTCTATGAGTGCAGTACAGAATAGTTCTATGAGTGCAGTACAGAATAGTTCTATAAGTGCAGTACAGAATAGTTCTATGAGTGCAGTACAGAATAGTTCTATGAGTGCAGTACAGAATAGTTCTATGAGTGCAGTACAGAATAGTTCTATGAGTGCAGTACAGAATAGTTCTATGAGTGCAGTACAGAATAGTCAGGTTGCATTTGTTCTATGAGTGCAGTACATTTGTTCTAGAGCCCACTAGACACAACCCCACCACGCCCGCCCCATAGATATGCAGCCATCCCTAGGTGGCGCTATTCACACGTATTGTGCCGATAACAAAAGTTATCAGTTATCATCCGCTCCCACCCCAGACAAATATGTCAGTTGTTATCGTGCCGCGTGCTCTCAAGGATTTCCTTCAGTGCCCGGTGGGAGGAATAAAAAACGTATGCGGCGAGAAATTCGTTAGTTCACGGTGGGAGGAATAAAAAACGTATGCGGCGAGAAATTCGTTAGTTTTAGTAGAATTTTAGTTTTAATAGAATTATTTTTTCAATACATTAAAAACAGAGGTTCAATCCAAAAGTGCGTGGCTTCAATATAATATGATACATCTAGAATAAACAAAGATATAAAAATACACACATACACGCTTATAGACATACATACACTATTCCTTCATATGCCGATGTCACAGAAACAGGTGAACTCTACTTCACGTGCCCCGTTTACCGTTAGGTTCAAAAGGGAACTTAATTTTATACACACACATACACGTATATATTGCTTATATTTAAACCATAAGCCTACACACTTAGCTTTATATATATATATATATATATATAAACACCCTTTTTATTGGGGAGGAGGGAGCGGTGTGGTGATGGGGGGGGGGGGGGGGCGACGACATCACGAGGTGTATCACCGGGTGACATCCGACCTATTGAGGCCGCTAAGAATAAACCCACCCTAAACATTATCCAGGCCCTTAAAACATTGCTAAAGTATCGCTTTACTCGCCAGTTTAACGTCCACGCTACATTCAGCTAAACTAGCTACTTTAACGTTCACACAACAATTAGCTTAACTGGCTATTTTAACGTTCACACAACAATTAAAGAAATAAAGCGGAAGTGATCTCCCCTAAACTTTCTCGTATGTTCATATTTAACAGTAAGGGGGATGGCATTTTCAGTGTAATCGTGTAATAGAAAATTGTAATTAATATTTTTAAAAACTACATTTTTAAATAGAATAAAATCCAGTAGAATAAGAATTGCGCACCAAAATGAACGTAAAAGATGTGTGCTTAATCGAGGGAAATATTAGTTCTCTATGAAGGAAACATTGATTGATTTTTTAAAAGTTAATTAAACATCTAGATCTAATTACGGCACATTTAATGTAACAGTTCATGGTCAACGAGTTTTTACCTACTTAAAAAGTTTGAAAGAAATCGGCCCAGTAGAAGGGAGATATTTTTTGAGAAATTAAAAAAAAAACGTATTGTACTACTTCCATTTACCGGAAATCACGCAATAATAAGATAATAAGATCTTTTATCTAGGTATTAAATTTCGTTAAGTAAATGAAACGGTAATTGCGTTATCGGTATTTTAGAAACCGGAAATAGAGTAAAGTACCACTTTAGGAAATACTCAAAATATGTGAGTGATCCAGGTAAACGATATTTTACTTATATTTGAAATGTTGACTACCTGTCTGAAACAGTACTCAAATCATCGCGGTCTTACGGAAATAGAATAAATAACCACTTCCGGTTAACGGAAATCGTTCAAAAGTAGAATGAAACCTTTGCATACAATTTAATACGTTTATTTGCAATTTTGGCTTTCCCTAGCTTAAAGGTACTTAAGTTATAAGCTTTTGAGGAACCGGAAGGGAAGTTATCGGAAATCGCTCAAAAGTTGTTAGTAAACTACAAATTCGATATAATACTGTTATATAACATGTCGTCAACCCCTATGAAATGGTACTCACATTTTCGTGTTTACATACACACAGGCAGACAGACAGACAGACAGACAGACAGACAGACAGACAGACAGACAGGCAGACAAACAGACAGACAGGATTGAAAATTTTTTTTTTTTTTCCAGCTCTGGAATGTTATAAAACTTCAAAATTTGTCAAAATTTCTCAATTTAGATTTTTGCACGATTGCAATGCAAAACATCTGTCAATTATCCAGTACGATTAGTGGCGTAGCGAGGTCGGGTGTCACCCGGTGCGGCACCTAATGGTGTCACCCCCCCCCAGAGGCGTAGTTACCCTTCCCGGGGACAAACTTTCAAATTTTGCACCCCCCCCCCTCCTCGAACTTTCGATTTGCACCCCCTCAAGTTTTTCTCTATATATTTTGCTATTTTTTGCCTTGGTGTCACCCCCCTAAATGGTGTCACCCGGTGCGGTCCGCACCCCCCGCCCCCCCCCCCCCTCCCCCTTCGCTACACCTCTGAGTACGATTACAATACTTCCTCTATATTCTGTATGCGAGCAAGTAAAAAGCTAGTTGAAATCGAGGCAACGTTCTAGGATATTAGTGTGATGTGTAGAAAGCCGCAGTTTACTTTTGATGCTGTATAG